AAGGTAAGTACCATAATATATAAACAGTTAACATTACAATAAGGAATTATAAAAATAAATAATGAAAAATGAAAGGTTAAATGAGGAAAAGGAATTAAGTGATAAAAACATACCTGGGTAACTAGCAAAGGGTATCTGGGCTAATATAGAGCAGGCACAGACACAATCGGGATCGAAGGATGTTTTGAATAAAAGTAGGAGAGGATAGAGCGATCGAGTAGAGTCAGTGGCGCGGCACCCAATATGATCTGGACACATGCGCTGAAGACATATCGATTTCTTGTGTATTCCTACGCCAAAATAAAATCTATATTTCTGGAATCTGAGATTGCCAGCCTATAGAATTTTACAGAGAGACCATATTCAAACTTTCCTAAATGTGGACACCATTTTATTTTCTCACATAACATTTTGTCAGCGAAAAACATAATATTTCATCAAGAACTATATTCAGGTCAAAGTTCATAACGGGATCACATGACTGGCAGTGAATGTGGATGAAAGATAACGATATACTCTGAATTCATAAACGAAATCGACCTTCAATACTCTCATATGTCATGTCATTCGAGTAACTTGGTATGGATTTTGCCGAGGTATACAATTCAAATATCGAAGACATCAGATCAAGTGAATTTCCAAGTCTTGGAGGTAATGTTCCAACTTGTATATATCAATTACTCAACGATAGTTGTATATGAGCGCTGACCTAATTAACGGTAAATCCCGTTTTACTAGCAGACGATATTTTGGACCAACCAATGAAAGAGTGCATATGTATTTACAAGTCTAAAAGCGTTTGGCACAGCCATGGGTTAAAAGTTCTGTTGTTTAACTTACAACTTTTACGTTTTTCCAACAAACATGTACTAATAACAACAATACATTTATCTGCATTTGATGAAAATGAACATGAAAAGTTGAAAAACTCAAATCAAAACATCCAGATCGAGAAATGACCTTGACTGCATGACTTCAAGGTCAAACAAACATTATAAACTATATAATATGCAGTATATATCCGTGTGTATTTTGGTATGAGTGTAGTGCACGATTTAATTCTTGCGGAAGCATATTAAGCTTTTCACTCATACATAAATCCAGGTTCTACCGGTAGAGTACTATTCTTTTCCAATAATTCAAAAAAGTTCAACAATATACCTGTTTCAGATACGATTAATTCAAATTTGCTATTGCTAACTATTTTTACACTAGCGTATACTTGTTTTATCATATGGGCACACATTCTGAACATATTGGTTACTAGTAACCCCTAAAGATATCTAAGGTTTAATTCTCCCCAAAAACATCTTCAAAAAATTGATTTGATATGGTGCATTCTGACGCATTTATTTAGGGGCGAAAACGTTTAAGTTGATGGGTATACCATATGCATATAAATGTAGCACGACAGTACAAAGAGTGGGAACCAGTGCTGTATATAATTAATCATAATTTGAAATGAGTCTGTGAGTTGTTCTCAACACTACTCAGTTTAATTAACCAAGATTTGAAATGAGTCTGTGAGTTGTTCTCAACACTACTCAGTTTAATGAACCAAGATTTGAAATGAGTCTGTGAGTTGCTCTCAACACTACTCAGTTTAATGAACCAAGATTTGAAATGAGTCTGTGAGTTGTTCTGAACACTACTCAGTTTAATTAATCAAGATTTGAAATGAGTCTGAGTTGTTCTCAACACTACTCAGTTTAATTAAGCAAGATTTGAAATGAGTCTGTGAGTTGTTCTGAACACTACTCAGTTTAATTAACCAAGGTTTGAAATTAGTCAGTGAGTTGTTCTCATCACTACTCAGTTGTTCTGAACACTACTCAGTTTAATTAACCAAGGTTTGAAATTAGTCAGTGAGTTGTTCTCATAACTTCTCAGTTCTGAACACTACTCAGTTTAATTAAGCAAGATTTGAAATGAGTCTGTGAGTTGTTCTGAACACTACTCAGTTTAATTAACCAAGGTTTGAAATTAGTCAGTGAGTTGTTCTCATCAGTACTCAGTTGTTCTGAACACTACTCAGTTTAATTAACCAAGGTTTGAAATTAGTCAGTGAGTTTTTCTCATCACTACTCAGTTGTTCTGAACACTACTCAGTTTAATTAACCAAGGTTTGAAATTAGTCAGTGAGTTGTTCTCATAACTTCTCAGTTCTGAACACTACTCAGTTTAATTAAGCAAGATTTGAAATTAGTTAGTGAGTTATTATTAGTGGCAAATTGATAATATAGGTGTCCCCAATACACATTAAAGATTTAGAAAACCTCTTTATAATCCCTTTAAGTTAAACTTTCTCTGGGTGGATTGATTTCATGCCCCTAGCTTCAACTGTTAAATCAAACTAATGGTAGATAAAAATAATTGTTTCATCATATGGTTTCCAATAGTTGTTGTACTTTGATTTTGTATTATGCGTTCACACTTTTTATAGTAACCTTCATACATTATGAATATCTATAGAGGGGGAATATAATTATATCTTTATGTTGACCAATACACTTGAACTGGACACCAACATTCAACTTTGACCTGACTCTAATCTATATTGTCACTTATCAATGAACAAACAGATGAAGAACATGGAATGAAAACACACTAAAACTCCGTGGACACACTAGAGCAATGTTTGTATTGAGATAAGCACAGCATGCTAAGACTGTCTAAATAAGGGGTAATTTTCTCATAAACACAGAAAGTCTCCTAGAATTCACTCTGTCAATACCATCACATGCACTTAATCTTCAGTAAAATCATTACCTTCTTTGGGTAAACAATGGTCTTTCATCTTTATACATCAAGTGAACTGATTTCATGTAATAGTTGATCAAGTTTGTATACAATTTGGCTTAAAACTTAAAGGGATATCATCGTCTGAACACTTTTCAGAATTGCAATCTGACATCTGGATCAACTACAATTTAAGGAATAATTAACATAGTTTCTCCTAACCTTTTATTTAATATTTGGCAAACCCTACACTTGATTTTCTTTTTTGAATGGGTAGCTTAAACTGAGCTCTATCAAGAAGAACACCAAGATGACTTCATTTCTTAAGTTTGAGGTCAAGTCAAATATTTGCATATACATAGCCAATATGAATTGCAGCTTTTTATGTCAGTACATTTGGAAGAAAGCTGATTTTTTCAAATGATAATTTTGAAACAATTAAGAACATCTTTGATGAAATGCTCAAAATAGAAGCAACAAGTATTCTCAGGACACATTCCAACTTGTTAGAAATCATTTTTTTAATACCTTTAAAACTCCATCATTATGATTATGTCACAAAAACAGCACCTTAGTTATTTGAGCTACACCCCTCTTCTAAATCAGGAAATTGGAAACTTGATTAAACTTAAAGCTTAAGTTTCTTATTTAAACACAAAAGTGTTAAATACTTAATCTGTTTATCTTGGCCAGGCTTAGAGTTTGGAGGAAACCATAACAGTTTATGTATGGTCATTCTAGTCATTTGTCTTGTTTGATTTAATGATAATGTTAATAGCACCTCGAAAGGATTAAACGTGAGAATGAATATTCGTATCTTATTAACATGGAAAATAACCGGTACAAATTTGCTCCTTCTCATATCAGTCAGTGATGATGCATATTATTGTAACATTATCTATTATGTCTGCTAAATACAATTTCCTTTTTCTCGTGGCTCATTAAGACAATGGACAATTTATGAGACTATAAAACTAATGTCTGGAACTAGCTTTACCTCATCTTCACAATGTCAAGTTATTATAAACTTCGTACTTATATCTAATAGTCACCTTTTTTGTATTATGGAAGTTTGTAAATGAAGTGATTTGATTGGATTGTGTGTTAGAGAATTCAGCTAATCAGAGGCCTCGATGGTAATTCTACAGCCTTTCTGTCAAAGGCTCTGTATTGGTTGGCATGTATTCCGTGAATCATGCAGTGGCGGCACCACAACGCCCAATTGTACCCCCACTTTATTTTCAACAAATCTAAATGTCTACCTTTTTTCTCCAAAATACATGTGAGAATGCACAAAATCAATTCATTTTTTCTAAAATTTTCATCAGAGATCCCTCTCAGATGCTCTATGAAAGGCTTGCAGCTATGTCGCCACCACGGAGTAGCTGAAAGTTGTAATAGCTTGACACTGTAAAGATGGCTTTACACCTTTCTTCATTGTTCCATTCACCCATTTCAGGTCCAAATTATATGTGTCCAAGTTTAAACCTATATACTCTATTATCTCTGATCACCTGATAGCAAAGTGTGATTGTGTTGTTAACCTTGCTTTAGAGAGTCTCTGATCCCCTGATAGCAAAGTGTGATTGTGTTGTTAACCTTGCTTTAAAAAGTCTCTGGTCTCCTGATAGCAAAGTGTGATTGTGTTGTTAACCCTGCTTTAGAAAGTCTCTGGTCTCCTGATAGCAAAGTGTGATTGTGTTGTTAACCCTGCTTTAGAAAGTCTCTGGTCTCCTGATAGCAAAGTGTGATTGTGTTGTTAACCTTGCTTTAAAAAGTCTCTGGTCTCCTGATAGCAAAGTGTGATTGTGTTGTTAACCCTGCTTTAGAAAGTCTCTGGTCTCCTGATAGCAAAGTGTGATTGTGTTGTTAACCTTGCTTTAGAAAGTCTCTGATCACTCTGTTTAACCCTGCTTGAGTTAGTTTCTGATCACCTGCTTGAGAGAGTCTACAAGGCTCAATGCATTCAAACTTGCGCGTGTCACATTTTCATCGTAAAAAATTATTAATTAATATAAAAGCATAAATGATGATTATTGATGACTTGGCTGAAAGAAATATTGATTGGATAGTGGTCTTTAATCTGAAATAATTGTAGTCTTAACCATTCTACGTAAGCCTTTTGTGCTCTTTTCAAAAAGACATTATGGTCTATACGAGGCGTATTAACTAAGTAAACATTAACAATAATCGTTCTGTCTGACGGAAAGCTATTTCCGATAATTTGAAAGAAAAGTAGAAAGTCTGTGATATTTATCATAATGTCTCCGTTTGGTGATCCATCTTTTAAGTACACTATAGTGTCTTCCGAGAAGGTTAAGTCAGGTACCAATATAGGAATCAAGTAGACAGACAACCATGATTAATGGCGCTAAGTGTTGTCCGGAAACAGTCCTGACAAGAATTAGTCCAAGTGTTTATAATTACAATAACAGTTGGTGATTAGATTAAGGAAAAGTCTTAGTAAATACTGTTGATGTCAGTAAGCTGATGTTTTCTACCTCCAAAGTGAAGAGCTGATAATTAACCATCTGGAGCAGCTTATATTTTGATCCTTCCTTGTAGAACACCACATAAATGATAGACACAATTGAGTATAGCACAAAAGCATTTGACATGGAGTGAAATTGTAAATTGACGTTTGAATAATTTGTCAAATTAGAATTTTTAATTCAAAGGCAATGGGTTTTATACATGGACCTGGTAGGGAAGATATCTATGGGTAAAATATTTTTGGACCTCTCTTAAATATGCTGTAGTCTTTGAATGTATTACTGTCTTCATTAGCCCACATGATTCAGAAAAGTAGGACGTAAAACTCCATTCATTTCATTTCAATTTGTATATACTAGTACTGATGCCTCCTGTATGAAAATGAATTAAACTAGGTCATTTATATTCTGTTAATTTTAGAACAGATGTGAATTTAGGTTGGCTGAAACATTCAAAATATCCAGAGCTTTCAGATAAGATATTTTCTCACCTGTGAACAAGATCTGTGATGGTTTAAAACAAATTTTCAGTGGTGATAGTTCTTATTAATTGTAATATTGTCAAATTTTACATACCACAATGATATTGTTGGAAATGCTGAATATTACATGCTACTGCTTTACATGACGTCATTTGCTGCTTGGTTACGTTGAGCAAATGGTGGCTGAGGGTTCCGATCTCGATCGTTGTGAAAGTCTTATCATCTTAATCCTTAAGCGACATTTAGGGGTAGAGATCACATTAAATAACGGAACACAATTTTATGGTATAATACTCCTTTTTATTACACACGATGTTTCAACAATCTACATTGTCATCTTCAATGTAGATTGTTGAAACGTCGTGTGTAATAAAACTAAGGAGTATTATACCATAAAATTGTGTTCCGTTATTTAATCTTATCATTATCTTGAATAAGTCATTTTCATTCATAATTCTGGTCAACCCAGCTACGGAATAGACATTTAAAACTAAGTCTTTAAACAGCATTCAGAAAACATAACATATTTGACTGTAGCAAGCTTCTTTTTAATTATCCAGTGGAAATGCAGTTATAATTGTTATTTCAGTTTATAACAGATGGAATAACAAGATAATAATAAATAATTATATTGATCAGCTGTCTTTCTTTACCTGTAATACACTTTCTTTCAAGTTAGAAATCAAAAGGAAACCTGTTGTCAATATACATAATCACATATACCTGGAAAAACAGCACAGGTTAGTTATTATAATCAAAGTGTGCATTATATAGAAATATTCTTGAAGTAAAAACTCTTGCAGACTTGATAATAACCCTGATAAAATCAAATTTATTAAAAGAATATTAATGTTGAAGTGTATTTAAATTGGTTACTGATTTAAAGATTTGTTTCATGCATGTGCTGTGTATTTTTATATGGTGTATGGAATAATATCATGGAGGTTTTTTGTCAGAATCATCATAACTTTAAGATAATCTTGTACAGATAATTTACAGTGGGTTCCCTTATTTTAATTTATGAAAATTGAAATGGCAATACTTATATGAATAGAAAGTAGATGTGTTCTAATGACTTGGAAAAATACCAGTTTGTCTCGTATGTCCATAATTAATTTATAATTAGCTAAATTAGAAGAGAATTACCAGCAAAATTTCAATGAGTGACCGATGCTTAATTTGACACAAAAATATAAGGAAAACCATCTTTAAGAACACAGCGTGGTTGATATTGTTGTATTCAAGATGTCGGTCATGAATTGATTTGGTTGTATCTCATGATGTTGACCTATATAATAGTGGCGGGTGTAGCACATGAAGCAGAACATGCTTACTCTTTTCGGAACACCTGATGGGCTAGCCCACTATCACTCCTGATTTTGCCTTTCTTTGGGCAAGATTTTTGATGGAATTGTCATGCTTGTACAGATTTTATTAGCAGGAGAGATGAACACTTTAGTTATGATTTCAGTTGGTTGGTAGATGACAAGTTAACGTCTGCTTCCAGGTAAAACTGATATTGAATACTTGGTTGTTGTGATAGTTGACAGTATGATCAATTGCAAGGTTTGATAATGGAGAAATCTTCAGGTCTGGTCAAACTTCCTGACAAGAACAAGACTTGGTACTTAATGCTTAAATTATATTTAAAAGCACTGATCAGTTGTAGAAATTGCTATTGAAACTCTCATAGTGAAGTTGGCCTATTTTCGTTGCGTTGATAGTAACATCATCAAGTTTTCCTTAGATTTAATAATTTAATTATCTGTTCGTAAAAACCATTATCCCTTCATAAAAACCATAATTCATTCATAAAAACCATTATCTCATGAAATAAATGGACTTGGCTTTTAATGTAATTGTGTTATTATATTATGGTCTGTTTTTAATAAATTATACAACAGATTTTCTGATTATCAACCATCTGGTTTCTATAAGACATAAATCATTTGTCAATATTTTTTTTAGAAATAAGAAATATAGCATAAATAGCATAGCATAGCATGAGTAATAAAATTGATCCTGCTTTGATATGTTCAGATAAAGCACAGAGCGTTAAATAAGATTTGTGAGTAAGAAATGAAGCATTCAAGATCAATAAGGAACTCAACCAAATGATGAACACTTGAACCAGTTCATGATTGGCAGGTGTTAAACTTGAACTTAGTGCAAAGTGAATCAATTGAACACCTTACTGATTGTCAGTTATTAAGTTTGTAGTCTTGTTTATTCAATGAGCCTAGGGAATTAAACTTTAGGCTTTAAAAAAGTTTTGAAGTCACAAATAGCCTTTTATTAAGTTTTGGTATTAGGGGGTGAGAGCTGATGCCAGGCCGACTCTCGAAAACACTGGCACAGGCATCAGAATTTTTCTTTTTTCTTACATTGAGCAGGACTTGAACCACTGCACCTGGTATTTATAAAAATTAATGGTTCTGAATTCAACTTTCGATAGTCAAATGTAACATCTTTAATAAAAGAAAAACAACATGCACCCAGTTGTTCCCCCATTAAATCAATCTGCCACTAATTTGTTGCGAGAGGCTGGCATCGCCAATGTATGCATATCTGGCAAAGAATTGAATAGATTTCTCTTGTTCTGATCTGTAACCATTGTAAAATAGGGAATTCAGTCCATAAATTTATTGATTTGAATAGAAAATAATTATCAAATTATCCTTGAACATTTTAAGAAATGGAAAGTTGTTGATGTCACTCAGCATGCTGTCCTGAAAAATCCCCTAAATTATTATTTGTTTGTTTGTCATAAATTTTTTTTTTGATATGTTAATTTGCACTATTTTGCGTTATTGTTAGACATTTTAAACAATAATACCTGGCAATTTTCCTAGTAGAGCAGTGCAAATTTTATTAGTCAAGATCCAAAATAAAGTAGGCCACATATACTTCTGTTTTCATTTATAGAAAATACAAATGGTCTAACATTGTTCAGCTAATAGAATAGCCATGATAGTGTTTTGATCATAATTGAATTTGTTAGGATTAATTTTAGGTCTGTATTAATGAGCGTCTGGAATGTTGATCAGGTTTTCTGGAATTTATTTCATTATATAGTCATAGCAGATATTCTTTTTTAAGTCAATGTTCTATTATATTAGATCTTGGAATTGATTTTACTTATCCTTAGGAGTGGACTGAGTAGGTTTGGACCATCAGATAAACAGGTTTTCTAGGGCTGGACTCTCCCTGCAATTTTCGTATAAGACTTTGGAATTTACCAATGAATTTGTAGAGACAATATCAAATGGGGCCCTTGTATTATGTCCAGTGGTCTAAACCCTCAATACCCTTCTGCTTACTGTGCAGCTTCAATGCTTTGATCGTGATATTGAATAATAGTGAAAACAAAAATTTTGAAAGGCCAAAAACGAAGACATCCATATTTTCAATAATAATTTCAATTGCAGGGGTTCTTCCTACCACCTAGTTCTGGACAAATCCCCATTGCTTTTGATCATTCTTAAAGAAATCCTTTTTTAGATAGATTGAATGGATTATAATTAAGATCACTCTACAAACCAAAATTACTGAAAACCAAAGTACTCTTTCATCAAGACTGTTATTAATTCCAAAAATATCTGCAAGTTACCTTACTCTGCATAATATAATTCTAAGTAATGTCACAAACCTCTTACAATTTCTTGATCCCGTCTGATCTCCAATGGTCAAAATAAATTTATTTTTCTTTTAAAGAGGAAGTGTATCTAGATCATGCAGCCACAACTCTTTATAGTAAAAGACAGATACAAGCCTATCAAGAGGATCTATTGAGCCATGTTTATGGTAATCCACATAGTCGTTGTCCCAGCAGTCAACTTACAGCTGATTCTATTGAACAGATACGATTCAGGTTAGTAAACATTTCAAGAGGCTGGGATGGAAAAAACTTCTCATCGTTTTCCCTGTTTGCTACAGACTGTGCACTTTAAAAACATTAGGCTAAGGCTGCTGCCTTTTTATTTTCCCTCATTGCACACTACATGGCATTGCTTGTCTTCATTAGCCTAATTAGTTGCAGAAATGGAGGACGAAAAAGTCTATTCATTTGATTTTGAATATGATCGTAAGAAGCAATAAAGTGGGATATCATTATTATTTTTTCAGAATTCTCAGATTTTTCAATACCAATTCTAAAGAATACAGTGTAATTTTCACATCAGGGTGTACAGGTGCCTTAAAACTTGTAGCAGAAACATTCCAATTTCATAGTGCTCATAGTAACTCTACAGACAATGACAGACGCCTTGAAAACTGTGTAAAGGTAGACAACTCTAATCACTCAGACTCAGACCTCAATAATGGATATTTCTGCTATTTATTAGACAACCATACATCTGCTCAAGGAATGAGAGAACTTGCTGCCAAAAGAACAAAAAATATTCAGTGCCTTGATACCCCAGACCTTTCCAAATGTTTGATCTGTGATTTCAATGTGGTGAATGAGAATTCCAATAATTTGTTTGTGTTTCCTGCTCAATCAAACTTTTCTGGTGAAAAATTCCCTCTTCAGTGGATTGAGGACTTCCATAATGGCCGAATGAAATGCCAAGAGAGAATTCCTGGTCAATGGTTTGTGTTATTAGATGCAGCTTCCTATGTCAGTACCTCATATTTAAATCTAGGCTTACATAAACCAGACTTTATAACTTTATCCTTCTATAAAATATTTGGATTCCCTACAGGACTTGGTAAGAAATCATATTACATTTATTTTAACTCAACTGTTTTACAGATTGAACTCTCTGTTATATATACATATATGCAGATACAGTCTTGACAAATCAGACTATGCTATCTTAACCTCGTTCTAATGTTTGTGGTTGAAATGCAACTAGTTCAGTTTCAACCACTCCTAACCTCCAGTGATTGATTATGTTTAAGGTGCTCTGCTGGTGAAAAATGACAGTAGTTATATTTTACATAAAGAATATTTTGGTGGAGGTACAGTAGCTGTGAGTTCTGCTCAACACAGGTTCCATATTTTCAGAGAAAATATTTCTGAAAGGTAACGTTATTCTGGAAGATAATTACCGGTACTCACATTGGTCAAGGGAAGAGGTTCTGGTGAACATGCAACAGAAGAGGGTCAGGTCCCTGATAAGCTGTATTTTCTAGCGTATAAACCAATTAAAGCACTGTATTTACAAACTTCAATGACAGAAAATTGGCAAATAATGTCAAGGTATTGGAAATAATAAATAGCTTAGGATTGTGAAGATGGGTAATGTCAAATCCGTCCAAATTCCATACTCTGACACATGGTAGTCTTGATCACAACTGTCTGACAATATACGTATATATAACTGGATGATCAGGAGACATATAACCTGTTGATTATTCAGAGGGTATAGGCTATTAAAATGCCACAATTAACTGGTTAAGGGTCACAGTTCTATTTCATTTTCTATACACAGATTTGAAGATGGAACACTGCCATTTTTAGACATAATAGCTTTAAGACATGGATTTGATGCAATAGAACAGTTTGGAGGTAGATATTATTATTTTAGATTGTATACATTTTTTGGTACATCATAGATCTTACTATGCATAAGGTTACAGCAAATTTGTGTTAAAGACTCAGCCCAAAAGTTTGAAATAGTATGCATGCAAGGTCAATTTGTTTTTCTTGCACACTGTAGGACATGCTTGTCTCCATACAGCCCAGTGAAGAACACAGTGCAGAAAAGTGTATAACTTCAATTAATTTCATCTGCACTATCTTTGACTTTCCATTGTCCTTCAGGAGGAATCCATAATGTATCCCACCATACATTTACCATTGCTCAGTATTTACACCATCATCTATGTCAACTGTATCATTATAATGATACACCATTAGTAGTTATTTATGGTAATGGTAATTTTAGTGATATTAATACTCAAGGTGCTATTGTGAACTTTAACTTGAAAAGATGTAATAGTGAATTTATTGGTTTTGCAGAGGTAAGAATAAGCATCTATAGCAATTATTAAAGTTTGGTGGAGTCTCTAAAGGAACTGTGTTAACTAAATGAATGTATGAAGTCAGAATCTATCTTAGGACAGATTGAGATAGATTTTAAACAGTAATGCATATTGAAAGGGAGAAAGTTCTCGTTTATTCTCGGACTGTCAGCAAAGATTTTCTGAAAAGAGCAGTCTGATCTGTTAAATCACCCCTTATAAAACAAATTTTAGAAATCTTTTCACGTTTTTTTAGAATGTGCTTAATATTAAGTAATTTGCATATTGCCCCTTGAAGGGATATGGTCCCTTAATATAGCTCTCTAAGATTATAAAAAAGACTTTTACAGAATGGAATTTTCCTTCAGAAAAAAATTATTGGTATGCTTACAGGTGGACAAACTAGCACAATTACATAAGATACATCTTCGTACTGGTTGTTTCTGTAATGTGGGAGCCTGTCAAAAATATCTTGATATAACATTACAACAATTACAAGATAATTTTAAGGTACCAGTAGATATCCTATCATAGCATCATGAAATAGTCCCAACTGTCATTCATTATGGCCTTGCCTACTGAAGTCTGAATTTTTTATTATTTTCATCTTGGGCTCCCTGACTGATTATCTGTACCCATTTACAGCTAGATTGACTAAATGGCAGATAATAATCTACTGAGATTAGAACCTACAACCACCATTTATATGACATAACCAAGCAAGTGATTTCATGCAAATATTCTTACAATCTAGACAACTGATGGATGATGATCATACCAGCATAAACAAGCAGAAAGCATATCTATCTAGAAAATGCTTGAAGGAGAGGCCAAAAATGAGAGGTGTCTCTCATTGTGAGTCCGAATATTGGGAGCTACCAGAGGCATTCAAATGACCTGAGATGAGGGCTTAATGTTCCCTTCAAAATAACCTTTTACAGGCATGAGGGGAGGGACATGGCCCCCTAAATATCCTACTTATAAGTATACTTTTTTAGGAAGGTCATGTTTGCGGTGATGATAAAGATCTTATTAATGGTTTACCAACAGGATCAGTTAGAATATCATTTGGATACATGTCAACATTGGAAGATGCTCAAAAAAGTCTCCAGTTCTTGGTAGATTGTTTTCTTGAAGGTTCCTATCCACTTCAAAAACTCTTTAAAAAACCAAAACTCAAATTGCAGCAGAATCAAACTATGAATGAAGAATCAAAACCCATATTACAGAAGAATCAAACTACAGATGAAGAATCAAAACTCAAACTGCAGAAGAATCAAACTATAAAAGAAGAATCAAAATATGAAACTCAAAATATCCTGAAAATCTCAACAGACTCAAAATAACCCTCAAAAGCAGACGACAGAAAAAAATGATGATGTCATCAAAAAATGTGATGAAAAGACTAGACTGTTGACTAACATATTTCTATATCCGATCAAATCTTGTGGTGCGTTTGAGGTAGGTTACATATTTAAATAGATAATGATTCTCTGCACTTTATACAAGAGATATTTTCAACCTTAGAAATCTTATACATTGCCATTGCATCTTTACACAATGTGATTTTTTGTGACAACTGCTCTGCTCCTCAGATAGTCTACTATGGTGAAAAAGAGATTTGATATCTGATACAAAATGCAAACGAGATATTATTATTCTGTTCAAACTATCAAAAAAATAATCCAATCAAATCAACTGATTATGCCCAAGATGTCAAAATCACATGATGTAAATGTTGTCAAAATGAATTCTTCATCTGATTAAAATAGTAGTCAATCATGTTAACTGCCATATTGAATGTGTTCTTCTGACGTCAGCTGAAAAGAAGGATTTTGGTGTTGTAGGTTAGTGAATGGGAGATAACTAGTAAAGGTTTACTCTATGATAGACATTGGATGATAGTCAGTGAAGCTGGGGTTACTATAAGTCAGAAACGGGAACCAAGATTATGTCTAATTAAACCATTCATTGATTTACACAATAACTCAATCTATCTTCAATACCCAGGTGAGATTTCAAAATTAAATGAGAAGGAGAAAAGAAAAATTTAAACTTTTTTACAGGGTCCTGTCTGCCAGCTGGTCCTTGTCCAAACCCTATTGGCAATGATCTTTCTTGGATTATCCTTAGGCTATCCAATTGCTGCTCGGTTGGTTGGTATTAAGATGAAAAATGACTAGATTTTCACGTTTGGAACCAATGACCACCATTTGTTCAATGTAAGCTAGAAAATGACCTCAAGAATGATGTCTTTGGGTATTATTGTTGATGCTATTTTGATTTAAAATATACAGGAAAACAAACTTTAAAAAGAAGCTATTAGTGAAAATGTTACTATATTACATATATAGGAGACATCATGTTGTAACAAGCATGACCTTCATGATCTCTACCCTTTTCAGAAATGCCAGAACTATGTTTGTCATTAGATTGTAACCAAGGAAACAGTTTTACTGGAGAGATTTGTACTAATAAAGTTTGCGGTGATAAGTAAATGGCAGTTAAATATTCTATTTCAAAAATCTGTATCAATCTTGTCCCCTCAAATATCATATTTTCGAATTTTGTTTTGTCTTTATTAAGGATTGTCTTGATTAGAAATCCAGCAAATGTCATGAAAGAACTAGTCTTGCAACAATCTGAAATAGATATCCTGCTTGCAAAGCCTTGCATACTTAGACATTTTGCCTTGCTTTCACCCATAATGGTGAATTACAAAAAAAATATTTGAGTTTTTGCCTGTAACTTTCGCTTGTATTTTTTTGTCACTCCAAAATTTTGCTGAGCTCTAAAACTACTGTATTGTAGAGTTGAGATGTATGATTTTGGTGATGAAGCTGGTGATTGGATCAGTTTAGCTATAAATAGATCAGGTTGTCGTCTGCTTCAACATAAAGCAGATCATTTTAGAAAATGTAAATTGAAGGATTCATCATCAGGTAAGAAAACAGACTATTTCTATGTAATGGACATCTGAAATATCATTGTATTGTATCATTAGAATCTAAAGGGTATATAAAACGAATGATGGTTGTGGGTTCTCATTGTGGACAGTGTTTGAAAACAACTTAGCAGTGAATGGGAACAGACATTCTTGGAAAAGGACAAAGCCAAAAGGTTTGGTAAAGATGAATAATTTGTTCCTATTTACTTACTTAAATTGTTCAAGCTTTTTTCGGTGAAGGCAAATATTGAGAATTGTGTATCCCCATAACTTGTTCTTTTTTGAATGTTGAGAGTCAAGATGTATCCATCTGACTACTCTGTTGGAAATTTCAGATGCAGTTTCCTCTACAGAGTTATCATTAGCTAATGAATCTCAGTTTCTGTTAATCAGTAGACAAAGTATAAAGGCTTTATTGAAAAAAATGTCTGAAGAAAATAGTTTGAATTCTGAAAATGGAAAGGAAGATAATGAACAACCATTGACTATGCCAGGTAAGATTATCTTATTACTAAAATAGTCAACAAACTATCGAAATATACCAAACTCTTAACTTTAAATTGGGCCCTACAGGTTTTTAACAATATCCCATTAAATGGTTGGTGCAAATCAGCCACAAGAATGCTTATCCATCCTCTGATAGAGGTCTTGGAGGCTTGTTGCCTGGTGGAGGATCAAAATTATATAGAATGGTTTATGGGGATTTGCTACAATATTATGCTTCTTTTATATATGCTATCTTACTAGGTTTCATATATATCATAATAAAATATTGTTTATCATTGTCTGGTAAACTAGTTGATATATGAATATCAATAGTTTATACCTTTCAGATGAAGAGAATATCATGAAGAGATTCAGAGCTAATTTTGTTATTGGTGGTGGTTTGTGTTTTGAAGAAGATAACTGGTCTGATATTTCTTTAGGCAATAATCAAATGAAGGTAATTCAATATGTAAAAACTTCATTCTAAACCAGCATGTCATAGAATTGGATGAGTTCGTTTCAGTTGTATGTTACCCATGGAATTCGATAATTAATAAAAATGCTCCATTGTAAGTCTCTTGAACCAATTTCTTCAACGTTTATTTCATTAAAATGCAAATCTTAATGTTTCATTTTGTGTGTTTTTGGGTGTTTCCACATGCTATCCATAATCTGAAGAAATGGTTATACATCTTACGTTCTGGGTCATGCAATATTAAACCAATTAAATGCTCTGCATTATAACTAGCAAAGTATACAATTTTTATTCTAGAGTCAAGGTGGATGTAGTCGATGTCAAATGATTTGTTTAGATCAGAATACTGGAAATAGAAGTAAGGAACCATTAAAAACATTAGCTGTATGGAGGGGAAGAATGGTAAAATTTAAGTCATGTAATAAGGAGCTACAGCAATATTTGTTTTCTTTATTTCTAGTGTCTTGATGAAATTCATGGGGAAACTGAGAATTTTTGTTTACATGATTATGTTAATCAGAAATTTTGTCTATCAAAAATAAATAATTTTACAAGAGGTTGCTAAATCTTAAGTAGTACAAAAACATGATTTTAGTAATGTAACTTGATTTTGATACAGTTTATCAAAGCTATTGAACATTATTAAGATAGTGAATGTTTGCAGTATTTTTTAATAATCAATATTAGCTGACAATTAGTCACTTACTTATTATCTTGCTCCTCTTAATATTATAATTGTAAAATTTTTTTTTGCAAAAGGTACCATTTGGTATACATCTTAGAATGAAGATATTATCAGAAAATAGAAATATGGTGTATGTTGGTGATGAAGTAAAAACATCCAGTCACTGAGATTTTCAATTCTTTTTCAATACAAAATGGGTTATTATATCATATTATATTACAATGTAACTTAAGTAATCAAAATGCATGGTGATATATAATGTTGTGATATATTTTGATGATGATCAGTAAATATTGTGATATCTTTTGATGATGATCAGTAAATATTGTGATATCTTTTGATGATGATCAGTAAATATTGTGATATCTTTTGATGATGATCAGTAAATATTGTGATATCTTTTGATGATGATCAGTAAATATTGCAATATATTTTGATGATGATCAGTAATATTGTGAAATATTTTGATGATGATCAGTAAATATTGTGATATCTTTTGATGATGATCAGTAAATATTGCGATTTCTTTTGATGGTCAAGAAATGTTATTTCATTTGATGATCAATACATAGTGTTATATCTTTTGATGATCGGTCAATGAATATTATGATATCTTTTGATGATCAAAGAAAGTTGTGATATCTTTGATTATCAGTAAATATTGGTATATCTTTTGATGATCGGTAAATATTGGTATATCTTTTGATGATCAGTAAATATTGGTATATCTTTTGATGATCGGTAAATATTGGTATATCTTTTGATGATCGTAAATATTGGTATATCTTTTGATGATGAATGATATTGCAATATTTTCTATGATACAATAATATTATGATATCTTTTGATGATCAACAATATATAATATTATATTTCAACAACCAATATTTGTTGATGATACATAAATATTGATTGATCTTTTGATGATCAACACAAATATAAATATATATATCTCATTGTTATTGTTATTTATGATGAATTTTATTTATTGTTATAATCTTACCGTAAAAATGTGGACTTTGCATTACTATAAATTAATATATTTATATTTCAATCAATGATGTTACATTCTATGCTGTGCACTTTTATCTAAAACATCTTATCTATGATGAGGGTATTATTACATTTGCATTGTACACCTCATCCTGTTAAGGACCAAGAGATGCCACTAAATGTTGAAGCGCTGTAAAAGTGCCATAGGCTCAAACACCCCCTGGAAGGTCTTAGAAAAATTATTTTGTTATGTGCATTCTGACATATTCTTATAAATGGAGTGGGGGTACAAACTTTTCTTTTTTCTTTTCCTATTTGAAGCCTCTACAACAAGTTGATGCTCGCGGATGCTGCAGTCAAGTTTAAGTTTGAGCGCTTTCGAAAAATTAGAATTTGGCCCGTTAGCGAGAATTCGAGAAATAATTTCACATTGAGCGCTTCACAGTTCTTGCCCTTGTCTCTGATTTTAGAGAATGTTGCCATATTATGAATTTAAAATCGTCAATGCCCGATACTTTTTAAATCGAAATGACTCTAGACATACTGGAAATAAAGACAGGGAAGAGTTCCATTGGTTGTAGCAAAGATGACTTCTATTATGACGCCATAATAAGGTTGGCGTCATAACTAAGTATTTCTGAGAAGTATTTAGACGTGTAGCATTAGCTGTCTACAAGTTTTCATTTGAAAAACCTATCAAAACCGTTTAACTTCATTTAACTGGTAAGTAATTTTAAACGAGATTGTTGGTTGCAGTGTCACTGCTTAACTTGGATGTCTTTAAGGGCTTTTTTGTCTAAACTTTGCGGAACCAAACAACTTATATCATCCTTCACGAAAAATATTAGTAGAAAAGTGGAACTTAAACTTACTGAAGTATGGTAATTTGATGCATTTCAAACTACCCAACATTTATTTTTCTGAACCCCCAAAGCCAGCGGCCCAAACTAAGTACAGTGTTAGAACAGTTTGTCGGGGCTTTATAGTGTAAGTACACCTAACGACAGATTGCAATTCATTTAATGTATTTCAAATTGCTCAAAATGTCAAAAACTAATTGGAAGTAGAACTTTGTTATGGTCCGAATCCCAAGAAAGCTGCGCCTTAGGTCAAATACTTAGGGCTTGATAGTCAATAAGCACGCCTTGAACCACAGATTGTGATATATTCTACTTCAATATCTTCCTATATTAGTCGCGAAAACAGCATCAAAAGACCGTGTTGATTAAGTTTTTCGAAGACATGGCAGCTTTAAATTAAAGCCCCTTTCCCTTTTCTACAATTTTGATCTGATATTGGTGAAACTTAGCATAATTACGTATAAGAAATTCACAATTTTGGAACATTTACGTAATCGCAAAGAGACCCAGTTCGGTTTTAATTGTTCATTTTAGATATGAAAATATGATTGTATTTTATACGATTACTCGTTATCAAAATTATCTTTCCTTTGAAACGAAACTTCATAATAAAGGCAATGATTTAGGCCTAGTTATTAAAAAAACAAAATTGAAAAGAAATTACTTCGGCGTATCTGTTAATACTAAAGGTTAAACTTACAGCGTTCATATATTTGAAATTCCAAGTTGGGGTACTCGTAAACCGTGGGACGTTCATTGTAAAGAGGTCCAAGAAATAATATGCATCAAAATTTTGGTAAAGTAGAACTTTCAAAAGAATAAAGTTGGATGGAAATTGGCAAGGGAATTTGACAGAACAATCGCAACAATTAATAACGTCTTTGGATTATGACGTCATAATAGTATGTCGTTAGACATTTCGTTGAAATATCTGGAAACAAGACGTTTAAAGTCAGTTTTCTGCAATTTTTCAATAATTTTGTGCATTCTGTGTGACACAGTGTTGATTTGTTTTAGGAATTTGGTAAGTTGAGAGATTTTGGTCTTTTACGTCTATCCTTTGTTGTTGTTGATGTTTAAGGAAAAAACTTCTGTACAAAAATGAGATATTTCTTACTCTTCCATGGGCTCAATGTAAGACCTATGTAAACTAAAGAGTTTATTCATTATTTAAGTTATTTGCCTGGAACCGGCTGCAATATTTTAAAGAATTATATCAAGAACAAAATATCAAGTACAATTTTCTTAAATCAATAACATTTTCAAAATTAGCATTCTCATCTTTCTGGTGATAAGGGTGGTTGAAAATTAACATGTTACCATTCAATTCAACGAAAGGAAATGGCACAGCAAGTGTTCACTATTGCATAGCTAGAATGTTAAAATGGAAATTCGTAGTATTTTAACAGAGACCTATATAAGTAAAAAGTATTATCATATTTATATTTTTAGGGACTACATAAAAATTAGTAATGATGGAGAACTTACATTTAACGAAAGAGTATGTTTCGGTCAATGATATTGGGAATGCTCTTGAAAATGTGGATACTTCTAAACTCCAAGGTACATATATTAACTTTTTTGTGTATATATAGTCTGCCTACGGACCCGTCGATGACTGTCTGCTATAAAGGTTTGCATGGACATTCATGCATAGGAAGGTCATGTAAAGTGACGAATTCGACAAACTAAGTTAGTCTCAGGTTTTACACAACAGGTTGAAAGCTTTGTCAAAAAGTTTATTTTCCTTCTGTTGAGTGATCTAACACATTGTTTGTTTATATTTTTAACAACAGTTGCAAAGAAGATTGATATAACAGCCAAAAAGAAGGCTCACGAAGGAAAGAGAGCTCATGCTAAAAATAATGGGGATGTTGGAAAAACAATGTCGGCTAGACCTAAAGGTAAAATTCAAAACTTTGATCAATCTAAAGCATCTTTTGGTGTTCTGTAATGAACTTTCATTATAGAATTACTTTTTAATTCGACAAATGTTTCTCACCATTCCATTCCACTCCAGCCTTTAAAAGTATTTCGTAACAACGTCGTATTTATTATTTCAGACAAAACCTCGAAGAGAACAAAACGACATGATGCAGCAATCAACAACCTTGTTCAACAAGGATGGTCAGTTATTAACAAAAGCAAGCATCAGATAACAGTAGTAAAAATTCCCGAACCGACACCAATTGACGGCAACTCCACAGCATCTAATCGTGGAGGTGTGAAGACAGGAGAATGTGTTGGAAGATCTTGTGTTTCCAGAAAAAGCAGAAAAGACAAATTCGAGGCTCAAAGTAGAAGCAAGATTCTTCACAAAGCCACATCTTTTGAAAAGAGAATCAAGGAAACTCAAGCGGGGAGTGGAAATGGAGGAGTTGCCAGTAAGTTGACTTGTATTGTCAATTTTCACAATTGGTTTTTACGACTTGAATAACACCTCGAATCTAGAGCAGAACAGTAGAACGTAAAACTACATTTCTAAGGACAGCACTGCTTCTTGATCATCATTAGGGTTTTTATTTTAGCGAGCCATAAGGTGTCTGCTCTTACGAACACCTAATGTCACCGGGTTTGTCAACTCGCCATCCTTTCAGAGAGCCCAGAAAGCTCAGATAGCTAACATTTATAACCTTTTGTGATAATTATTAACGTATATTGTCATGTTAAATATAATTTAGTTTCCTTGTTAACGAAGTCTTTCTTTTTTAACAGGTGTTTCTCATCAAAAGAAATCTTTATTAAGAAGATTCGTTCTAGGATCAAGAAAATTAATGGGTAGATTTGTTACATGTGGAAAGCTGGAAGAATAGAATTTGAATACTAGTGTGACTAGGCCTATTTATAATGCTTTATTAAAAATGTATAATATTGGCAATTATGAAAATATACATTTACAATCTCTTTTATTTATTTATGTATTCATTCATACGACAAATCATAATGGAGTGAACGTTCTATTCTACAATGAACTCTTTTATCGGGAGGGGCAAAAATAATTGTAGACTATCAAAACCAAAACTGTGTTGGCAGCGTGGCAAATGGATATATGAAGTTACATGTACCATTCCTTTTCAATTTTCCCGCACGAAAATCTCACGAAATTCAAAGAAAATGACAATTCAACCGATAAAAGCTACCATTATGCTTAATTCCTCGAGTTCTATGTTCCAATTTTTATCATGTTACGCAGATGTAATTAACAATCAAAAGATCTTTAATTCATATAAGCTCCACAAAAACATACACCCGGAAAAAACACTCATTACCATCACAGGTCCGTAGCCAGACATGATTGTCCGCAGAGACAAGTAATATATCCAGAGGGATAATGATCTATGTCTAATTAGTCGAATTAGTCGGTTATCAAAATTTTTTCAGGGTGACAATCCATTTTTCGGTAGCTAGAGGCCTGTCCAATCAAAAGCACTTTATGTAGAATCCAAGGTAGTCGCTGATGACTCAGGGAGTAAGATGACACATTCAGATTTCTCAGTGCTGCAGGTTGATGAGACTGGCATGAAGAAACGAGCGTTTCACATTCAAGATATCTCATGTCCGTAGCCATATTCGGAGGGGCAAGAAATATATCCGATGGTGCAATGGAGTGTGGTGTTCAGATGCAGTGATGATAATGGTTGGAGAACAGAATTTTTTCGGGGGGTGGGGGGAATCACCCCCTTGCTCTTCTGTGACTAAGGGTCTGAAATACAAGTTGGAAATCGAAGTAAGCTAATGCAGCAATCCTATAAATACATTTCACCTACCGCATGCAGGGCGTGTCCATCTCCGTACGCGGACACTGGAGAATAAAGTAAGATGTTAATCTCAAATTCTTTTCAGTTCAGTATGCAGAATACAACTAGTAGTACATTTTGATAGATTATTTTTCAAGAATTGTGGTTAATGTAAGGATTTATTACAAAATAAAACGGATAATAGTACAACAAAAATGAAATTATATATTAGCAATTACATATGTCATTAATAATTATTCCAAATAAACAATATCTTTAATCAATCAAGAGAAAAAAAGACCGATGTCCTTAAGAATTTCGGGTCATTTTTTGACATATTGTATTCATTGAAAGTCATGGCCCATCACGAACTACTGTTGAAAACCAATTAATTTTGACAATCGTATTCGTCATTTTTCAACTAAAAGATAATGGATTCATTTGTATATTTTAATAGCCATGAAAATCTGCCCATCCCTTTTTCGCCTTTTAAATGTCAAATTGTCATATTTTAAAAGTAGTTAAAAGTCGGACACGGGTTCCTAAAATGCAGAATGTGGAATTCGAACGGTATTGTTTCCAGTAGGCATATCTGAATTGTAGATTTTAACTTGAGCAGCTCTTTGTTTCATGAATTTAACAGCTAAACATGTGGTGATCACCAACAACAAAACAACAGCAACAATAAGTACGATCACCATCACCATGATTTCTGTTGACTGTAAACATTGTTGAGGATCAGCATTTTGTTGGCTCTTTTTGTCTGAGAAAAGAAAACCGTTATCATTTGATAAAAAGATGACCTGAAAATTTATCTATCTAATTCAATCTGATTGAAATTAGATTACAATTTTTGTTCACAGAAATGTTTCGTCTCTGATGAAATCTAACAACAGCCCCGTTTATAGACGTTGTTTTCAACCAATCAAAGCGTGTCATGTAAATGTTTCGTTATCAAGAAACAGTTTTCACATAACAACCTTTGATTGGCTGAAAATACTGTTACTAGAATGCAAATGTGGTAGAAAGGTTGTTGACAATGGTGACCAAAAATATCAGAAAAAAAACAAACAAACGAAACTGTAATCAGAAATCAGTCTTTATTTTTTTCTAATTTCATATCAGAACAAAACAGAGAATCCTTTAACTCAATTTCTCAATAAAGTAATTGTTCCACCTAGGCCTGTACATTTGGGAGAATCAAACCCTCCCTTCCCCGAAATTGAAGAGTTTTATATAAGATTTCAATTTTTTTTGTTTTATGAATCGATCTGGAAGATTTCTATTGTTTTTATTTATGAATCGTTCTGGAAGATTTCAATTGTTTTTGTTTATGAATCGATCTGGAAGATTTCTATTGTTTTTGTTTATGAATCGTTCTGGAAGATTTCTATTGCTTTTGTTTATGAATCGATCTGGAAGATTTCAATTGTTTTTGTTTATGAATCGTTATGGAAGATTTCAATTGTTTTTGTTTATGAATCAATCTGGAAGATTTCTATTGTTTTTGTTTATGAATCGTTTTGGAAGATTTCTATTGCTTTTGTTTATGAATCGTTCTGGAAGATTTCTTTTGTTTTTGTTTATGAATCGATCTGGAAGATTTCTATTGCTTTTGTTTATGAATCGTTCTGGAAGATTTCTATTGTTTTTACTTATGAATCGTTATGGAAGATTTCAATTGTTTTTGTTTATGAATCGATCTGGAAGATTTCTATTGTTTTTGTTTATGAATCGTTTTGGAAGATTTCTATTGTTTTTGTTTATGAATTGTTTTTGTTTATGAATCGTTTTGGAAGATTTCCATTGTTTTTGTTTATGAATCGTTTTGGAAGATTTCTATTGTTTTTGTTTATGAATCGTTTTTTTGAAGATTTCTATTGTTTTTGTTTATGAATCGATCTGGAAGATTTCTATTGCTTTTGTTTATGAATTGTTCTGGAAGATTTCTATTGTTTTTGTTTATGAATCGATCTGGAAGATTTCTATTGATTTTGTTTATGAATCGTTATGGAAGATTTCTATTGTTTTTGTTTATGAATCGATCTGGAAGATTTCTATTGTTTTTGTTTATGAATCGTTCTGGAAGATTTCTATTGTTTTAATTTATGAATCGTTCTGGAAGATTTCAATTGTTTTTGTATATGAATCGTTTTGGAAGATTTCTATTGTTTTTGTTTATGAATCGTTTTGGAAGATTTCTATTGTTTTTGTTTATGAATCGATTTGGAAGATTTCTATTGTTTTTGTTTATGAATCGTTATGGAAGATTTCTATTGTTTTTGTTTATGAATCGATCTGGAAGATTTCTATTGTTTTTGTTTATGAATGGTTCTGGAAGATTTCTATTGTTTTTGTTTATGAATCGTTCTGGAAGATTTCTGTTGTTTTTATTTATGAATCGTTCTGGAAGATTCCAATTGTTTTTGTTTATGAATCGTTTTGGAAGATTTCTATTGTTTTTGTTTATGAATCGTTTTGGAAGATTTCTATTGTTTTTGTTTATGAATCGTTTTGGAAGATTTCTATTGTTTTTGTTTATGAATCGATCTAGAAGTTTTCTATTGTTTTTGTTTATGAATTGTTTTTGTTTATTAATCGTTCTGGAAGATTTCAATTGTTTTTGTTTATGAATCGTTCTGGAAAATTTCAATTGTTTTTGTTTATGAATCGTTATGGAAGATTTATACTGTTTATGTTTATGAATTGTTATGGAAGATTTCAATTGTTTTTGTTTATGAATCGTTCTGGAAAATTTCAATTGTTTTTGTTTATGAATCGTTATGGAAGATTTCTATTGTTTTTGTTTATGAATCATTATTTAAGATTTATACTGTTTTTGTTTATGAATCGATCTGGAAGATTTCAATTCTTTTTGTTTATGAATCGTTATGGAAAATTTCTGTTGTTTTTGTTTATGAATCGTTATTTAAGATTTATACTGTTTTTGTTTATGAATCGTTATGGAAGATTTATATTGTTTTTGTTTATGAATCGATCTGGAAGATTTCTATTGTTTTTGTGTATGAATCGTTATGGAAGATTTCTATTGTTTTTGTTTATGAATCATTCTGGAATATCTGTGCTCGACATTAGAATGGTACAAATTAAATAGCTGTTATAATAATTACCTGATTTGTTGTGGGGTAGTCGCAGTTTTTCATTAGATCTGGGATCCAGGACTGTTAATGTTTCGTGTAAAATAACCTCATTATCTGAAGCAGCTCTTCTCTTTCTACCAGGATTCTCTGATGGAGTTGGTTGTACTGGAGCAGGTGGTGCTGGTGTTGGACAGCTTCCCTGAAATAAAGATAATACTTGTCACAATTATATTGATAGATGTGGAATCTGGATTGTGGATGTCGAATTCTTATATTATTATCCTCTTTACTCATACAGTTTGTTAAATCCATTATTTTCAAGCCTCTGATAAAACCGCCATGGACACAAAATGTTGCAATTCTCTCTAGTGTAGTTATTGGTAACTTGCAACATTTATATCTAATTAACAAACTTGCTAATCTTGAAAGATTGGAGTTTATTGATTTAAAGTTCTTACCGGCTCACAAGATGTATCAGCAGCTTCACAAACTTTCACCTTGGCTTCAAATTTGACTTGTGGTGATCCTCGAAGTCTAAATGCCATAAAGTTGATAATGATAGCTGGTATTGCAGGGTCTGATGAAATATCTCCGGTCACAAGAGCTTCACCAATATCTGTCAAACAGCTGAAATAACAAATACAGACCTAGATTGATGTCGAAGGCTCTAGATAAATTCACGATCTAATTTGAACCAGAGTTGAACTTATCTTATTTTTTAGATTTTAGATACAGCATCATTTCGTTTTGTAGTTGAAAGATAACAATAAATAAACCAAGTACTAACGATCCGAACCGCAAAATGAAACTCGAAATCCAAAACAAGATGTTGACAAGACATTAGTAGCAGCTATTGACCTTTCATGAAAAGAAGTTTGGCCAAGGACTTAGCAGTTGTTATCCTTGAAAAATATAGTTGTTTCTTTCTTTTCTTCCATATGAGGAATGAGGAAGTGTGTCTTACCCGTTAAATATTAAAGTTTCCGTAACCATATCCGGTGCGGCCATACCATTATTTGTTGTAAGGTCGGTTATCTTAAGTTTAGTGTATTCTGAAATTAACAATCCATTTATAGTATATCAAACCTAAATCCATACGATTATTATTGACGGGAACGAAAATTTTTATCATAAATTCCTGTCAACAGACTGGAGTTCCCATTGACAATATAACTGTTTCTGAAAGTTAACCCCTACTTCCAAATCTTAAACATTTCTGAAATTCTTTTTTTATCATTAAAGGGACAACAAGTTAAAGGGAACTGTGTGTTTTCAACTTCCCAGAAGAATATGTAATAGTATCTGCCAAAGGCCAAAATAACAGGACGATAAAAATCACTTACTTCCGGTATCGGCTAAAGGTATGTAGATCCTTAATTCATCACCAAGGTTAACTGGTACTGGCATGGGATTTCCGTTTTTACCTTGTAATTGGAATGATACAGGTTGATATTGGGTCAGAGCTGTTTCTTCTGTTAAATTAGACCTGTAATATAATATTGATGAAAAAATATAACATTTATTTTAACATATATAGATTCTGATCATAGCTGATGGGTTGATTTCAGAGTATGCGTCCCTGATGTGACAAGTCATAAATTGCCGAGTGATAGAAATCAATTGAAGATAATATATTGACATAACATGACGAGTGATATATAAGGACGACATAACATGACGAGTGATATATAAGGACGACATAACATGACGAGTGATATATAAGGACTACATCACATGGTAAGAAATATAAAATGTAATGACTATGTAAAATGAAGAGATATATCATGACGATATATATGAAGATATAATTTTAGTAACATTACAAGTATCATTTCACATCGAATGAAAATAACTGGAAATGATAATGACGAGTGATATTCACGGCTAATTATAATATATAATGACAATATACTTATTATATTTAAAGAAGATGTCAGATGTCTATATTTGTATTTGCATAAGATAAATGTATAATAACTGAATTAAATACACATCGACGATGCTAATAAATGAACGAAGATGATGATGATGATGATGAGGATGATTACCATGTTTGATAACGTCTGAAAATGAAGCTAGTAGACTAGTGATGATGATGTTTACACACGACAGTGGTATGAGGATAATGCTGCTGAGGATAATGTTGTTGATGATGCTATTGGTGTTTGTTTTACGTATCAACGATGTAAGCACGGTGATAATGAATTTACACCTCTACCAACATATAATTACATTACATTCTGGTACCCATTTAATCAATGATGATATTGAGAGATTAATATTGGCGAAGTGTATTCTGTACCTTTCGTGCTTCTTAGGAATACACATTTTCAAAGGCTTTATTCTGAATTAGTGATTTTGATTGAAATTAAATTCTGGGTACGAGAATGAATGATACAGACATAAACTATATATATATAAAGTTTCAAAAAGCAATTCATGCAGCTGCTTTGAAATACATTTCTAACCGTTGATCTACTGAAACTGTTCCAATGTTGTTGTTCAAATTGCTTTGTCCAGATCCGTCAATTACACATTCAGCTGTTAATTTCATATCAGTTCCTCTTTCAATATTTGCATTGAATCGTACTGCAGCTGATGTTTGGTAGGATGTATCACCAACCTAAAAAAGAGTTTGTATAATTATACTTTAATCTCATTTGATACCTGGTTTCCAGGTGGTGGTTTCCAATGTTTGACAGTTACCCGATATGTGAGTTACATTTGATGGTCATAACTTACACTATCATTATCAATATAAAACTTTACGATATTCTGCTAATTATTTGCGATTTAATCTGAAAATGGTCAATAATATACCGCCACGAACACTGCCATTTATTTTAAAACATTAAATGGTATATAATAATTATGCATGACCAGTTGGCAGCACGAGAAAAGTAGGTGTCAAAACATTTTTTGGTATGAAAAATAGAAATGGAACATAATTAGGATGAACTGCTTGAGCTACCATATCATATTAGGCAGTAAGGAATGGTGTTAAGTCTTACATTAGGTTGGTCGTTTGTAGTTATAACACCACACTGTTGATAAGTAAATGTAGCTGTGTACATGCCATTAGCCTCAGTAAAAGCACACTCTGGGGTATTTCGATTATCCAAGATGAAGATGTCACCACTGAAGGTGGGTATGGGCATATAATTAATGGTTATCTGATCACCACTACACTCAACTTGTTCTGTAATTAAAAAGATACAGATGATCTAAAAGATTTGTACTCCCTCCCCACCCCATTTATATTTTAAGAGCCTCTGGTACCCCTTCGCCTACCAAAAGCAAAGTGAAAGGGGTAAATGTCTGATCCGAATATTTGAAGTCTACCAAGCAGAAACCCTCGCTGATATCATATGAGGGTATAAGTACCTAAGGTTTGATGGAAACTATGAGTTTAAAGCTGTTAAATCCTTTGGGGGAAGGACTTCAATGTGATAGAAGGTTACGGACAGAGAGAGGATCCTGCTCTCCAAAAGGCTGTGCCGAGTTATTGCAATTGTAAGATGACGTCAACAACGCTTGAACAAGATCAGATCAATGAAGAAAAAAGATGGAAAACGTAACCGATGACTTACTTCTTGGATTTTCACACTGGCTTCCATAGAAGGCTTCTGAACACATACACATGTAGGTATCTGCTGTCGGCTCAAAACACTGACCTCCATTCAAGCATGGTGGATCACATAATGTTGCAGGAGAAGCTACTTTAGCTGAAAATAGTATTCTTTAATGAGATCGATGCAAGACAGATGGATTATCAGCGCATGAACAAAAGAAATATATTGAATGGTTTTCAGGAAGAGGAAATCTGTAACAAATAAGAGAATATTACAACTTGCATAGTCCAATTTTTCAACAACAAGTCATATGTCACCTTTCAACAGCTTTTGAATAGCTTTCTTAAGTTTAAACAACAGGCTCATGCGGAAATTTCCAAAGGTTAAGGTTCTACTCTAGGGCGTTACACAAACAACCACTTTAGTTCCCAAAGCAATCGCTGGTTATAGCTCTTATGGCATATATGCAACGGGGTTTTTCAGCTCGGTATCCACTCAGAGTCGATGCCTTTCTATGCCAATAAAATAAAATTATGCCTACCAAGTTCAAGACCACAATCTTTGTTGGTATGAGAAGGCGAACCACCAGCATCAGTGGGACAGACACAACTTCCACTAACATCATCACAAGTACCTGTCACACAGGTTTGAGATGTTCTTCTACAATCAAAATCAGCTGACGCCTTGATATACCCTAGATATAATTTAATTATATAAAAGATAATTCAAGTATATTATTATATCAATTCATACACACCCAACTGTATTTTTCTTTGTGGTTCATCTAGATATATCCCAATTTGTAACTAAGCGTCTTTCACCTAAGCATCAATGTTACACGAATGCGCACGTACCAATTAAATACCCAGGTGGCCCAGTGCTTAATATACAGATCGAAGATCAGATAAATCGATAAAATCAAATTATGTGTGAATGTGGTCTTGGACATTTACGCTTTTCTTTCCCCATGGCTCCTGTAATTCCATACCATTGGCCATATCATTGCTCCAATATCGCAAATACAATTTAAGCTTAATTTTTTTACAGATTATAATGCCATAATCTGGCCATGGGACCACAGACGTCGAGGGAAAACTTTGAATCGATTTCAAGAGACACATACGTAGACTAGAGAATATAATTTTGAATGAATAAGCAATAGAATTAGAGATCAAACGCCGTGTAAAAATAAATTTGAAAAATAATTTCTCCTTTGCCGACAGGTAAAGAATTCTCTTATATAAAAACTTACCCCAAAAAAGCACCACCACACATAATCCCCTTAATAATGTCTGCATCTAAAATTAGAATCAATTTAGACATTAATTTGATCATTGGTCGGTATAAGACCCGTTAAGACTTGAAAGAACAAATTTATCTAACAAATTGATGCTTTGACTTTGCATATATATCTTCAAAGAAGATTCCATTGTAAAGTTTAAGGTTTGTTTTCGGCCCTTCTTCATTGGATTTTACATGTACATTTGGTGTTAGTGATTCAAAACCGGTACAACGGGGAAAAAGTTTAATTCGTGGAAAACGCGTTTAACAACTATTGGCTGTCTTAACTAAGCAAAGTAGAAAGATTTCGAAATTCTTCCATTAGTTTTATGAGAATTGAAATAACAGCCCACAATAGTACTGATAGTCCTAGAATGTCTTTGCGTTGATAAAATTTTGTCTTCAAAATTTGTTTTTACATAGGACAATTTTCAGCCAAATTTTTGTACTTTTTTGGTTGAAATTTCTAGGTAAATTTATAAAAAATTATATTTTCATCTACAAATACATTCTAAGACTAACAGTACTAATTTGAGGCTGATATTCCAATTCTCTTAAGAAATATAGAAACAATTCAAAAACTATTTTTACTTTGTTCAGACAATAAAATTAATTTCCATACAAAAAACACAAAAGAAAAATCATGTCTTGTCAATAATTCGAAAGAGATAGAAGGTTTCCTAAATTAAAATTATTAAATTACGGTTATTTTGTAATAATTTCTTACCAATTTCAAATGTAATACAGTAAGAAAGAGTAAATTTGTACTTACCATTATTCAAGCACTCTGTAATATCGCTGTTGAATTGTTTCAGAAGAGGTGTTAGGTGTTTAGTCTTCTCGAAAAAATGATACATTATTTGACAAGCTATCATGTTTATATGACCGTCAAGGCGGAATCTCAATAGCCTAGGGCCAATCATTATTTCACGCTATCAAAACTTCTAACTGACGTAATTACACGGCGATTTACCTTCACTTGGTTAAAAAATGCATTTAATATTCTTAGAAAGAGGTGTTTATCACAAAAAAAATTGTAATATCATTCCACACCCTTACTTGTGACATTCACCGATTTATTTTTTATTCAAAAACGCAAATTGCCATGGGATAGCTAATGCCGTGGCGAATAGGATAAAAGTTGGCTAATTGAATGGGTGCCTTGGACTCAAATTGCCATAATAGCATGGCGGTCTACTTTAAAGGAACAGATGCGCCATTATTTTTAACAGATCGTACCCCAGGCACAGTAACTGGATTTTTTTTAAAACGAAATTTGAGCCTTCAAATCTATGTGTGTCCAGAATTATCCGCGCTTGACAGTTAAATCTTAAGATATTCTGATATATAGAAAAGACATACATGTATATAGAAATAGTGAGTAAAATTCCTAGTTTGAAGTTTTTAAAAAAAAATTATGCAATTTTTGTACATTTCTAGTACTTCTGAAGACTATAAACATATATACAAGACCCAAATCAACTCCCGAAAATGGCGAATCTGTCCCTTAAAAGGTGATTGAAAACTCCATCCGTGAAGTTAACACTTCGTCGGTTCACCGAGTTTTTTCAAAGATACAGATTACAGACTGTTTACCCTTGGTGGAACGGATTAGATCTTTTCGAGGCAGACCACAGTAAATTTTGACCGTGTGTGCCATGGATACAGAATCCCTTTTAAGACGAGAACACTCATTGTTATATAAATTGTTTATTTTCCGAGCAGATTCCGAAGTGATTTATTTCAAGTAAAATGCTGAAAGACTTAAAGCGTTCGTCAAGAGTTCCTTGCCATTAAACGTGTTGCAAAACTTAATATTATCCGTCCGTCACTTGGAAAATACTTCCAAAACGACCATTGATAAAATATTTATTTGATATCTTTGATTTTTGACTCACAAGAGGAACCAGTTCAGTTCCCAACAAGCAAATACAATTGATCAGGAACATTCTAGCTTGGATAGAGCTTGTGATATTATGATATATTCAGCCTAAGAATGCAGGCATATCCAACGCAAATGTAAATTCTCACGAAGTTTGATTTTACTCTTAATTTTGAGCTTGAGGGGTAGTCCTTTAACAATATACATAGGCCTTTATTCACTGCTACAAAAGTGATCCATGTTTTTTAAACTTCAAACTTCAAACTTTAGGCGTCGACCGAAATGTCTTACAAACTGCTAATAAATCATTTGCAGTAATACCTGGAGAAAGAATTACAGCCAATTTAATAGCCACATAAAAAATAGTTTTATGGCTAAAGTAATTTGAAAACTTCGCCTCTGTCAAAGTTCTTTTTTAAGTGACATCTATAATAAAAATAAGAATTTGTTAAGTGTTGTCATACTTCCAACAGACATGCGTAGAAAATGGTTGAATATCTATCAAAATTAAAAGTGTTCATCCACTTTATACATATATATATATATATATATATATATATATGTAATATAATAACCATATGGTTTCGTAATTAATAAATGCTTCCAAAAGTCATTTATAAATTATTATTCAAATGATTTTGTTGTCGCCTATCTGTAAGAGATCTGCAATTAGCATTAAGCAAAACCAGAAATTTCATCTTTAAAATTCTAAAGGGCGTTATGATACGTTATTCATATCGGCCTAGATATTTGTGCAATGTTTATTTCTGATTCTGTTCCGATGCCTTGGTGAAATTCAGACAGTGACAGCGCACTCATCAAACTAAGATTATATTTGCATAAAATAGCCAAATTTGATAGTTTTCGGAAACAATCAAACTTAAGACAAAAAATTAAAGACCAAATGGTGATGTTTGTGGTTAGCCTGGAGCAAAGTAAGCTAAATATAGAATGAATAGGGCCAATTGATCATTGGAGAGGGTGGACCGATTTAATATGTATATTCGAGTCCATAACATCAATCTTTTGTTTACGAAAATAAACTACAAAAGGCCATAATTAACATTTCATCACACGAATAGTTCTTGTAGTCAAGCATACAAGCATAGGCTATGTTATGGCTTTACGGGTCTGACCTAAACGTATTTGGTCCGTGCCTCCGTTGGTCAAACTCGACCAACAAAATGTTCAGCATGACCAGATTTTCTTTTTTTGATTCGTCTTCTCAATAGAAAGGTCCACCTCATTTCAGCCATTTGATTTACAAGCAGATCTAGAATGTTTCTGTCCGTTTATGTGTGTTACTACACATTCCTCCTATGATCTATTGAAATTCTTCGATAAACGTTTTTCAATACAGTTGGCAAAAACAAGTCTTTACTATAAAACCCCCAAAATGTAGTCAATAAGCTTTTTTTTTATTAAGAGAGCATTTAAGCATTTAATTGGATGAATATAATGACATGGAAGATGTGATACATAATATCTTGTTAGATCATGGATTGCTAGAGGAGTCTCAGCTAAAACACGACGAGACCTTGATTAAGTCATCTTCACTCATAATTCAACTCGACCAAGCTGTAAATGGGCACGGATAATTTGAGAAAGATCAATACCAAGAGGTTTAGCTAAGTGCCATCTGGTAGAAAGGATCCATGGTTGTGAACCTAAGTTCTTATCCGTGAAAAATATAGTTGTATAGTGTCAGAAGAGGAGGTTTTATTTGGGTTATTACATTTTATTATTCCCTACTGTCTTCTGATGGTGGTTTGTAGGAAATCATTTTATAACATAATTTCAGTATAAAACCTTTTTCTAATACATATATAAAATGCAAGCGTGATAAATCGCCAACATCATGAAATCATATTTTTAAAACTCAAAGCCAAAAAACATCTGACTTTAAGAATTTGCGGAATTTTACATTACAAATACCATACATAACATAACATTGATTGTAGGAATTTTTGTGGAACGGGTATTTAGCTCTGTATCACCAGTTTTTAGAATAAAAGATTTGAAAAAGGGATTCAAACTTTAATAATCTGACTTATGGAACATATATTTCAGGAGAAATGGAAACCTCTTTAGAAGGCTGTAAATTGGACGAATACAAATTGTGTGGAGTTCATTGACAGTTTGACAAGAGGACAGATGACTTTACCCTACCAACCTAGTAAACCGGTATGATTTAGGGTGAATGAAACCGATATTAAAATGTGACATTTTTCACATTCAGAAAGTACTAAAATATCACCATAAATTATTAAAAATATATTTCTATATCTATTTATTATTTCATATTACAGTTGTTGTTGATTTATTGGAAATTGTTTCTGTATCCAGCAAAATATGTTTCTAGTTCACCTAATATATATGTACATTGCACATGCCATTGTACATTGCACAAACCATTGTATATTGTCATACTATTGTACATTGCACACATCATTGTACATTGCATATACCATTGTACATAGCAAATGACATGGTACATAGAACAAAGCATTGTACATTGTACTTTGCCATACCATTATGCATTGCACACACCATTGTACATCGCACAAGCCATTGTACATCGCACAAGCCATTGTACATCGCACAAGCCATTCTACATTGCACATACCATTATGCATTGCACACACTATTGTACATTGCACAAGCCATTCTACATTGTACAAGCCATTCTACATTGTACATACCATTGTGCATTGCACACACTATTGTACATTGCACAAGCCATTCTACATTGCACAAACCATTCTACATTGCACATACCAGTATACAAAGCATTGTACATTATGTACATTATGTACATATTGATTTCATTATTCTTTCAAGAAGGGTCTGTACATGGAATTGGAAACTTATGATATCATTGTATGATTTATAGGCATCTTTATTCAAATTTTGGTGTGTGTGTCTGACAATATTGCACTTGCATCACAATATATATATTCTTATCATTCTATGACGAATACCCCTAGTGATGTAAAATATCCTCACTTCTTCGGCATACCTGATTTCACTCTTCGAGCGGGCTTGTCAATCACTAGCTATATAAAGTATGTTCACTCCCCCAGAACACCTGATTTCCCTCTTTGAGCGAGCTTGTCAATCACTAGCTATATAAAGTATGTTCACTCCCCCAGAACACCTGATTTCCCTCTTTGAGCGAGCTTGTCAATCACTAGCTATATAAAGTATGTTCACTCCCCCAGAACACCTGATTTCCCTCTTTGAGCGGGCTTGTCAATCACTAGCTATATAAAGTATGTTCACTACCCCAGAACACCTGATTTCCCTCTTTGAGCGGGCTTGTCAATCACTAGCTATATAAAGTATGTTCACTCCCCCAGAACACATGATTTCCCTCTTCGAGCGGGCTTGTCAATCACTAGCTATATAAAGTATGCTCACTTCCCCAGAACACCTGATTTCCCTCTTCATGCGGGATTGTCAATCACTAGCTATATAAAGTAATCCCACTCCCCCAGAACACCTGATTGTCAATCATTAGCTATGTAAAGTATCATCTCCCCTCAAAAGCTCCTGAGGTCCGAAGGGTGTTGTCAGTAATGCATACTTAAAGATGAGTTCCCTTATTTTCATTTATGAAAATAAAAATGCTAATACTTCTATGAATAGAAAGTAGAGGTGCTCTAATGACTTGGAAAAATACCAGTTTGTCCATAATTCATAATCAGCTAAACTAGAAAAGAGTTACCAGCAGAATTCGAATGAGTGACCGATCAAGAAAGGTCAAAAAGTCTTTTTTTTGTTTATCCAGACTGTACATAGATGGCTATTTACGATTGGTTAAAACTCTCGATTATATGCAATAAGAACATAATGATATGATTAAGAATACATGATAATTCATTAGAAACACCAATTAGTCAAATAGTTTGCTTAATTTGACACTAAAAATAAGGAAACTCTTAAAACCTCTTTAATGTAGACAAATCCAATATTAACATTTAAATGATTTTATTGAACCCTTCATTTTTTGGGCTCTGTAGTCACACTCTGAAGATGCTATACTTCCCAGTAGCTTTGCTCGATCTGCTTTATAATGACCATCCATTATATAATAAGTATATTCAACACAGATTAAATTCATTAGGCAAACATGAGGCAATAAAAAATTTCAGTTCATTTTCATGGGAGATCTTCCAATTTATTATACAAAGATGATATACACTTTACACAAAGATGGTGGATTAAAAAGATAAAGTGATATTCTGGTCTCGAAAGATCTGGATTTCAGGATCGAACTTAATTTACTATACAAACATGATATAAAATTAAAACAAAGATGGTGGATTTCAAGGACAAAGTTATAATCTTTTTTTTTTATGGGAGATCTTAATCAAATCTATAGTATACTTGTCCAAAGGAAAATAAACTTTACACAAACATGACGTATGGTGGATTTCAGATTAGATTTGGACAATTGCTGATTTACCAACCCCTAAATAAAATATGTCTTTAATGACGTCAGTGTGTAAGTTGAGGTTGTATTCCGGAGTAGTATTTAAAACCTTTTAAAACACTAAATACCACTATGTAGCCACGGAAGCTCTTGGAATGGTAAACGTTGGCCTGTCGTCTTTAAAATGTAGGTTATCGACCTTCGATTGTCTGTTGCGTATGTAACGTACGCTTAACAGCGTCACTGTTATCATAATCAGTACAAGAACCACAGACAGAGTGACAATAACAGCTAAAACCTCTGTTAACTCGAAACAACTGGTTGGCGATGAATCTTAAATTAGAAATACAATCAAGTGTATATTTGGCAAATCTATGCATTGGACGATTAAGATGTTAGTACAAAATGCATAAATGACTGGTTTTCTGATGTCTCCAAAGTAACCTAACAAGTTTCCTACCACAGTCCTGTTTTACCGATGTTAAAGATTTAACTTTGGATAGCGCAACCGAAAGAATTGCTTTACGTTCAATTAAGCTATCCCACACTTGGTGGGACGACTATCGACAGGGCATAGACATACTGCAAACTCCTTTCACAACAAATTCTGTCTTCAGGAAAGAAGTCCAACCATGCCATCAAAAATCTAGCATGGTTTCTCTAAGCCACAAAGAACTGTAGATGTATTGTAAAAGATGGCGGTAACTAATAATGCTTTCAGACTAATGCTTTCAGATTAAAGTTAAACTATCAACCGTTCTTCGAGTCATCTGAATGCCATCTGTTAAACTAAAGCTGCTTTAACTTGTATCTGGCTTTAACAGTAAAGCTTAGCTTGGTCGTAGGAACATTACTGACTAACATCAAGCCGGATGTGTCACAATGCGCATGCTTTCCGACAACTTCCGAGATAATTTCAAAGCTGGCTTTACCCTTTTCTTTTTTCACAAGGATCGAAGAACGGTTGATAATTAAACTGTCTGAACTAGTCGTATGCTATTAGGCTTTGCCCCCTACCGTCATTATATGACAAGTTGTTGAGTTGTTCTCTTGATAAGCATTGATCAGCTTCGTCTACACTGGAATCAAGATTTGTCCCGTCAGTAATAATCAGTGAACGCATCACCTGTTTCCTCACAGTAATGGTATCTCGCTTGCGACGAGTTGATATCGAATCTGTTATACATTGCTGAAACGACGAAAATGATTTGTTATTACTATGCAGCATTATCTATTTTCCCACCATATTTTCTTAAAATTTGTCTAGTCCTTAAGTAAGACTCAATGTTCATATAATTCATTCCATAAATTAACATTGTCATTACCTTTTCGCATTTAGTATCACCATCCTTGCAAGCCATAACGATACATCTGAAATTCACTTGATTTGATTTTATGAATTTAAAGGCAGTTATTTTGAAAGTGACTATTGAATCATTTCCACTTCTTTCTGGTTCTCCGGATGCTTCGTCAGAAATCAGTTGCTCCGCATCCTTGGTTCTGCACCTTGAAAGATAAAAAAGTTCAGGAAGATTCAAAAAACCGATGGTATCAGTATCCATATCATTTTTATTCATTAACAAGGTAACGACGAGCAGCAGTTGGGAATAATTACGTCTTCGGATTTTACAACCAGGTTTCATCTGTTAGTGATGTAGGTATTGTCGTTCGGAAGAGACAAAACACCGAGGCCCCATGTGCTAAATGCTGTTTAAGTTAAATCTTCAGTTGGAAATTGAAAAAAGGGTTAGCTAATGCCGTTGTTCTGGCAGACACTTGCACATTGCACATGTCCGTCCAAAAAGTAGGGCGTAAAACATTCATTCAATTAATTTCCATACATCGTAGGCCCTTAAACGTACGCAGTATCATGCGGTATTGATTTAAAAACCAGGAGAGGAAACTTTGGCTGTTAAGTTCAATATGGTTTGACCTACCCATTAGATACTAATGATAAAGAATTCCCCTGGTTGGTTTCAGCAACACAACTTTCTAATCTAATAGCATTAAGATCTGAAACAAATCAATTTCTAGAAACATTACAAGAGCAGTTTTGTGTTTCGTTTTTGCAGTTTCCCCACACCCAATGAGCTAATCTATATAACAGATTTTCCAAAAAGGAACTGGACGATGAAATCCGAACTTTCACATTGATGAGCTGATGACTTTAGTCAACGTCATCGAATAACACTTCGTTAATACATCTTTTCTTAAAGGATTGTAAAGAGGTTTTCTAAATTTGTTATTTGCGCCGGGAACACGAATAGCATCAATTTGCACCTGTAAGTAAATTTTCAGTAAGACGTCTGTGGGTCCTACTATTTTAAAAAAAAAAAGTTTGATGATGTCACTCGTGAAATTAGCTTTAAAACATAAGACACTTCGCAATTAGTAACATTATCAAATACTTAAGTTCAGTGGAATTCATTGAGTCAGACTGCCCATTATTTGTATCCAAGTACGTATATTGACAGTTAAAAACTACTAACACCTAGGCTGATGAATCTGTTTTTGGAAGTCTAATGTCCCTCCGCACCCTGAATTAAGTCAAATAAGAATTAAATAACTATATTACCGCTTTGTGTAGACAACTGAAATTGAAGGGAGACAACGTCACCTAATTTTACACTTTTTTTCTCTGTATTATTGGTAAGCAATTTGAATTCTATTGGACTAAATGTTTCTTCTACAGATCCTGTAGATTTCAAATCACTGAAATAGAAACAGAACAAATGTCATAAAGGAAGTGATATATTCTTTTTTTTTAAACAAAATCATTGTAACTAGCTCAGTTCTCCGTTTTTTTTTTATATATTCGTAAACTGAAAGAATATAAGCATTTCACGTTATTTCATATCCTATAGTTACTGAACGCAGTCTTACAATTTTCCACGTGCCGTTTTTTATTAGCTTTTATTTTTAAAATAGCCACTTCAGTTAGGAGTGACAAAAGTTTAGTCTAATTTAAGTTAGACTGACGGATATATATTTTATGTCCACGTTTGTTTTAGAGCATGTTTGTACCAACTAAATGGTAGCTAACAACTATTTCGTAGGACGTAGTGGGTACGAGTAATTGAATATATACATGTGTGCGTATATAAAAATCAAATGAATGATTTTATTGAGTAAATAGTAATTAAGCTAATTACCTTCCATAGTTGCTTAATTCAACATCGCTAGAAATAGAAATCTGGCCACCGGTTTGAATGAAACATTTCGCCGTAATTAATTCATCCAAACTTGTTACCAATAATTTATTGTATGCTGTTACTATCTTAAATTCATATACTCCCATAGTATCCTAAAAGGCACATACATTAGTGCATTGGCAATTCTAATGGACCTTAGAGAAAGCGGAAGTCATCGTAGAGAGTGGTGTTTCTTCCGGGGGGGGGGGGGGGGGGCTATGGTTAGGGTAAGAGGATATGCCGGTCAAATTTGTTCCCATGTTATATGGCCCACCCTCGAAAATTTTGTGACCCCGGCACGGCCCCTCACCTAACCTAAATATTGTTTATAATAATAGATTTACCACATCTAAGGATGTGAGTCATATGAAAGCTTTTCAGTGCGCAAGGAAGAACTCTATTAAGTTGTTATCAGACATAATTATCATATCTTCATGAACAATCTACTAGCTAGTTGCCAAGACCCACGTGAAGGTAACAGTATTGTTTGACCAAGTATCAACTGCTTGCTGAACAGAAAAAACCGTAGATTATATTATAAAAGCCTGATCTTGTACTCACATTTACAGATATTTGTGCATCTCCACATGAATTGTTGTAAGGGAGATATTGGGCAAGGCCTTTCCAGCCCGGATCAGCACCCTGTACTTGGTTCGCGGGAATATTCACCAAATTGCAAGATGCATTATTCTGAAGCCCGAACACGAATATGTTTCCTTGGAAAGTACCATGAGGATTGACATTAACTACCATTCCACTTTCATTACATTTCACTGACACTGGAAAAATATAAAAAAAAAGATAAGTAGGTCAAGAAGATGAAGATGCTACCAAAACGTTTATGACATCTTTTTAAGACATTCATATTCCCGAATAAAGAACGGCTACTGAACTTAAATGTAGGTTTACTTCTTACTGTTCTGGTTTAGCTGGCTCTACATGGCAGCAAAAACTGGGATGCTGTTGGTTTCAAAGTTACAGAAGTTTGAATTTTTGGACATAATTAAACCCAATTTGCTCAGTTTTTACGCCTCTGGGCTAATTAAGTCGGATCACACCACGCGGTTTTGCCATGTTAGGAAATGTACTTAGGTAAACAACTTTTGGATACCTAAATGTTCCATTCAGTCCTAACAAACAAGTACGTTTTGACATTTTAGCTGTCTCTATCGGTCAAATTTCAGCAATACGGTTCCGTTACCTCTTTTGAATTGGCAAAATGGACCATAATAATCAGTAGTACAGTAACAACCAACTGTAGAATCCTTCTTAAAACACGATCCTCCATTCTGGCAACTTTCAGTACATTCATTTGATAAAGTTTCTGTAAATAATTTATTAGTGCTGAATAAAAGCATTGCAAAACAACCCAGGTAAAGTGATCCATTCAAACGGCTGAAGAAAGGAAAAAATAAACAACAGTAGAATAAGAATTGGGATCTTCAAGGATACTGTCTTCCAGTTCGTTGCTCTTTCTTGATTGATCCACAATCCGTTCCGCTGGGTCTTTCACACATCGGCCTACAGTCCAAACCGCATTTCGAAGATTACACTGAATCTAAGAATGTATTTTAGTGTTTTGTGAGTTAGTAAAGACACGTTACCTGCATTTAAACCACAATCATATCCTGATCCAGTAGTACATGTACAAGTTCCATTTGCTTCACATTTATTACCATCGTCCGTGCATCCTACCCCAGTTCTTAGACAGACAAAGTCCCCAGATGTCGTTCCTAGAAAATACAAAAACCTTAAAGTTGGGTTGGGATGAAAAACCAAACGCACAACCTGCAATAAAATAAGGCAATGGATTAATAAAATACATACAGCAGATGAATCACAGGTATCAACCCTCTGCTCCACTTTTACCGCAATAAACAACAACAAGTTTAATGAAACCATTGGGCGAGCTATCTTTTTATCTTATTTCACAACAGAACAGAAGACAAAATACCAAACAGTTCCAAATCGCTTTTACAAATTTCTAAATTTAGCATTGTTCCATCCTAGACCTGTACATTTTGGAGAATTGAACTCTCCCTTCCTCAAAACTGTTTCAGAAGCCAAGGACCCCAAGGACTTTAGAGTGGCATAGAAAAAATAGTGTTCCGCCTACTGTATAGCCGCACTCCAACCTGAAGTTTCAGGGATCAATCCCGGAATAGGTCGCGATAATACCTTTGACTTTTTCATCCCGGTTTCCCTCTGTCAGTGATGCAGGTTTGAGTGATTGACATGGACAAAATGTCTAGTCGTTTGGATGGGACAATGAACCGAGGTCCCGATTGCTACAGACTGTGCACGTTAAAGATTCCTCAACAAATGGAAATCTAAAAAGAGTAGGTTAATGCCGCAGTCCTGGCAAATTTCCCTTATATAGCCAATATATTATAACATTACTTACCTATTGTATATACGACACCGAACAGAAATAATTGGTACCTCTTATACATACTACTAATAATGGTAGCGGAAACTGAAAAAATAAAAGAAAAAAATAACATTAAACGACCACATGGAACAGACAATCCAAGCATTTGTTCATGAAAATATCCAGGCTATTTTGCCTGAAACATATCACATTTCCGTACACTTATTATCATCGATATCCATAAAATTAATCTGAAAATCTATTCATACCCTCAAATAAATGTCAGTGTGTCCAAAATGTAATGGAGTTTTACGTCCCACTTTTCTGCACCTTGTAAAAAAAAACCTTTCTCAAAATAGAGAAACGAAAATTATCAAACCCGGTTAACTTGTTTCGACCTTCCAGAAAAGACCATTCAAACTGATGAAGCTGAAAGTCTATATGGGTTGCATTGGAACTATGTTAAATTAAATATCTTGAAAGTCAAATTGATTTGCAAGTAATACATTTCAGTTGGTTCAAATAAATATATACACAGATTTTTAATATATTCATACTTTAATTTTACTATCCTGATTGAAGACAAAATAATCACTATACGCGTCAATCTCATTTGAATTTCTATACGGAATGTAAATAGGTAGGCTCTCATTAAATTGATAAAACTATTTGATTTAATTTGTAATCAGCGTAAGATGTTTGTAAACAGAAAACCATCCGGGACATTGGCTAAGTTGGACGGACAGAAAGGACTTGTTGATCGTGAATTTTATTTTTAATAATCGTCTAGCGATTTCTAGAATTCATTACAAAGTAAGTCCTTCATTATATAAATTTGATAAAAAAAAGTCTTCATGTCTTACCTTATAACAAGATTCCTTATAACATTTTAATCTTACGTAAAAACAAATTCAATACAACAAAGGTGGGTCATAACTGGAATGAGTCAATCGTTTCATGCAGAATCCATGATAGAATTAGTCCGAAACCAGGTTACTCTTTCCTGACTCTGATAACTGCACTAGACATAGATGTGTCAGATGGCGGTCATTCAAGAGTTAAAAAAATTATATCTACGTGTATTTACAATTACGATAAAAAAAATATTTATGATTTTTACGTGTCTGTTTACGAGCTATCTCTGATCTCAGAGGGGAATCTCCGCCAATCTCTGACCATTTCAGTGAATTTATCTGGTATTTATTTTTGGTATTTAATAGAAAGAAATATTTTGAACTATATCGGTCATTTCCAGTGTTGTTTTCATAGAAACGTAAATATTATTAATTGAGAAATAATGAAAAATAAAACTTCAAGAAATTATTCGGATTACAGTTTAAATACTTCAAGCTGTTACCCGCAGTATGGTGGCTTTAAATCGATTCTTTAATCCACAGATTTACATTTATTTAACGTTTAAATTCGGTTAAATTAAAGGGACAGATTCGCCATTTTCGGGTTTGATTTTGATCTTGAATATATATAATTAGTCGTCAGAAGTACTAGAAATGTACAAACATCGCACGAAGGAATTTCACTTTCTATTTCAATATATGTCTTTTCTATATATTCCAGTCTCAAGAAAAAGACGAGTCGTCATTTTATCTTTCAAACTCGGATAATTGACACACGTGGATTTGAAGGCTCAAATTGTGACGATGAGAGGTGCTCACTAATACGTTAAGATTTCCGTTTCTGATACTTAAGTACGATTGGCCCAACAGATGGCGAATCAGCCCCTTTAAAACAGATATAGACATCATTTATAAAATAAAATTGTTATTCAACATCATTTTTTTATATCAAGTCCGCAAATGTAATTTACCTTTGAACAATTTTTTGAGAAGGTTCTGTGAAGATTCAAATGTCCATTAACCGAGACACTACGTACGAGTAGATTGATCCCAGTTAGAGAGGCTTAAAGTCCGCTAATGTCATCTACCTTTAACTAACTTTTAGACATTAATATATCAAGATAGTACCTACGAATAGATTGTTCTCGGTTTTCTTTGGAGAGGATTACATGGGAAAATCACACAGTGGTTTGTACCTCGCCCATCATATCTCGCCCTAACCTTTCCTCTGACGTATGAGATATCCGCATGTTTAGGGCCAGACTTAAAATGTCACTTTATATGTGAGTTATTCCGATCAATTTTTGACATAATGTTTGGCATAACGTTTGGAATCTATGCAAAGCTGATACAAGCAAGACACTTCCGGATATTTACGAATTAATGTCTCTATGTCCCCCATTGTACCACAATACAGTCGAGTTGTACGAAGAAGGGAAAAGCTTACCCCCTGGACTGTATTGTGGTACCGTCTTTTGGGACACAAGAACTTTATAGAATATCCGGTATTTTCAGAATAAAAGAAAATGTACTTTATAGAAGGATAAACCTTTCTGCATATTTTAACTCTGAAAGTGATACAGGTATAATAAAGTTGTAATATAATCATAATAACGATATACTGTATGTTGTGGAAAAAAAGAGTGCTAAAAAGTGTGCAGTATCAGATACGTCACAATCTTAATTAACAATGAGTCGTATGTTCTGGAAGAAAAATATTTGGAAATATTATTTTAGCCTTGAGCACTATCAACGTAAGTAAATTGTAAATACGGCCATAAAACGGAACCATAATCTGTGTCAACTATGTAAATGACTTCATGGCAGATTTTTGACAGCGGAATTCACAGAGATGTCCTCCCAGATCTAGATTAGTTTTAATAATGGTATTTGTCGTTTTATGATCGGATTCAAAAGGAACAATATTTACAGACACAAGTTTGCCATCCGTTTGACCAACTATATTTCAGTCTCAGAAACGGGAATAATTTAGCTAAGCTTATCAGTAATAGTGTTCACAGCCAACCGACGAAATTTGAGCCCTCAAATCCATGTGTTCAGATGTAACCGCTGGAAATGGAAAATTTGTCCCTTTAAAAACATTTAGTTCAAGTAGAAAAAAAATACTCTGATGCAGCATTAACCTCCTATTTTTGTGGGATCTTTAACGTGCACAGCCCTAAGCACATGGGGCTTTGGTTTTTTGTCCACAGCCCTTAGCACATGGGGCTTTGGTTTATTGTCCAATTCCGTGTCAGCCCCTCTTACCTGCATCACTGACAGGGGGAAACCGGGTTGAAAATTCCGAAGGTATTATCTCGACCTATGCCAGGATGGATATGCAGATAAGGAATGTCGTATCCTAAACAAACGCTTTTATTTATCTATTTTGAAGAAGAATCTATATTTTGGGTTAAATTCTTTTGATAGACATCGGAATGAGTTAATCCATCATCAATTCTTGGATTTAGGTCAAGTCTAATGGCATGGGATGGCACAATACCCTGTATGAATTCATGTTGTATTTGCAACCAACTAATTGAATATTATGATACATGAATAATTTTCTAGAATTTTTTATATACAGAGGTATAGGCAACCATATCTGAATTTAGCATAACAGATTTGAACAGGATTTGTTAGAAATAGTCAAGGAATTGTAAAAAAGGTTTTCTAAAAAAATTCATGTGTATCGGGGACAATGATTGCATCAATTTGCACCATTCCAATTTTTAATCAGACGTCAGTGGTTCCTGCAATTCCACGAACTGTGGTTTCGTGTGGGGCACAGGGACATCACCGAATATGAGGCAATATCTTGATTGACTCATTAATGGTTCAGCTTGGTATAGATACCAAAAGTCACGCCAAATTGGGCCCTTGTCATGGTAAAAATTCTCTAAACCTAGCGACCTAAAATGAGTCGGAGCAACTACCATGAAAATCGACATTATATATCTGACCCTAAACCGAGTCTCGATATCCCAGCCGAATATCACATCGGCTGAACTGGGCAAAGCAGATTGTTCGGGCTAGTTTGTTCCATGTACAACGTTAATTACGTAGGTTTAATATGAGTGACAATACACGAATATACAACGTAATTAAATTGAATTTTATTAAAAATAAAAAGCTTATTATTCAAAAATGATATATATGTACTACAATTATGTTTCTAGCTCACACCCAATATATGATTGACATATATGCAAATTAATTCAAAAATATTTTCAGTTTGCACGAGTATCAGATAAAAAAAATAGAAGAATACTAGGTCAATAAACAAAACAGCTTTTCAACTGACTCAACTTTCAGCTTCCCCAACCGTTACAAGTCATATTTCGTAAAGTAATAAAGGCAGACCTATAGCCAGACTCGATTGCTCGGAGGGGCAAGTAATATATCTAGAGGGGAAATAGTGTATGCTGTTTCAGAAATGAAATTGGTCGGTTGTTAGGTTTTTTTCCGAATGTCCAATCTGCTTTTGCCGGGTGACATTGCCCATTTGTCCTGGTAGCTATGGGTCTGAATAGAGGGTATAACCCTTGTCATTTTGGTATATTTAAAACAGAATATGTGAAGAAAATCACGTAAAACAGTCGTTGCACCCATACGTACTTGGAAATTCGTGTGAGTTAGTTGTAAATAATTCCGGCTTTACTTAAGGTCCGGAAAGTACTTTAATGGGACACTTAATGGGACCTCGAACTAGGAATTTCAATTCCTATTTCTATATTTATATAAGTCTTTTCTATATGTGACAGATTCATTTTAACTTTCAAACGCGGTTAAGTCTGAACAGTTGGATTTGAAGACTTAAATTTCGACGGTGAACTATGAACATTGATGAGGTAAGGTTTCTAAGACTAAACGGATGACGAAACTGCCCGTCATCAACAGAAATGAAGATTGTTACAGTAATGTGGATTCTCCGGATAGGATTTACAAAAACAATCGCGGATGATCACCAGGCGATCAGAATGAAAAAAGCCACCAAAGTAGTTATGGTGACGAAGCTGCATGTCCCAGTAACTTTTACTGAAATTGTGGATGATCAAAATGTAAGTAAGAGATGCTTTTGTCGCTGTGATAAAAGCTCTTTTGTTCAATTCATTCATTGTGTTTCTACATGACAATTTCGAGTTCTATTGGTGCTCTTTGTCATCGTTTATTTTCGTTATGTCACTAGCAAAAACCCATCTCCGTCTATTTATACGTTACTTTTTATATCGACAATAAATAACGGATACGTCACAATGAACTGTTCTGCATAAACGTGTTTGAGTTGCTCTTTATGGTGTGTTGGACTCTTATTTGCTGTGATTTATCTTCATTTATGGCTTTTTGATTAATCTCAAATCCATAACTGACAGCATGAGATTATAATTAATTTACTTATGAATAACATGCGCACGTCTTTTGTTTCCCCTTGTTAGTGATGCAGTGAAAATCATTTTGTTTATCAAGAATTGGGTACATCATAGGTCATTATAAAAATACATTGAGATGTATATTTTTTAACATAATCTTCTTATGTATATGTTTATTTAAAACGCCTGCATGTTGACAGCATAGCGACACGTTAAGGGACACATCCGTGTTTTAAATGTACTTTATTTTCAAATCATTTGTCACTTTACAAAATCAAGATGGAAAACATCTAGCAACTTGTTGTAGTTAGCTTCTTAAAATTTTTTAAGTTCATTAAACGCCAGTGTTAACCATTTTATGATGAAAAACAGTGCATAAACAAAATTTCCATTCAGTTCAATGAACAAGGACCCTGTCACTATTCTACTCACTATTACAAGTTACTAGTGAAATCAGTAGCTCAGTGTCACTAGCTGACAATTATAAATCAGTAGGTCAGTGTCAGTTCAATGAACAAGGACCCTGCACTATTCTACTCACTAGTACAAGTATTACAACTTACTAGTGAAATCAGTAGCTCAGTGTCACTAGCTGACAATTATAAATCTGTAGGTCAGTGTCAGTTCAATGAACAAGGACCCTGCACTATTCTACTCAGTATTACAGGTATTACAAGTTACTAGTGAAATCAGTAGGTCAGTGTCACAAACTGACAATTATAAATCAGTAGGTCAGTGTCAATTCAATGAACAAGGACCCTGCACTATTCTACTCAATATTACAGGTATTACAAGTTACTAGTGAAATCAGTAGGTCGGTGTCACTAGCTGACAATTATAAATCAGTAGGTCAGTGTCATTTCAATGAACAAGGACCCTGTCACTATTCTACTGAGTATTACAAGTTACTAGTGAAATCAGTAGGTCGGTGTCAGTAGCTGACAATTATAAATCAGTAGGTCAGTGTCAGTTCAATGAACAAGGACCCTGTCACTATTCTACTCAGTATTACAGGTATTACAAGTTACTAGTGAAATCAGTAGGTCAGTGTCACTAGCTGACAATTATAAATCAGTAGGTCAGTGTCACTAGCTGACAATTATAAATCAGTAGGTCAGTGTCAGTTCAATGAACAAGGACCCTGCACTATTCTACTCAGTATTACAAATTACTAGTGAAATCAGTAGGTCGGTATCACTAGCTGACAATTATAAATCAGTAGGTCAGTGTCAGTTCAATGAACAAGGACTCTGTCACTATTCTACTCAGTATTACAGGTATTACAAGTTACTAGTGAAATCAGTAGGTCAGTGTCACTAGCTGACAATTATAAATCATTAGGCCAGTGTCAGTTCAATGAAAAAAGGACCCTGTCACTATTCTACTGAGTATTACAAGAATTACAAGTTACTAGTGAAATCAGTAGGTCAGTGTCACTAGCTGACAATTATAAATCATGTAGGTCAGTGTCAGTTCAATGAACAAGGACCCTGCACTATTCTACTCAGTATTACAGGTATTACAAGTTACTAGTGAAATCAGTAGGTCAGTGTCACTAGCTGACAATTATGAATCAGTAGGTCAGTGTCACTAGCTGACAATTGTAAATCAGTAGGTAAGTGTCACTAGCTGATAATTATAGTTCAGTAGATTAGTTTCACTAGCTGACAATTATAAAACCGTTAAATGTAAATAATTGGCCAGAGTCACTAACCAACAATTGTAAAGCATCGGTTCAATGTCACTACATCGCAGTCGTATTTATGATCACCCACCTATCAGATATTCAATAATGTTAATGGTCTCCTGTGTATCCCCTTATCACCGATCTTATCTAAAGATGAATGGAAATCCAAGATGGGGGCACTTTATATAAGATAAACGTATTTGAGTGGTTTAGATGTATGCAATGTACATGTTATCAAGAAAATAGCGTTTTAAATACTTTCATGTCAGGTGTATTGGCGAATACAGAAACAAATTCCAACAAATCAACAATAACTGTACAGAACCCTACCATGAAATTATAAATAGATATAGAAATATATTTTTAATAATTTATGGTGATATTTTAGTACTTTCTGAATGTGAAAAATGTCACATTTTAATATCGGTTTCATTCACCCTAAATCATACCGGTTTACTAGGTTGGTAGGGTAAAGTCATCTGTCCTGTTGTCAAACTGTCAATGAACTCCACACAATTTGTATTAGTCCAATTTACAGCTTCTAAAAGGGGTTGCACTTTCGCCTCCCTTTTCACTCATTCCATTGGTCGGATATTTAAATTTCGGGGAAGGGGGGGGGGTTTGATTCTCCCAAATGTACAGGCCTAGGGTGGAGCAGACACTTTATTTAGAAATTAGGATTAAGGGTCTTGATATTGGGTTTTCTTCTGTTCTTATTCTGATCTGAAATTAGAAAAAAAGTATTAGAGAAGTATAGTATCTGTTATGTACTGATTGTTTTTAGTTTACTATGAACAATATTATCATTTAAGTTCTTATTTTTTGAATATGCAACTATCATTTGAGTCCCTTTTCAAACCTTTAATTCAAATATATGCCTTGAAGTTGTTAACGTATTATTACGATTGCGTCTTGAACCTAAAGTTCCATTATTAAATGTTCACAGCTCACCGTCGAAATTTGAGCCTTCAACTCCATGTATGTCAAGAATTATCCACTTTTCAGAGTTAAAATGACGCCTCTATATATAGAAATAGAGAAATGAATTCATAGTTTGAGGTATTTTTGAAGGGATTATGCGATATTCGTACATTTCTGGTAATTCTGAAGACTATTTACATGTACTCAAGACTCAAATCAACCCAAATATGGACTTTAAGGTCGTTCGAAGTCTATTTTCGAAAATCTAGAAAATACTATAAATCTATATCTAAGCACAAGGGTTCTCTCTAGAGTTGGTCGGTTGCATTACCCCCCTTCCTATAAATCCTTATTTTTTGTGATTTTTCTCTTATGCTCTCACTGCAATCATTTTCATGTTGAAGAATATACTCTGACTAAATAACAACCTCAATAATTATTGTCCAAAAATCTTTTGCTAGCGTGCAAGGAACCTCACCCCCCCCCCCCCCAAAATGTCAAAAATATACCCCAATTAGGGTAATTACCCCCAGAATAAAAACCCTGCCTTAGCAGATATGAATGACGTTTAACTGACGTTTAAAATTGACTTAATGAAAATTTTCAGATGCCATTTCCAATTGCTGATCTCTTTTAGACAGACAATAAAATAATTCGGAAATTAATTCGGAAATCACATTGGTTGGTGAGTAGTATCATTTTCTTGATGATATATATATATAAATTCAACCTTTGTCTCTACAGGTCTGTTGGAAGTAAAACAACACTTAACAAATTCTTATTTTTATTATAGATGTCACTTAAAAAAGAAATTTGACAGAGGCGAAGTTTTCAGATTACTTTAGCTATCGAACTATTTTTATGTGACTATTAAATTCAGTAATTCTTTCTCCAGGTATTACTGCAAATGATTTATTAGCGGTTTGTAAGACATTTCAGTTGACGCCTAAATATTGCTGAAATTTGGATCCATACTTTGGCTCGAATTTTTTTTACATAAAGTTATTAAAAGCATGTTTACTGAAGCAAGAGCCTTATTCTCAAATCTTAACTCGGAATGATTTTAGTGTTCCAGTCATCTGATTGGTCAATAATCAAAACTGGTTTTAAACTTAGCTTTGTTATCCAGTCAGGTTACCTAAAAATATCTAATATCTTAAAATCTGGATTTTTAAGTTTTGGAGAATCTTTAAAAAAACTGGAGGTAACTTTAACGGATGATTGAAAATCACCTTTATAAGTAAACCACCGTGTTATTATGGCAATTTGAGTCCATAGCACTCAATCATTTAGCGGATTTTTATTCTATTCGCTATGGGATAAGCTTTCCCATCGCATTTAATCAACCTGCGTCTTTTGAATAAAATCGGTGAATGTCACAAGTCGTTACAGGTGGGGCAAGATTTTAAAATGTTTGATTTGTGATAAACACCTTTTTCTTACAATATTTACTGCAGTTTATAACCAAGTGAAGGTAAATCGTCATGTAACTACGTCAGTTAGAAGTTTTGATAGCGTGAATACCATTTAAAGGCGTCTGACAATCGACCAAAAAAAAAAGTTTGCCCCTGGCTATTGAGATTCCGTCTCGACACTCATATAAACCTGAAAGCCTGTCAAATAATGCATCATATTTTTAGAAATCTTTAAACCAAACACCTCTTCTGACTTATCAACAGCGATATTACAGAGTGCTTGATTTTTTAATGGTAAGTACAGATTTACTCTTTCTTATTGAATTACATTTGAAATTGGTAAAAACTTTTTAAACTTGTAATTTGTATAAGTTAAGAAAACCAAAATTAATTCTTTATAGATGGGTTTCCTTATTTTTTAGTGTCAAATTAAGAAAACTATTTGATTAATTGATATTTCAAATGAATTACCATTTCTTCTTAATCATATTATTATGTATTTAATGTATGTACAGTCTGGATACAAAAAAAATATTTTTTGATCTTTCTTGATTGGTCACTCATTGGAATTCTGCTGGTAATTCTCTTCTAATTTAGTTTATTATGAATTAATCATTGACATGTGAAACAAACGAGTCATTAGAACACATCTATTTTCTATTCATATAAATATTAGCATATTCATCTTAATAAATGAAAATAAGGGAACCCATCTTTAAAGCAATATGAATGGTCCACGAATGAAGCTTTTCTTGGTCCATGTATCGGTATATCACTATAAAAATGAGGAAATGTTAATGTACCAACTGGTACCACCAGGGGATGCAAAAGTCTTATACTGGTCAATGATTTTGCTATGTAATTCAATTAATGTCTGAATTGATTCTAATTTTAGATGCATACCTTTTTAAGGAGATTATGTGTGGTGGCGCTTTGTTTGGGTAAGTTATTTTTTCTACAATAATTTTCAAATTCATTTTTACACGTTGCTTGACTTTTTATAATGTTGCTTATTCATTCAAAATATATTCTCTAGTTTACGTAGGTGTCAATATTAACTGCATAGTCTATACATTTTGTTTACGGTACGATACGGTACGACCTTCTCCAACACGACAAATCGAAATAGCAAAATCTATTTTCTGGCGTGTTGTTTCATGTCATCCGCTTGGTTTTTAATAAACGACATTTTAGATTGTGGTTCAATTTTTCTTGCCGTTTCAGCCAATGTTGAACAGACGTATCTGTGGCGTGTCATGCCGCAATGTTTTGTACCGTGTTGTGTCGTATTTGGTGTATAAAGGCCTTAAGTGTCCAAGAACGCTTTCACTTCATAAGAAATTGCAATATAATTCAATGCTTGGGTGAAAGGTGATTGCTTATGAATGGGATATTAAGATAATTGGACACCTTCTTAAGGCGTTTATAAACCATATCCGACATGACATATTACGATACGATACGACGCAAGACAACAAGACCTCTTAATACAAACCCATTGACTGGCAAAACAGTAGTATTATAAAATATTGCTGTAGTGTGTGCGTGTCATACGTAATAATGTCATATATAATTGATAATTTATATGGAAGATATGGAAAAACACGACAGAAAATAAAATTAAAATTGTAAGTTTTCGGAATACTTTTTGTTGTGTTGGTTCAGACCGTAGCCAATATAGTTGTGCAATTTATATTTTTCCATTTGTTTTTCGTGTCATAACTTGTCATTTCGGATCTGGTGTATAAGCGCATTTTGTTTTTGAAAATGAACAAAAGAAAAATACAGTTGAGTGTGTATATGAATTGAATTATTAATATACTTTGATTAAATTATATCTAGGGTATATCAAGGCGTCAGCTGATTTTGACTGTAGAAGAACATCTCAAAGCTGTGTGACAGGTACTTGTAATGATGTAAATGGAGATTGTGACTGTCCTACTGATGCTAATGGTGTGGCTACTCACAGAAACGCAGATTGTGGTCTTGAAATTGGTAGGGGTAATTTTATTTTTTTTACCGACTTGACAAACCCCGTCGCATATATGCCATAGAATACGATATATGTAGTTTAATGTTTTAAGATTAAGAGCTATAACTAGCGATTGCTTTGGGAACTTTAGACTTGAAGTGGTTGTTTGTGTAACGCCCTAGAGTTTGTTTAAACTTTACAAAAGCTATTCAAAAGCTGTTGAAAGGTGACATATGACTTGTTGTTGAAAAATTGGACTATGCAAGTTGTAATATTCTCTTATTTGTTACAGATTTCCTCTTCCTGAAAACCATTCAATATATTTCTTTTGTTCATGCGCTGATAATCCATCTGTCTTGCATCGATCTCATTAAAGAATACTATTTTCAGCTAAAGTAGTTCCTACAGCATTATGTGGTCCACCATGCTTGAATGGAGGTGAATGTTATGAGCCGACAGTAGGTACCTACATGTGTATGTGTCCAGAAGCCTTCTATGGAAACAAGTGTGAAAATCCAAGAAGTAAGTCATCGGTTTTCTGTACTGTTCTGTATGCGGTGATTCGAGTTTACCCAATTAATGTGCCACTCCTATATACATGTACATCATCTTGTACCTGTGTTGTTGATTTCATTTTACAAGCGCAATCATCAATCATTTCAGCATTTTAGAGAGTGAAACTCGAAACTCGCTCTCTGTCCTTTAAAAGCCACTACCATTGAATAACTGTCTCCCCCTCAATCGACTAAACAGCTTTAGACTCGTAGTTCCCACCATTATATTAATACTCTCGAGGGATTCCAGCAAATATCTGTATGGTAGGTTTCAAATAGTGGGATCAGATAATTATTTTCACTTTGCTTTGTAGGAGAAGAGTGCACCTGATGAGTCTAAATATAATAAATTGGTATGGATCTTCTAGATCTTCTATCTTTTTAATTACAGAAAAAGTCGAGTGTAGTGGTACTGAGATAACCATTAATTATATGCCCATACCCACCTTCAGTGGTGACATCTTCATCTTGGATAATCGAAATACCCCAGAATGTGCTTTTACTGAGGCTAATGGCATGTACACAGCTACATTTACTTATCAACAGTGTGGTGTTACAACTACAAACGACGAACCTAATGTAAGACTTAACATCATTCCTTACTGCCTAATATGATATGATAGCTCAAGCAGTTCATCCTAATTATGTTCCATTTCTATTTTTCATACCAAAACATGTATTGACACCTACTTTTCTCGTGCTGCCAACTGGTCATGCATAATTATTATATACCATTAAATGTTTTAAAATTAATGGCAGTGTTCGTGGCGGTATATTATTGACCATTTTCAGAGAGAATATCGTAAAGTTTGATATTGATAATGATAGTGTAATTTATGACCATCAAATGTAACTCACATATCGGGTAACTGTCAAACATTGGAAATCGCCTTGCATTTAATGAGGTATCACGTGAGATGAAGGTATGATTATATAAACTCTTTATTTTTTAGGCTGGAGATACATCCTACGAAATATCAGCTGCAGTACGATTCAATGCAAATATTGAAAGAGCAACTGATATGAAATTAACAGCTAAATGTGTAATTGACGGAACTGGACAAAGCAATTTGAACGACAACATTGGAACAGTTTCAGTAGATCAACGGTTAGAAATGTATTTCAAAGCAGCTGCATGAATTGCTTTTTGAAACTTTATATATATAGTTTATGTCTGTATCATTCATTCTCGTACCCAGAATTTAATTTCAATCAAAATCACTAATTCAGAATAAAGCCTTTGAAAATGTGTATTCCTAAGAAGCACGAAAGGTACAGAATACACTTCGCCAATATTGAATGACTCAATATCATCATTGATTAAATGGGTACCAGAATGTAACGTGATTATATGTTGGTAGAAGTATTGACTATTGTTATACTAATATCATTGGTATGTGTAAATTCATCATTTCCAAGATCATCATCACTGCTGTACTAACAACTACTAGCAAATATGGTGATCATCATTACCATCGGTTTACTGTGTAATCAACCATCAGCTTTGATCATAATCTAAATTGGCCAAAAAATTGTAGATGGTTAACATTAAACTCAAGGGAAAAAAACTAATATTTTTTAATTTTATTTTAGGACTGATTTAACCGAAGAAACAGCTTTGACAGAATATCAACCTGTATCATTCCAATTACAAGGTAAAAACGGAAATCCCATGCCAGTACCAGTTAACCTTGGTGATGAATTAAGGATCTACATACCTTTAGCCGATACCGGAAGTAAGTGATATTTGTCCTTCTGTTATTTTGACCTTTAGCAAATGTTATTACATATTATTTTGGAAGTTGAAACACACAGCTCACTTTAACTTAAACGCGACACTCAAAAGATATAGTTTTGCAGCAGTGCCTAAGATTTGGAAGTTGGGATTAACTTTCTGAAACAGTAATATATAGAACAGGGCATTTTACGACTGAACATTACTTTATTGTACGAGTAATTGTATGGATTGAAGGTCGATTAAGTCATGTTACTCGAAGGTTTGATATACTATAAATGGATTGTTAATTTCAGGATACACTAAACTTAAAATAACCGAACTTCAAACAAACAATGGTATGGTTGAACAGGATTTGGTTATGGAAACTTTAATATTTAACGGGTAAGAATTCATAATTCATACTTACTCTTACTCTTACACTTGATATCACCACCAATATCAAATACTTACTCATGATGATGGGAATACACCTTTTGTTCCCGTTTCAAAATCCCAGCGCAGGAGAGGGAAGAAATTTGGCCTGATATTAATTAGACTCTTACAATGAACATTTAACACTGAATTACGATCTCTAAATCGACCTCATCAATCACCCTCCCTCCCTCCAACCATATTCTTACTATGCACTTACATCCAGTGGCGGAGCCAGCTTTATGTCCGAGGAGGGGAGGGCGGGGGTGCGAATATCTGAGCTTGCCCGAATTTCTAACCTAGTTATGACACGTTTTCGGGGCTTCGAGGGAGGGGGTGGAGGGGGGGGGGGGGGCGCCACTGCTTGCATCCATCGACATCAATCTAGGTCTATATTTGTTATTTCAGCTGTTTGACAGATATTGGTGAAGCTCTTGTGACCGGAGATATTTCATCAGACCCTGCAATACCAGCTATCATTATCAACTTTATGGCATTTAGACTTCGAGGATCACCACAAGTCAAATTTGACGCCAGGGTCCAAGTTTGTGAAGGTACTGATACATCTTGTGACTCGGTAAGGACTTTAAATCAATATACTCCAATCATTTAAGATTAGCAAGTATTCTAATTGAATATGAATGTTGTTAACATGGTCCAATCAGAGGCTTAAAAGTGAAGAAGAGATGACAATCGAATATATTGACAATCGAAATTTGACATCGAAAATTGGGATTTAACATCCACAATTGAGATTCGACATTTTCACTTTAGATTAGCAATCATAATCGAGATTCGACATCAACAATCAACAATCGGTAATTGAGATTCGAGAATTCTTGTTGTGAGAAGTATTATCTTTATTACAGGTAGTCTGTCCATCACCACCACAATCTGTTCCATCTAATCCACAAAATATTCCACCAGCTAATCCACAAAATATTCCACCAGCTAATCCACAAAATATTCCACCAGCTAATCCACAAATTAGTCCATCAAGTAGTCAAAGAAAGAGGAGAGCTGCTCCAGATAATGAGGTTATTTTACACGAAACATTAACAGTCCTAGATCCCAGATCTAATGAAAAACTGCGACTACCCCACAACAAATCAGGTAATTATTATAACAGCTATTTAATATCCCCCCACCCACACTAGATGTAACAGTATAATCTACTGGTCTTTGATTCGGCAAAAGCTTATATGGTGTCGTATAAATAAATTTCCAGATGATCTTTTTATCAAATGATAACGGTTTTCTTTTCTCAGACATAAAGAGCCAACAAAATGCTGATCCTCAACAATGTTTACAGTCAACAGAAATCATGGTGATGGTGATCGTACTTATTGTTGCTGTTGTTTTGTTGTTGGTGATCACCACATGCTTAGCTGTTAAATTCATGAAACAAAGAGCTGCTCAAGTTAAAATCTACAATCCAGATATGCCTACTGGAAACAATACCGTCCGAATTCCACGTGCTGCATGCTAGAAACAAGTGTCCGGCTTCTGACATTTCACTACAGACAGTACTATTAAAATTTGACATTTAAAAGACGAAAAAGTAAGGTGTAGATTGTTGTGGGTTATTAAATCATACATTATTACCATTATTCTTTTAGTTGAAAAATGATGAAACTGAAGATAATCACCAAACAGATTGTAATAGGTTTTATTCAATTGCTAAAATATTCGATTTGTTGCTTTGACTATTCTTTTATTTGTTGATTAAAACCAAACAGGGTAATTGGCGTAAGATATTTGTAAACAGAAATTAACCATGGTAATTGGTGTAAGAAATTTCCTTTCCGGAAACCGATGGAACATTAGATTATTCAAGAATCTTTATAGGAACAATAAAGAATATGATGGAACCTTCTGGAAGGAACAAGAACTAGAATTCCCTTGAAGATTCATACTTCTAAAATCGTCTTATGGCTAAAAAAAATTGCTTATTTCCATAACATTTTTTTGGATTTTTTTTATATATATATTAGCTTGGAATTTTTGTTGTTAGTATACTTTACTTATTAATGAAAGAAAACGTTACTATATAATATCAAGACTTATTTACATTTCCTAGTGCATTTACTTTGCAACACGGGGTAATTGGGGTAAACAGAACACACCCAGTGTCATTGGTGCAAGATATTTGTTAACAGAAAATATGAACCTTCAGTGCCACCCTCCATCTCATACATCTCATCCCTTTCCATAAATATATAGTCTTGTTCAATGGGCGTGACTGAATTCACAATTTATGTAGATATGAAATTGTCTCTTCCCGAGAATGTTTTGAATTTCTTATCAATATAGACACACAGTATCAAGAGTATGTAGTGTTTACAAATACTACGTCTAACTCACTGGTTAATGAACTGTCCGTGTATTAGAGGCACGGGTTGTGCCCCTTATTTCATTAATATAAAAAATAACAGCAAACTGATCCTTGTCGGTTCATTTAAACTGTATATGCAGAAGCGCTATAACAAAAATATAACCTAGACACTCATTATTTCGTTTCTTGTGTCCACTACGTTATCTTGATTTAAATTGGTATCAGTTAGATAGTCACAGGAAACCTATTTTGTCTTGGTCTCGACGACTATATTCAATCTTAATAATAATTGGGGAACATCTGTGGTTTGCTAAATTAAAACGTAACGAATGACGCATAGAGCTATATAAATATGATTCACAATAACAAAAAGTTCCCACTGTTGAAATAGTGCACAATACATCAATTGTAGAGCTATATATATATATATATTAAAACAGAACCTAAAAGAACACACAAGACAAGCAAGAACTGAAGATCGCATAGCGTGAAACTTTGAGAAGCAACATGTGTCTTTAGGTTCTGTTTTAATATTTTAAAAGATAGCTTGCCAAGCAAGGTAACATACGCCAACTACCAGCTGTCAGACATGATAACAAAATCTTTAATGGCTTAATAATGAAATTTGCATTTACCGTAAAGCTGCATGTGTCTAGGTAAAAATGGTGAATTCTGTTGTGTCTTCTTGGACGAGACTCTAGCAGTGATTTGTCTAGTGATAGCAATGTTGCGACCTCAATATAGTCGTTACATTATGAGGCTTTGGGCGATAATTCTGACACTTACTAAATACGCTATATCTGGATTGGTAAACCAATGCTATTTTGTTTTCATTGACTTTGTTTACAGGTTTAAAAACATTTCTTGCCATTCTTTGTTTAAGGTTACATAGACAGTGTTTTTATAAGATAGCTTGCCTGGCAAGGAAACATACGCCCACTGGAAGCTGTCAGAAATGATAATTGAGTCTTGGGTGGCTAAAATATACATTTTCTCATTTCAAAGATCTTCATAATGCATTTGTAGAGTGAATTTATATATATATATACATATATATTTATTGTGACTTATTTATGCTGTGTTTTCACAACATTTTTCAGAATCATTATTAATAACCCAAGCACATCAAATCTTAAATCTTTAAATATGTTTTATCAGTCAAGGACAACAACTCAAAGAACATTATCAAAAAATCATCAAATTCAACTAGAACCAAGGCCTCATCAATATAAACCACGCCCAATTTCATTAACTCAGATAAAAACTGTCTCTATCGTCATCACAAACAAATTCTGACGCGTTTTTCTAAGTCAAGATCAATAATTCTAAAACCCTCAACGAAAAATCGTCAAATTGTAATCAGTTCAAGATCGCATCAATATAAATGATCACACCAGATTTCATTTAAATCATATGAAAACTGTAGTCTCTATTGTGTTCACAATATTTGACGCGTTTTTTCTTAGTCAATGGCAATAACTTAAAAACCGTTCATCGAAAAATCGTCAAATTCGACTCCGACCAAGATCTCATCAATATAAATGATCACACCAAATTTCATTTAAATCAGATGAAAACTGTAGTCTCTATTGTGTACTCAAGAAATATTGACCGATCGAAGGACACGGTAACGCCAATTACGTCCACATTTCCATGTGGGCGTATACAAATTTAAAGCTTTAGTAACTTGTTATAATAATGTTTTACAGCATAATGACCAGTTTAATCTGCTGGTAAACATAATTCAAATATATTCATAATGATTTAGAACATCAATATTACACACACGGTAGTCTCACGTTTCTGTCTTAGAAAGAACCTCATCTTTTTAAAAAACTACCACGTTAGATTTACCGACATGTTCCATTTATTGCAATATACCTCAAGGACATTTAAACGTTTTTGAAGATCACCAATTGTGTATGCAGAGCAAATATGTCAATGGACTGGTCAATAAATATTCCTCCATCCCTGTTCAACATGAATGCTAATTCGTTGATATACATGTCAAATAGCCATGGCTTCAGTATACAGCTCTGCCTTACACCAGATTCACAGTTGAAGCTAATTATGTCATAGTTTGCTCACACTGTGACCTTAACACAATTATAAATACTTTAATCAATATATACTTTAGAAAATGTGCACAGTAAAGTACTGACTAAATAATATATTTCTGCTCTATGGAGTTGAGAATATATATGTTGTCTGTTGCCGAATAATTGCTCCTGAACCCAGCCTGTTCCTCGATAAGCTTTGTATTTTCCCATTGGTTTATGAAGTTATTATTTGTATGCTTGAAGCGTCACCAGTACGTGACCTTGGTATAAATCTCGTTAGAATACATTGGAGACTCCCCCCCCCAAAAAAAAAACGAAACGTAAAAGTAATCTAATATAAATTAGATTGGGGTGACCCACACTCCCCATAGACGATGCAAATTTCCATTTGTCAGCTCTTTTTAAACATCATCATTTTTGTTCAAGGACATAGTTCTTCAAATCTTTGCAACACACACAAGACTTAAATGTCTTCTTTTCCAATATATTTTATTCTTATTTTAAGACATTTAAAATCCATTTACGAAACAAGCCACCCATGTTCACAAGCAGGCTACGCTCGTATATACAGGCTACAAACCTATTCATGAACACAAAAATATATAAATGTCCCTTTAAGACAGCCTATTTAGCACCGAAATTCATATCTTCCGACACTAATTTAAGAGCTTTATAACTCATAACAAATTAATGTGTTTTTAGAGATGGTGATTCGGGATTTATTTTTTATCAAATATGTCTAAAGAATGACATTGACATGCACGAAGGATGTTCAACTTCCGTGTTTTTCTGTGAATGATTCAGTCATCTCAAAGCATAATTGACAGTTACACCTAACACGTAGAATTTGATTGTTCTCTCATTGTATATGTTCTTCTCATGACAACAAGACATATCGGTGGTCTTATTACACCTCAGGCAAACTTCAAGTAAAAAGAACTATTTAAAGCTATTTCGGCTGTCGAGTTTGGAAACCCACCCATTTTTGACGAATGTATTCGGCTGTCTAAAGGTAACTTGAGATTGTAATTTACGTGTGCCATTTTGGAATATGGACTGTATTTGTTCCATTAATGGTTAATATAAACTCAAGGTTGTTTCCTGTCAATCAAAAAGTAAGTGCTTGTTTTTTAATGTCTTTTCACTCTAGCCATTGAAAGCGTCTGACCAAATGCAAACGAAGAGGTCTCAAAAAATGACTCTACATCCGGTATGATACCATGACATGAAGGACGACGTAGACGAACACAGAATGTACCTTCAAATTGAGCATAATTGTTATGTATTACATGCGCCGACCCTTTTCTGTGCTTTACGGATATTTGACGTTGGTAGACATCCGAGTAAATGCGATATGGTTTCAAGAATAACACCACAATAACTTGGTTCAGGAGATTCCTTTAAGTAATTTCATGCACCGAGATAGCAATGCGCTTAAATACACTCCATGAAACCTGCCTTTCAAAAGATGTTTTGATCTTCCATTTTAATATTTTTGCCAAAAAATTGCCTTAATTAAAAGTATATTAATAGAAGAAAATGAGTCCAAACGCCAAACTGAATCATTTCAAATAGAGAAAAAAATGCAAAATGCAATGATGTTGTGTTCCTGATACTGCTTTGTCCAAAATGGCAACAAATTTTGAATGACAATAAAAAGGGGGTCAGTAGCACGAACGACAGTAAATTGCCTACTTCTGTTGACATTTTCAATCCCATAATGATTATTTTATTACTACGGTTTGTATATGGTAATATAGTAACAATTTGGTCAACTTACCACTACCAATACTTTGTCTTCATTACCATTAAAGACGTCAAATTTGACATGATTGAAGGCTTACGAGAGGAAAAAAATCTATTTTGACGTTGGTGCACGGGAATAGAACAGGATGTTTATTTCCTTCATATATTTCAGAAATTGCAAATGGCGTGGATGTTATTTCATGTGGTGTGTTTAATCTTCTTTGGTAAGGATTCTTTTATGATGGAGAAGGGTTATATAGGCGAATACCTGTTCCCTAATCCCATTCATACTTTTAATGAATAAAATATTGTTTACAAAAAAAAAATGATAAGAATATGCTCAATTGTGGAATTCTTGGTCTTTACCAGTATCAAAAGTGAAGGGTCATTTTAAGCTCTCTGTGCGACAAGACTTTACAAAACGAGCTATCGATGAATAAGGTCAGCCACTGCTTTATGCAGTTTCCTTTATGTATTCAAACAAACGCAATGTCTTATGAAATATCTAGAATTGAGCTCTATGTACTAGCAATGTCATTCGTTAGGCGATATTGGTAGCGTACCAGAAACATTTCGATACAATGCGTTTTCTGTAAAGTCAGCCGTACAAAGGCTGACACTAGACCGATTTGATCCGACTATTTTTCATTTTTTTTGGTTCCATCCTACTGCTGAGTTAAACGTTCGGCCTTGACTTCCGGTTGTAGTCTTTTCGTGACCAAAAGATAACAGATTTGATGATAACCAATGGTTACACAGTACGCTTATCAACATCTATAATTGGATTTGGTAATGTGATGACATGAAACCAGGAAGAGGTACTACTACGTAGTTGTGCCTTCACCCAATTGAGCATACTGAAGTCACGATCTAAAACAATACATCATTGTTACATGTATATACCCAATAAAACTATCTTGTCTATACATCAGAGCTAATGTTTGACATAAAGAAATAGACTGAAGGTTTTATACGTCCTGGTGTCAGTAACACACTGGGACGAAAATTGAATCTTGTCATTTTCATGACGAAGATTTCGAATCATCTTCTCGAAGATTCGTTTATTGGTCTGAATTTCGATTGATGAATATGCAGGATTGAGGGTCAGACATAGTGAAACAACTACCATAGGTGCTGAGTTAATCAAGTCCACGGGCCGCAATTCAAGAAATTTCTTTAAATATGTACCAAAGTATACAATTATAATCATAGTATAGTAAGTAACCAGCAATATAAAAGTCTGATTGGAATAACATTAACTACAGATTGAAATTCCTTAAGCTCCAATTAACATCCACTTTTTTGACTTACAGAGGAGTGTCAGAATATAGGAAAGCATATGTTAGAAAGACTCTCTGTCCATTTAATACGATAATCCAACGATTAAATATGGATTCCCTTACGTATGAAAATGAAAATGCCAATACTTATATGAATACAAAATAGAGTTTGTCTCACATGTCCATAATTAATTCATAATTTGCTAAGGTGTAAGAGAATTACCAGCAGAATTCCAATGAATGATCGATCAAGAAAGGTCAAAAAGTCTTTTTTATTGTTTATCCAGACTGTACATACATGGACATTTATTTGCTTAAAACCTTCAATTATGCAACAAGAACATAATTATGATAATTCATTAGAAATACCGATTTATCAAATTAGTTTGCTTAATGTGACACTAGAAGATGAGGAAACCGATCTTTAAGGTTATAGAGCTACGGATTAGGCACCGTTCATTGTCGATCCTTTAAACAAAGGAAGAGCCAGAATTCAAAGCTGGTGAATGATGACCCTTTGTAGTATAGCTTAATTAGGTGCCAGAAGTCGGACGTATTCAATTCGTGACTGATAATTGACAATTGCAGGCCTAACTTCTGTTTTATGACAATAAAAACAATAAACTTGTTTCACCACATTCCTCCTTTCCTAATGAGATGTAATTTTTAATGTCAAAGCATGGTCGCCGAAATAGATATCTAGCCTCCTAAATCATTTTCCACAACTTCCTCCTAGAATATTTAGATTTGAAGATTTGAGAATGGACAAATAAGCAAGACCACGTATTCTCGAAACCATGTTAGCGCTAGACACAGTGTTAGCAGTTAAGACCTTGGGACATCCTGGCACTCGCTTCCAACACAATTGTTTTGTTGGTTGATGGTTGTGAGCCCATATCTTCATATCAACGAGCATGTGTTTTCCTTACCATCCAGATAAAGTTGATAATGTGTATAGATAATCCACAACCATGACCATTTTCAAAATAATATTCTTTGAAAAATAAGGGGGTTGTGGGGGCTGGGGGTTGTAAAGGGACTTCATCTTTGAGATTTCGTTTCTTGTGTACGTTGTATTGTACGTTTCCCCTTTGTCTATAATTCAGGGGAAGTTTCCTCGGTGTATTTCGAATGTAGAAGAATAGGCACGACGTGTCGCAATGGCGGAGTTTGTGTCGAGACCAAACCAGAGTGTGCTTGTGGAACACGTGATGTTTTTGTCGGCCATGACTGCTCTCTAAAAGTAGGTAGGTAGACCTTCAAAAGGGGCTATTCAACTCTTTCACCAAAGGTTACTAAACGTATCAACGTATTGTGTAAATATGCGGTATCGAAGGTTAAGGAGTTCATTTCATTATTTCTGGTTCAGACCTGGATCTAGAAAGTTAAGATTATGTAATTGTAGTCCCATTCAGAATACAAAATTAACAGATTACAAATTACCTTGTGACCAGATTCCTATGACCAATTAACTTTGTCACAAAATTACTGTGACCAATTTACCTAGTGACAAAATTACAATTTTCCTTGCCACCCGTATTACTGTGACCAATGTACCTTCTGACCGGTATTACTGTGACCGGTATAACTGTGACCAATGTACCTTCTGACCGGTATTACTGTGACTAATTTACCACCTGATCGTACAACAGTAATTGCTTTACGTATGAATGTATTTAATTGACCAATATTTATCAGTTTGTTTTTACCTGATCAGCACCCCCCCATAAGAGAAAAACCGACCAATTTCATTACTGCAACTAAACACATACATCATTGCCGCTCTGGATATATTACTTGCCTCTCCGAACAATCAAGTCTGACTACGGGCCTGGACCTGAGGGTTATAAACAAGTGAGCATTTACATCATGTCTCTATTTCAGACGATGTAGCGTTGCCGCAAGAATTATGTGATCCACTGTGTAAAAATGGCGGTGTATGTCGATCCATACCAGGCGGTTTCTTCAATTGTTATTGCAATGCAGCATTTTTTGGTAAAGACTGTTCCCAGAAGCGAGGTAAGGTCAACGCATACACTAATTTAAAAACCAGGCTGTACCTTCATAGGCAGTACAAAGCTGAACGCTTTAGTGCAATGATAATTGTAGGAAGGTGCTTTAATGAAAAAAAAACCCAAAGAGCTAATGATAAAAACCACCAAAGCAAGCCTGAAATCCAACATAACAGTTTGGCAATATATTGGTAGCAGCTAATATACTCTTCATATGAGGAAGTATATCAATCATAAATGAGGAAGTATTTCATAATGAAAGGTGCTACTATGACTTTCCGCTTCTGTAATTTGGGTAGTATGATTATATGCAGTTCATCATCATGCGTTGCAATTTTTTTTAAATAGAATAGAAAGATCATTAGCTTCTAATGTTTCGTCAATATGTGGTTTTGAATTTCGGGTTTCAAAATAGCGGTTTGGATCGTTAGTAATTGGTTTATTTATTATCCACATTTCAGCACATGTTGTGTTTTAGACATTTAAATATAGTTCACCTTTTGGGTTTCACAAATTTAAAAAATAAGTTACTCTTGTGCCTTTTTCTCCATTAACATATCTGTGTTCCAGGGACAGTGAAATGTGCTGGTGACAGAATGACAGTAGAAATGACACCATTTCCACCCTTTGATGGTCGAGTATTTGTCAGGGGGAAAGAAAATGATCCAAACTGCAGGTTTACTAGGGTGTATGGAACTTACTCGGCAACATTTTTATTTAACGGACCTTGTTCAGTTGAAAAGATGCGGGATACACCTACGGTAAGTGGAATGTTTAATTGAAAGAAAGGATAACATTGACTGCATGAATACATGTACAAGGATCCTATAAAGGATTTCAGGAAATTTTGACTATAGCTTCAAGTTGTATCATTTAGATTTCCGGCATGACGTCTGTGGTTTCTCTAATTCCAAAAACCGACTTTGACTTCAATTCATTTTGATGAGGGCGACGCCGTCAGTGGCGATGTCAGTGAGGGTACATCAGGGGCATTTGTGCCCCTAGAAAACTGGTTTGCACCCCTAATTGTATCCCCAATTTTTTTAAAAATACGATTTCCAAACGTTCCAAAAAAAAACAATGGACGTCAGATGGTATTTTCCTAAGGCGTTCCTAACATCAAGAATTTCTATCAAAAAGACTCATCAATAATAGTTTCCGATGAGCTCCACATCAAGTAAGTTTTCTAATGCAGGGCAACAATTGTTGCTAAAAGCGCCCACAATGATTTTTATTTCTATTTTAGCCAGGGGATGAAACATACAAAGTAGAAATAACAGTACTACACAGTCAAACAATACAGACCAAATACGACATGTTATTTACAGGTTTATGTGTCCATTCTGGTACGGGTAGCAATAATATTGGAGATCAAACTAGCAATATCGGTGACAAACCAGGGTAAGTCCAATAAAGGCAAACTATAAAAATATGGGATTTTACGTCCTACTAAAACATTTTGATTGAATAACGACTTTTCATACGAATTTTTTGATATACTTCTTCATATGAATAATCGTTAACTGCTATTGTCTTGCAATATTTCATTGGAATTTTTATATTGGTTTGGATCTTTAGAACTTGTTTTTTTTTTAATTATTGCCTGAACTACCAAAAAAACAAGTATCTTTGACAAGGAATGGAAATGGTGAATGGTTAAGGTCACCATCCAAATTTGTTGGCAAATTACGAAATTAAATCCCACAGTATTTCAACGCTGCTGATTAGAAAATGGTCATTAAGACAGACCTTCAGTTAGATAAAAAAAAAGTTCGCAGTCTCAAGATTATGGGGACAAAAGGTCTAACGCTCCATGGAATACACTATTTGCTCGCGTCAAGTAATCCCAGGAAAGGAGAGGGAAGAACAATTGATTAGCTAGCAGAAGGTTTTGGAACCTAACTTGGGTGGTTGCGTATAAAAAAGCTAATAAGAATAAAGAACGAATTTTGACCTAATTTTTTATTAGATACTCATGGTTGACTTGTATTTTAGAGGACCAGATGAAACAACCAGCTCCAACTATCAACCAGTTGTATTTGAATTACAGACCGTGTCTGGATCTAATATTGTTCCTCCAGTATTTATTGGTACAGAACTACGATTATATTTCGCCCTATACGATACAGGAAGTATGTTTGTTTTCATTTTGTAACAAATTTATTTTGAGAGAGAGATTTTACGGTCAGACTCTCGGCAATTGCCAAAATAAAAGCAAACACATCTCGATCAATATGGCCGCGTTATTTCTGTATTCCATGAGCTGTTCTCCAATTTGTTGCCAGATTTGATCTGAGTTTTCGACCTATATATATTTATTGAAGTGTATCTAAGCTTCAAACGCAAAGTTATTCTGGAATTGACATAGATGCTGCTTTTGACTTCAGGAATAGAACAAGCTCTCTGATATCAATGATGAAATTTTATGATAACAATTGTGTTTAATTGCCAAAAATGGGACCGATATTACCAATGTATCTGTATGTCATTTCAGAATACAAGAAAATCTATATTGCTGATTGTGTAGCTTTGAATGGACTGACTGGACGAGATCTTCGGTCTTTAACTATGGTGAAAGATGGGTAAGAAGGCTTATTTTTGTCTTATATCGCTTAAAAAGGACTGTAGACTGTCGATTATATAGGCGAAATACATATTTGCTGACTTATAGGAGAACCGTGTGCCGGATTTTAATTTTGAAAGTTGATACAGATAACTGAAATTGAACAGCTGGTGAAACAAATGAAAATTATATCCCTGTAAAGAAAATGATATATAAAACCTAATAATGTCGTACACTTCTTTCTTATTTTGTTTATGGCTGATTATTTTTTGTTAGATCCTTTTTAATTGGCCTATTGCCATAATAATGCAACGTGACAATTAATACCAAGTCACCTCTTCAAACCAGTAAATCTAAATTTAGGCATGACTGTATTCATAACTGAATCATTTACGAAATAAAACTAATAAACGGAAATTTAAGTCAAGTGCGCTGCACCAGTATGTCATAACGATTTAAGAGAAATCAAAGAGATTTTCAAGCCTTTTATATGTGAATCTGAGACAGTTTAAGCTTCTTCCTGCACGATCTTTTTTACCATCTGACATTTAGTGTTTCTCATTTACGAGATAAGAGAAGGATCACAGGAGCATCAGGCCGAAGCCAAAACGAAAAAGAAAACGGCAGCTATGTCCTCGATCATCTACTCAATGTCAAACTATTATGAAATGCGTCTAATTTTTGTATTACGTAAGTTTGTTTATGCAGCGATTTTTATTCGACTGTACGTTACTTACAGAATACAGCCATAGCCCACGATTAAGAACTCAGCTACATTGTTTACAGTTTATATGTCGAGTGCACTGATTGGCTGTATTCGGTAGAGTACAATCCAATCAAATTGACATTGTGAACATGGTCCTCCATATACGTATAAAGCTTAAAAACATTGGTGGGGCATTTAATTTTGAAAATTCATTTCATTGCAGATGTCCAACAGATGAAGGAAGAAGTGTAGTTATGGGACAATTAGTTTATGATCTAATCACTCCATCAGTAGTGGTCAATTTTAAAGTATTCAAATTCGTTAATTCTGATACTTTATCGTTTCAATGTAACATTCGTGTATGTACAGCCAGTGAAACAGATTGTAATCCTCCGGTAAGTAACAAACTAGTTTATTATGAGGATTGGTTGAAAAGTCCATTGGCTGACTCGGAAGTAGGTATAATGAAACCTGGTATACATTGAATTCAACAATGAAACCAACCACATTGTTTCTTTTCAAATCAAATGACGCTGATTGAATGACCCAAGACTTTTCAATCCAACCTCGTAGCTTGCAGATTTTGACACGCCTCTCACCAACAAATTAGGATCATCGAATACTTCCGGCATTATCGAATCTCTGATATCAGAGAATATTTTGGGTTATGGCCTGTCATTTTTTCGATAGTATACACATCATCTGACGATTAAATTGACGTAATTTGTTTTGTTTCAGCAATTTTGTCGACCATCAAAAAATTCTATTCGAGGGAAAAGACACATACATCTTCATTCTAGAGAGTTTACCCTGTCTTCCAACAATTTCTTTGTTAAAGAACCTTTAAATCGAACCCATACTCAACGAATAGTGAAAATTGGTAGGTTTGAAAATTGTATTACCTTATGAGTAAAGTGAACATATTGCATTTCAAGAATTCATGAAAAGAATGACTTATTCCAGTGCAAAGTCATATGCTTTGGCAGCGAAGGAAAGCTCGATGATCATGTAGTCTATGTTTCGTTTTTAAAATTATTCCAGGATCTACATTTAAGATCAATGATTTCATACTGTCTTTGTTCGTTTTCGTTAGGAAATCCTTTATTACACAGATCATTTAATGGTTGATATAACATAAATAAGAACATTGGATGTATAGCAATTTCGTCAGAATATGGATGAGAAGTGGAATCAGATAGTACAACTAATCTTATTTCAATTTCAGATTCAGGTTTAGATTCGAATATTTTTTTTGATTGATTTGTATTTAAATCAGATTTGAATGTACAACTACTCTCATTTCAGATTCAGACATCGTGTAAGGTGATTTGTATTTTAATCAGATTTCATTGTACCACTAATCCCAGTTCAGATCCAGGTTCAGATTCCGATATCGTGTTGGTTGTTTTGTATTGTAATCAGATTTCAATGTACAACTAATCTCATTTCAGATTCAGGTTCAGATTCAGATTCAGATATCGTCTTGGCTGATCCAGAAAGTTGTTTAGAAACAAAGGGAATGATGACGACAGTAATCGTTCTTGCTATTGTGGTGGTGATTTTAGTCGTTGTTTTATTATGTATTGCTGTCAGATTCATCAAATCGAAATATCAAAAAGGCGGCAGAAACGAACCTCAGACATCACGACTTACGACGTGGCTATTTCTTTAATCGTAAAAAACCCTGAATTTTTTATAAACCGAATTTGTTTTTCTTGACCAAGGGGGCGTATTTGAGGTCGAGCTATGTTAAACAGTCATATTCAAATACAGCTTTATATATTTTGTTTCGTTTTTTATGCGTAACTTTACTCTAAATCGTAGATCTGACAAAGCTTTTCCCATTCGTATCTGCGGTGGCCATTGTCTGACAATAACCTGATATGCAGCTGGAAGAAAATCTTCCTTAATTGTTACAAAATATGGTTCATTCGTCAGATGTTAGTTATCTCCCTTGAAGACTTGAGAAGTCAATCAGATGTCAACAATTTAATCATTTCGTTTCCACGAAAGGAAAGACAATTGGAGACATTGCAGACCTTATACGATGGTCATGATTGCTTAAGTGTTTTGCCTACCGGCCATGGAAAAAGCCTGATTTTTCAGATGCTGCCATTGGTCTTATCATAAAATTTATTGTCACATGCCCTAATATTAGAAAAGTAGTCCGATTTATCCACCAGCTGCATAAAAGGTTATTGTCAGGCGTAGCGAGAATGGCCGACTTATTTACGATTGGGCTATTATGTATCACAATGTAGTGTAGTAACTTCCAAATTACATTAAGTCTAACGGCACATCTTTCAGAGGGTCCAAATCAATGTAATATTGATATACAAAACAATCACTTTATAATCACTTTAAAATATTTCTAGTTAAAACTTTCATTAGATCATTTGATTAGTCCAAGCATATCTAAAGACTCTGAACATATCGTTATGAAAAAATCACTCAGATTCATACGTAGTGTGCATTTAAATGTATAATAACGTACAGAATTACGAAGCATATGTATTGTAATACGAAAAACTGGTATCTTATCAGTCCTTGGCATGTATGTACATTGTATTTTTATTTTGTGATATTCCATCCTATTGCGTTATTACATCAGATATAAAAACATATTTATTTCTTTCGTTTTGGTTGCTGTATGTTAGTTGCTTTCATCCCATTTTAAGTACAGAAATTTTGTGTCAGAGTGCCGTGACTTTTCGACCTGGTCCCCCAGGTTTACGTGTCGCAATTTGTTCATTAACATTTCGTTTAACGCATCAAACGTATGTAATCAATGGCAAAATGTCCACGTTGACATTTCAAAGATAATGCACCGGCCTTGAAAAAAATGCACCTTTTGATAATGGTAGCAATATCTCTCACAATCGCTGTTATGAACAAGTTTAGTCAAGTCGGTCCGGACTTCGAGTTTTGAGTTTAGATGAGATAAAGACCAAAGATGCATATACTCTTATCTTGAAAATAAGATATCTAGAAAAGTTTAAGATACATCATTCGAGATAATCAAAATTCTTATCAATTTTGGTGTTAAAATGGACTTTGCAATATAACTTTGAATTTGTACTACGATTTTTATCAAGTCATTAAGTTTAAGAGTTAAGTGGTCATTATGGTGAACAGTGTAACGTTTCCATTCAATTTCGAACTTCCGTAGTAATTATAAATTATGTATATAAACATTAATAATCATTGTTCGTTTCATTTTATATAATTTATCTATATGACTGTTTCTTATTGGGATTTATAACTTTTTAGGATTACAATATGTTATTATTGGGATTATCATTTTTAATAACTATTTATAGTGGTAAGTAGTGATCTTTACATAATATTCAGGATGGAGATATTTCATTCTTTGTTACATACAATAGTTATTTCTATACAATGTTCATAAACTATAATACAATACAATACAATGAAGATTTAAAAAAACAAGCACCAGGCAAACATAAGTTTATGATACACGCACACGATTTAGTTCTATACTCAAAGCATCGATTTGTACCATTCACATTTTCAACCAGACGCCGTGTGACATTCTCCCCGAGTTTTGTTTATGCAAGTTTATAAGTATGTTTAAGCGCGACAGGCCCCGGTGATCTTAACCTCGACAACCCCCTACCCCCATAAAAAAATCTTGAACTCTTATCGACAAAGTGATCACGAGACAACTCTGCAATTCACTAAGATACTTTTCGGATACCAAATTTGTATTTTTCCTGATTTGAAGGGATATATTATTACCCAGGGGATTCCGTTTTGCACAATACCTTTGATGGGGATGAGCACAGACGTTATTTAACAATATTATGTTCAATCCCTGTTTGAATTTGATCTTCAATGGGATATAGGTTGTAGAGCACATCCTCCCACTTTCTGACTGGTTTGTACGTCCAACTTAGGTGAAGATAATGGAGAAGTCGAACCCGTGTAATTTATGAATATAATTGAAGCTACAATCTTCCCCAATGAGCACAAAATCTGCAGGAAAACCTTTTTGCCATCATTTTATATTCAATTAAATGAAATAGAAATGCAAATATGTCGTTTGTCGACCAGTCTTGAAACACCTGATACCACATTTCGTCAACGTTAATAAACTTGACATCCCTGTCGTAAGGACAACGTGGCTACAAATATTTCAAGAGGTTAACAAATCACGATTGGATAACCACGAGTTCTCATTTGTGATAAACTTGTGATTAGCGACAACCAGTTTAATCATTAACATACACTAACTGTTAGATAACGAATCCGTGCTTGGCACGAGACAGAACTACTACATATATCTATTAAGAAACCAACAATAACAAATATTTTCACAGTTATAACATAACTGTTCAGTTATAATAAGAAACTATTCTGAAACGGATGATAAGCATCTCATTTTCGTAAAATTGAACATTGCAATCACAAGTCATAATTGAACATCACAATGAACATTTAAATATTGAAATATATATTTCAAACCAAAAGTAAACATTCTACTTACCAAAGTGGATATTCAAAATACCAAAATATACACCAAAATGAACATTGAAGAAACTAAATGGACAATTCAAACATCAAAATGAACATATTTCATACACCAGAATGAACATATTTCAAACACCAAAATATACACCAAAATGAACACATTTCATACACCAAAATATACACCAAAAATAAACATATTTCATGCACCAAAAATAAACACACTTCATAGACAAAAATGAACATATTTCATAGACAAAAATGAACACATTTCATAGAACAAAATGAACATATCTCATACACCAAAATGAACATATTTCATACACTAAAATGAACATATTTCATACACCAAAATGAACATATTTCATACACCAAAATGAACATATTTCATACATCAAAATGAACATATTTCATAGACAAAAATGAACACATTTCATAGAACAAAATGAACATATCTCATACACCAAAATGAACATATTTCATACACTAAAATGAATATATTTCATACACCAAAATGAACATATTTCATACACCAAAATGAACATATTTCATACACCAAAATGAACATATTTCATAGACAAAAATGAACACATTTCATAGAACAAAATGAAGATATCTCATACACCAAAATGAACATATTTCATACACTAAAATGAACATATTTCATACACCAAAATGAACATATTTCATACACCAAAATGAACATATTTCATACACTAAAATGAACATATTTCATTCACCAAAATGAACATATTTCATACACCACAATGAACATAATAAATTTAATACACCAAAATGAAAATATTTCATACACCAAAATAAACGCTTACAGAAACTTGTAATCCACATTGCAGTTGTGAGTCAAAGATGTCCATATGGATGGTTCCATCGTCCTGGAAGTCAGTCCTGTTACTTGATAACTCACGATGATGTACCTTATACTTGGAATGACGCTCAGAATAGATGTACATCATTTCAAGGAGCTCTGGTCAAAATAAATACACAAGATGAAAAGGTAATGTACAAAATTTATTTCAGTTTATCACGAAGATAGGGGCGGTAATGGAAATGCGGAAATGCCAAGTTTCTAAGAACAATTGGTTATAACTCGTTTTGCGAAATCATCATCAAGATATATTGATGGAGCTAGGCGCACAATTTTTCAGAACTGAATGTTGGATTTACTTCAAAACGTCTTACAGATAGCCGTGACAGAGCTCTGACAGTTGTGTTTGCAAATAATGACTCTCTGTGTATCATGGTTTTCATCTGTTTTGGAGAATTGAATCCTCGAGCACCCATGGTATGTGAGCCGTACCTATTGCTGGAAAATTTGTTAGGGAATCACTGCTTGAGAAGCCACCATGGCTATAGAAGTTTTGAAATTGTGTAAGAGCTGTATAGGATGTAGATTTTAAATATCTATACCTACCCGGATCCTGAGTTTAAAAGCGATATCGTTATAATCTGGAGTGTTAGAAATTTGAATTAAAAATCATAATTAATATTTCTGTCTCGTATATAACATACATATAACTATATTATAATCTATAAGTACAACTTAATGATTAAAAAGTTAAAACTTGACCTACATTTCTCAGCTGGTGTACTTGACACAATTCTGTAAAACTTAAAATCTGAAGTTGAAATTACTACGATTTGGAATGCAATCATTTTATTTAAAAAAAATTTCGTAAAGCAATGTCAACATTAACCTTGACATAGAGTTGAAACGCTCATATTGGGAAATGTCTACGAGCAAGTATGGAAGACTATTCAGATCAACAACAACATCTATTTTTGTAAGAATGTACAATATAAGAAACTGTTGATAAAAGCCAAGACTCTGCTGAAGGTAAAAGCAGGAAAGCAGTACGGGGTGGGGTGGGGGCGGACTATGACCCATTAAAACTGAGACTAACCCGTCTTTGTCCCCACAACTGCATATTTCTTATCATTTTAATTGCCTCTGAGCCAAATTGACAATTTTGTGGGCGCTACCTCTTTCTAGCCTAATGATTCATAGACACGTCACGCTTCATACATGACATGGAATGACTACTCTTCGGACATGGATTACTCCCACTTTTAGTGTTGAAGACGAAAAATGTTAAAATAACCTCACAACGTAAGAACTATGATAGAATTATGTTCAATGGAAGAAAGGGTTATCTCACATACCTTGTAATTTCAAAGCAAGCTTATGTACCTTTAAATCTAAGAGTTCATATACGCGTCATGCGGATGCGTCATGCGGACATAAATGGCCCGTGCGGATACGTCATGCGTCAAATATGATTCCATATGTGCGTTAAACGTATGCGTTATCTTTCTTTTGACACACAGACTTCTAGACAGATGGATGCTTTGGTGCATAAAAAAGACAGGGTATCCCCACAAAATACGTCACATTTGGGAGATCTCCACGCGGAAAGGCGTCCGGATGCGTAAAATATCGCTACACCCGGCGTTTTTTTTATGCATGACGGAGACCATTTGACGGATACCGCTTCCGCGGTTTACGAGGATTACCCTCTTCGATTTCGATTTTTAACGCATGACGGATGACGGATCCGCATGACGCGTATATGGTATCTTAGTTTTAAGCTGAAATCAAAAAATAAAATGTTGTATCAATTTTAACAGGATTGGTTAATCTCCCAATTAAATAAAATACAGCAACTATTTAACAGTAGTAAAACAGCTACCAAGGTCACTGAATGGTGGATCGGACTTACTAATAGACAAGATAGTAATGACTTTGTATGGACAGATGGTACTCAGATGAACACAAGTTTGATGTATGTACTATTTTGGTCTCCAGTTATTTGTGCCAAATCTTCTTGCTGTGGTAGCGTCAGACAAGAAATGAACTGACATTTTTTGCTTCCTAATTAAACACGAAAACGGATAACACCATGCTGTGTACACGAAGGAAAAATAGCCAGGGCAGCGTCTTTTGCCTATAAACAGTCTTTAGATAACGTGAACGTTCTATACCAATAAATATGTTGTGAACCGAGCAAGACCCAGCACTCAACCACAAAGTCCATTTGATAATCACCTTTTATATCAAACATTTCAGAACTTTCAACACTGAGTCAGAAACTGATAAGCAAGTTTGCGTAAGAATTCAAAATCTGGATTTTAATGCTGTAAAGTGTACATTATGGAGACACTTTATTTGTGAAAGATCGAAAGGTACATTCTATATCAATCTACTCTTGCTTCGATGGTAATACCAATTGCATATGAAATTTATCTGCTTTTCTCCGACATGTGAAGTAGGCAGGTAGAAACACAGCTTCTCTTGTAACTCAATTCTATATGAATATTTATGTACAATTTTTTACACAGTTTTATCAATCTGTATTTGAATTTCAGATATACCATTAAAATGTGAAATTGATGAAGGTTGGACGAGTTTAAATGATAAATGTTATAAAGTATTTGATTATAAAAGAACCTACAAGAGAGCAGAGTAAAATATCTTCTTCACTTTGTTTAGTCTTTTACTGAAATGTTGAAAGGAACTCAAGTCGACTGTTGATTCAAAAAATCCATCGAACTTACATTCATATGAATCGATTAACCGACTGCAAACGATCGCACGTTCTGGCCACTGTCAAGGTCAAGATTCAATTGTTGTCAGAGCGTAGAACATGAGCTACTGATAACAAAGTCACCGATTGTGCATGCTTGGCTCTAAGCTCAGATTCATAGTTTAACACATTCTTACCAACAAGGTTCCATATTGTGGCCGAACACTCGTTGTCTAGTTAGGAACTGAGGATGTTTGGTTGCTAATTTTGCAGATGGGATATATTTCAAAACGTCTCAAGCTGCGCAAGAGTGAGACTCGGTGAACTCTTTAGAGAGGTTAAGGAAACACCCACCCCGGCACGAAAATGGGTAGAAACGAAAACAGCCTCACCCCAACGCCCCTTACCCACTGTTCCCTTAAACACTCGCAGTTGAGTGATCTATGTTACAGTGTAAAATGCCAACTTTCTGATGCTACATTAGCTACTATTCCGGACGACTCAACGCAGACGTTTATCTGGGGACTTGTTAAGAAGTATGGGGCTAATATTTGGATCGGTTTGTCCACTGTGATGCAAGGTGAACAGTACAAGTGGCAATGGATCAATGGAACAGATTTAATAGCTGATAAAGCGTACTGGAAAGATGGTTCACCAACTCAAGCATCTTTACAGTAAGTTATCGCTCTTTTCTTCTACAGTTTTGTGGAACATCGTTTAAGTTTAGGCAACGTTATTACCCCACCGCCTTCTGACCAAGAAGCTTTACAAGGGTGCCTAATTATTATCGCCATTCTGAAACTCCCTAGCCTGAGAACAAGAACAAAACTCGAAAATAACATATCTGCATTTTAATCGGAAGCATCGTCATCTTCAACGAACAGACCTAATTCCTTGATTCGTTCCTAGACTTTCTTTTGCTTGCTCCAGAATCATTGATGATGGCTGTTGAAGTATCTCATATGTCAATTGATATTTGTAAAATATTCCAGACAGTCCAATGGATCTTGTGTTCAGATGTTAACTGGACCGACCATAAAAAGAAAGCTGTCCTGGCAAACCAATGATTGCTACGATAGTATGGGGTTTGTTTGCCAAAAACCACAAGGTAAAATTACTCATATTGCTAAAATGAGTCTCAAGCCGCTTTAATCGTTTTAAAGACATGTTTACATAAATGTATTTCACCACTTTTGCAATTTCGGTCCCCCAAAATATTTTAAGTTCATGTCTCAGTTCGTCATATTCTAGAATTCTTAGCAATAGCCACTTTAGCTGATTCCCATCTGGTTGGACATAACTCAAAAGACCAGCTCGCTATTTTCATGTTACTGCACAATAGTATTTAAGATATGGTGCCAAGTTTGTTCAATTTTGTTAACCCATAATGATGAATAAGATTAATTGAGCCCATCCAAGAATTTGTTTCTCTACACTTTAGGACTAGTGTCATCTTCTATTTTTGTCGCTTACGATTTTTCTTCATCCCATGTAGGTGTTTGTGAACCAGGGTGGTTGATACACCAGAGCAACTGTTACCAGATCAACACTAGACCTATACTGTCTTGGGACAGAGCTAACGCTTACTGTACAGCTCAAAGAGGAACATTACTCAAAATAAATTCGTAAGTAAACACAGGACTTGATGGACTATACCTTTCATCAAGGTTTCACAAGACAACAGTCTGAAAGTACCAAAGTCTGTATAAGAACAGCCTGCTTGAAAACGAAACTGCAAATGGCGGAACTATTTAACCTGAAAGTAAGCCTTATATCTTGAAAGACAGAAGCCCATGCAGAAACCTGATCTTTTTGATTTCATTCAGTGAAAATACCCCCCTCCCCCTCCCCCCGCCCCTTTTCCCAAAACATGAAAAAATGATTTTGATTCGCCTTTAGAGAACCCGAATAGATATGTTGGTAATGGAAAAAGAATATAATCGTTTTGCATCGTTTTCAGTGCTGCTGACCAACTGTACGTAAATGATAATATATTGAGTACTCTTAAACCTGGTTCTGGTGGCCTCTGGTTTGGAGCTGTAGGTTAGTCAAACATTTGAGATGATATTGCAATCATAAGCTCATGATTTTATCAATATATAAATATGAATGGATTTCAATCTCATTTCTATGAAAATGCCATAAAAGTATTCCAATGGCTTCCATTGCCATGTGGCATCAAAATGTTTGGTAGTTTTAAGGGATTGCAAATTTCCAGATAACCGTGATACCTTGGAGCTTCAAGTTGAGCCCATCAACATCGATATAAAGACTGTTAAATTGATATTTATGGATTTTTTAAAGGTGAATGTTCATCGATCTTCCTTCATTCATTCTAGATGATGGTAAAAACGGTCCTTTCAAATGGAGTGATGGTATGGATATTCCTAAAGCTAACAAGAATTGGGCTAATGCCTACCCTACCAATATAGTAGACAAGAGAGACTGTGGTTATATCGACAATAGTGAGTATTTAAAGACTGATGTAAAATGTTCCAAGTAATTGTATAATGGCTAGTGTGTATCCCTCTTCTTATGTATGTATGCCTCAGGTCTTTTGAAGGGTCACTGAATAAATGTACTTTTGCTATTTGGCACAATTTTTTACTAATGGATAGAACCAACATCAACCGCTTTTCATTTTCAACTGTCTCTATATGTGCTTTTAATCAAACTTATATGGTTGAAAAGGGTTCGATTTCTAACCCTAAAACAAAGCCGTACTCTATATATTATGTTTTGTTTCCAAGATGATGTTAATGGAAAATGGCAAACATCAACTGACTGCTCCCAACCACGGGCCTTTGTGTGCCAGATTCCTGTTAATCAAAGAGTCCGAAAAGTTACCATTCCTCCGGGTAAGAACAAAACCAAATTCCAGGTCATTTATTCTTAGGGTTTATTTTGGCTGGTATTGATTGTGGAACAATGAGATTTTCTCTTTTCTTTAGCGAACAAAATGACACATGAATCTGTGATTTTATAGTTCCCGAAATAATTTAATTAAACTATGTAGAATTACTACAACGTGGCAGTCTTGGCAAAATCTTGCTAAAGTTTATAATTATACTCTTGATACATTGTTTTATTACAGAAACCTTTACCTGTACAGATGGATGGAGTGTGTTTGGACAGTATTGTTATATGTTTAATGATACAGATATAAGTTGGCCGAATGCTAGAGCTGCTTGTCAGTCTGTTGGTGCTGATTTAATACGTATTGATAATGTCGATTTGCAGTCATTTATTACTGGTATGTACTACTACACAGTTTGAACCGTTACCATCCACTATTCATAGCTCGATTGAGAATTCCCAGTTAAGCTTAGAATTGTTTAGCCAACCATCGTACATATGATCCAATTGATCAATAACATTGCACTACAAAAGACAACAACAGAAGATGTCTGCTCATGATGGTATGATAAATATTACAATATATATATTGCTTCAATCGTAGCTGATTTGTTTGGTCATGCATAAATTGATCCGTCGGGTAATACACGCGAATCAGAACATGTTTACTCTTTTTCTTTCAAAACTCCAGCGTCCACTTCTCTACTGATTTTACTCTCGGCTATGGTACGATATTGTGATGAACGGAATTGTCTTGTTTGTATGGATTTGTATTGTGATAAATCATGTATGCTGTTTATTTTTGTCCTAAATTTACTGTCAGAAACTGATATCGCCAAGTAGTCAGAGAAAGTTCAAATATAAGGGTTTCAGATGATGAAAATAATGTAATTCAGACATAAGGGTTTCAGATGATGAAAATAATGTAATTCAGACATAAGGGTTTCAGATGATGAAAATAATGTAATTTAGATATAAGGGTTTCAGATGATGAAAATAATGTAATTCAGACATAAGGGTTTCAGATGATGAAAATAATGTATTTCAGATGAAGTAAGGAAGAATAGAGGGAATTATTGGATTGGTTTACATGACAGACCTGCCGAGGGAAAATATGTCTGGCTTGATGAGAAAACTGAGGTAAAGAAGTTTCATATTCAGAAGTTCAAGAATCATGTAGGATCTTCCAAGCTTTGATACGTTCCAGCATTCGATATAATCGGTTTCTCCCAAAATCTTTTCGTCTGAATATCAGTTGCTGATAGAGCTCGATTTCAGGTACCGGTATCATTTTTCTCAATGAAAATTCGGCTTCCTGTGTGTCCGCAATCTAATCAAATCACAACTAGATAATCCAGACCCGCAACTAGCTACAGTGGGAAACAATTCTGACAACCGAACAATTCCCTCCGGATATATTAATTACTCCTCCGAATAATAAAGTCTGGCTACGCGCCTGGGATGATTAGTAAAAGGGAGAAAAGAATATATTTCTATTCTGTAGGATGTTTTCAATAACTGGGCGCCTGGTCAACCTAACAATGTTGGTGGTAATGAAAATTGTATATATGTTGCTGGAACACGAGGCAACGAGAAAATGGGAAAATGGTATGATTATCGATGCAACATGAAACTGAATTTTATTTGCCAAAAACCTTCAGGTTAGTTTGTGAGATATGCGGTGAAAGCTTTTACCATACGCTGTCAATCTTTCTGCTTCTATCGAACAACTATTTACCAATGGCGTAAGGGCAACATTCTCGACTGAACTTGATTTTCAAAAATGAAGTAAGGTCCGGTATGAGTAAAGTAACCCACGAAATAGTTGGAACTGCATTTTGGAATCAGATTGAAATTTTACGCCAATTTTATATGTGCTTGCAATTGCATTGCTCCGAACACATGGTACATAATTGTGGCACATGTAATCGTCAATTCGAGGTAGTAGTTAGCATCATGATTGGACAAGCCTCTTCTTTTTCAGATAACTCTGGATTTACAACACCTACACCAACCATGGCATGTAAGTAAATTAGTTTTCTGATCTGAGGAGTGGATATGTCAACAAACACAATTGCAGAGTGGTTATTCTGGAATCTTCGGAAAAGATGAACATTTGCTAATTTTAAGCATGATTGGAAGATCTCAATCGAAATACTTATGCTTTTTGGGAAACCATACGATTATCGAAGAACCGAACGGTACTCTCCATGCATCTAGAGGTTTGGAAAAATCTTACGTTCGTGTATCATTTTCAGCTTTGTTTAATCCTAAATGTGGTTTATTTTGGGAGGATAATCCTCATTCACCATATTGTTACCAGTTTCAAGAAGAACTGTTATCATGGTATGATGCTTCAGATACTTGTAAAAATCGAGGTGGAAAGCTAGCCAGTATAACATCTATACAAGAACAATATTATATTTCTGGTAGGTCCGTCCCATTTAATATTATACGAGATCTTATTCCAAAGATGCTTTAAATTTTTTAAGTAAAATAATTTCGACTTTTGTGACCCCATTGACTAATAGGGATCTCAACTACCACTCAGAGAAGCATTGTTCGACCAGCTTCGTTTTTGCTACATTTTCAATCTTCTCTGCAACTAGTCATTACAACCAAATATTTGCCTTGAAACTCACTTCGGCATTGTACTAGTCGCATGAATTATGTTCTTTAGGAACTCAAGAAAAATGTTAAATGGCGTTCACGTTTCCAAACCGGAAGACAAATCGTAGCGGTTTTCTAATTAGCTTGCTTACTTTTTGTAGCTGTAGCTTTTCCCCTTTTTCTTTGACATTGATTTTATGACGATTACATTGACTTCCTTATACGAACATAGCATGATCGTTTTGATTCTCGGATGCGCATGTCTTATTCTTTTTGCAATATTTTGTTTTAGGTCGTATAAAGGGTATGAGAGCAATGAGTATGTGGCTAGGTGCCAGTGATACAAGTTTAAAAGGAGGGTGGAAGTGGAATGATGGTTCGCCGTTTGCTTTCCTCAACTGGGATGCAGGTACATACTTTATACTTATAAACACTTGATTTGATACCAGTATACTATAATAGTTAGATTTCGGGGAAGGGAGGGTTTGATTCTCCCAAATGTACAGGCCAAATGTATGCCAATTTTAGGTTCGGTCAAAAGATATAAAAGCCTTTCTGTAATATGTAATCACAAAAGCCATGTCCTTTGAAAGACCTATCGTAAATTTTTAAATTAGATATGAGGCATTAGATATACACATTTTCATCATTTTCCGCCATTTTATATTAGATATAATTCCTGTCATGTTCTAAGGTTCGACAATTACAATTTGGATCAAACCCTCTACATGTTACCTTTTATTTAATACAGGAGAACCAAACAATAAGCGAAGTAAAGAAAATTGTGCTTCAATGTTTGTTTATACCGCTAGATGGGTAGATTATGATTGTAATAGACGAAGTGGTTATATCTGTAAGAAAATGGGTAAGGATTTATGTTAACAAATCCTTGATTCCTAACCTTTAAGATTTTCATATACTAAACTTTTGATGGTCGATTGTGAATGAAATGAAGAATCAACAGGTTTTATGATCACCTAACAATAACAAGATTAGGGTCGTTTACTATAACAAAGCAATGTGTTTAAATCGCTGATTCTGCGATGACTTTAAAATGTGTCCACTTTGGTGTTTGCTAGCACAACCAGAGATAGGGCTTCACACTAAGGCACACCGGAAATCTGAAGAGTGTATATACCTTTTCAACTCAAAATTAAGAAATATATGTAGTTTCAAGAGTTTCATTTACAGGCTCAGTAGCAAGAGCAACAACCACATTGACTCCAACAGAACCGACAAACATACCAGGTTTGTTCTTAGTTTATTTTCTATTTCTCTGATCATCTGATTTCTTAAACAAAGACAGGATAACGTGTTGTCGGACGTCCAGACCTTTGTGTGGAACATAGTGATAACAGAGGGTGACTCATATCCAGCGATCATATACAGATACCATTTTTAAAGCGAATGTCTGGTACCCAAAAACTTTATAGCCTTTGCATTTGTCCTGAGATCACTTCTATTTGTACCATTCCAATAACGTACTCATCAGAGTCAATGGTTCCTTTAATTCCAGAAAAACTTGATCAGATTATGCCACCATTATCGCCACAGTTTTGGCCATAAAAGTCATAATCTGGTCACGATTACCAGAATTTGCAGCAGCACTAGTCAAGTAGAAGCTTCAAATGCCCTGGATATAAGGCTAGACTAAAAACACCTCTTCTGAAACCCTTTAAGATGTTTATGATTGTTATTACAGATGGGAAATATTATGGCTGCTCACCAGGTTATAAGGAATACAGACAATCTTGTTATTTGACTGTAAGAGATGCCAAGACCTGGTTAGAATCCAGAGATTATTGTCGACGTAACGGTGGCGATTTAGTCAGTATTGCTGATCTGGAAGAAAATAATTTTATATTTAGTCAGTCACCTGCCTGTAAGTTCATCTCATTTTCGGAAATCTTTCCACAGAGCATTAAAAATCCTTAATCCTGCGATCCTTAAAAGAAGATTAATCACTCTAAGTATTTGTCGAAATATCTCAAATTTAGCTCTCGGTATAATAATCCACTAAAAACGTACCAGTGGAAGTGACGACAGTCTAACTTGTGAACATTCTCCAATGCAGATTGTACCAATATCTTAGTCATCGAGATACTTTTTAATTTAGATTGACTTACCAGTGCATTTTCAAAATTTAATTGACGACGAATCGAACGCCAATTTTTTTTTCTGAAGTGATTCATATAGCTAAAATTGAATTATTTTGTTCAATCATATATTAATATCTATTAATGTTTTGTCTATTGTAGATTCTTGTGAAAATGTCCACCTCAATGACACAGAGTGTGAGTCCTGGGCGAAAAGAGGGGAATGTAAAAAGAATCCTATTTGGATGTCGAAGAATTGTCGACGTGATTGTAACATGTGTAATAAGAAATGTGAAGACAAACACAGATATTGTGCGTATTGGGCCAAAACGAACGAATGCACCAAGAATCCAAGCTACATGTTAATCAACTGTACTCAGTCTTGTCAAGTTTGTGATGGAGGTAAGTTTCTAAAAATCAATTCATCTATCTCAGGGAGTAAATCAAACAGTCGACTGGGTCTGCTAGAACTCTCCAACGGACTCAACTTTACTGAAAATACCGAGAATTGTGGAATGGGAGTATTTATCCACAGTGCTGATGCTGATGATAATGATTTAGTTTTCGGGGAAGGGAGGGTTTGAGTCTCCCAAATGTACATCTCCCAAATGGAGCAGACACTTTATTTAGAAATTAGGATTAAGGGTCTTGATATTGGGTTTTCTTCTGTTCTGATTCTGATCTGAAATTAGAAAAAATAACTCGCCCAATCCGCTACATTTTAAATGCGAAATTATGTATGAAAACGATTTGTGTATAATGTGGGTATAAATTCCAAATAATTGGTATTCCTTATGTTACAGATACAAATTTAGAATACTGATTTAAAGATCTATACAAACGTATCACGGATCGCTTTTTTCTCCGCTCTTTTATTATTTTGCCGACCTCTGTAACCAATTTATTGATGTGAATTTGTTCCTTCTATTCCTTTGCTACACCATTTGATTTATACTGACGATTTTCCTTTTCTATGACTGTTCATTCTCCAGGTGAATCAGATGCTCTATGGATTGGACTGAACGATAGGACTTCAACCATGATAACCAGAAAGTTCATGTGGACTGATGGATCACCTATCACATATACCAACTGGGACAATGGAGAACCTAATAATTATCAGGGGAAACGTGAAAACTGCGTAAAAATGTATACCAACGTAAGTGAAACCTTGATTTTGGGTGACTGTATCTTATTGCATGCAGTACCTATTCCAAGTTATTGGGTATTTGTAAGCTTTCCGAAAAGATACTAGGAGCTTCTGTAAGAACTTGTCTACAAACAAGGCATTTTCAATCGTCCTGACAATTGAGAGTAATGTTGCATTGTCCTAGCCACAGAGCAGTTTTTGTACACAAATTTTGTTAACTTGGAGCATTTTAAATTACATTTTGCTGCAAGATTTCAGAAAAAACCTCTTATCGGAAACTAGCCCGTACACTCGTATTCATAAATCTGATTATCCTTCAGAAAGCCATTTCACCAGGAGTATGGTCTGACGACGATTGTGATACACCATTAAATGGTTTTATTTGTAAAACAAAGAAATCTATCCAAGATGCTGTTACAACCAACCCTCTATCCAGTGGTTGTCCTGATGTAAGATTTGTTTTCATCTATATACAGTTTTCTATCTCAAGTGCAAATTACAAATTATCAACTTAAACAGAATTGGATCCTATCATTTTTTCGCTAACTAATAGATGAACATGACCATGCAATTTTGTTCAACCTGCTATCCAAACGACGACACGTTTCCCGAACCAGCTTCTACAAGTACAATGGTCTATTAGGGGAACAACCGTTTGGAAAAGGATACATAAGATACTGTTTCGTTTCTTGATATATGCCGAAATCTAAATAAAGTTTATGTCCTAAATCACTGGTCGTAAGCAGAATGAATGAATTTTAAGCAGCGTGGTCATATTAGATCTAGTGTTATGATGGAGTATCGTAATTAACTTTGGATTTTCTAGGGCCAAATTGGTTATCATTCAAAGTGTTATAATTTCGTTTCAACGCCATTAACATGGCAAAATGCTGAGAAGAAATGTGTAATGTCATCAGGTCATCTAGCTACAATTAATGATAGGTAGGGTAGTTCTTCTTACTTCACCTCCACCGCTTCGTCCTTCGTTTCGTCCTCCTCCTTTACTTATTCTTTTTCCTCTCGAAGCGTCTTCTTCTTAATCTTCCTTTTCCACGTCTTCCCACTTCATTTCCTCTTCCTATACGACCTCCACGTAGTCCTCCACTTATTTTCCTTCCGCCTCACCAAGTGCCCTTTTCCTCTACTTCTTCCTCCTCCGCTTTCTCTTTCCAATCTTCCCCACCTATACTTTCCTTGAGGTGTTACTTCATTTTTCTTCTCCTCTACTTGTTTTTCTTCCTCCTTCTTTTCCTTTCCTACTTCTCCCCTAGTTTGTTGGTCACTATATATACTTTTACGTAGTCTCTTAAAAGTAAATCATGACTGTCTAGATGAATCATTTACTATAGTCCAGTGATTTCATTTTCTAATGTCTCAAATAATATCATAATATTATATTTTATTATGTAGATTTGTGCAGGCGTTCCTATCTGCGGAGTTAGTCAATAAAAATGATGTTTACTGGATTGGGTTATCGGACCAACAACAACCTGGGACGTATCAATGGTCCAGTCAATCTAGTATAAAGTATACAGCTTGGGACAGCTTCCATACAGGTTGGTGATAAACATATCCAAATTAACATCATCAGCAACATGGACAATTCAAAAGAGTGGTCGAATTAACTAGTCTTGAAATGTTGGAAAGGTAGACTGCTTGTGCGATGTATGCCTTGTTATAACTGCAACTATATTAAACGACTACATGATCTGATTCAGAGCACACTCTCCGAAACCCAGACAAAGAAGATCGTTATTTAGGAGAGATCATTTCGGAGTGAATGATTCCAGCGGATCTGCTTGATCTAACTCCGTCTTGTTCCGATTGTCTGCATTTTATTTTGATTTATTCAAGGAAATGAGCGATCCACATGTGTTGGTATGAATACAAGTCATCCAATTGGTTTATGGACGAATGCAAACTGCAGTCAATCCAAACCCTATATTTGCGAATCGTTACGAGAAGGTTTCACCACACCGGAAGTAACAACTGTTCCAACAACTGCATTCCACATTTCGTGTCCTACTGGATGGTCCGAATATCTGGACAATTGCTATAAGGTACGTATGTTACACGGCGTTACTAAAGTTGCCAACTAAACTTTATTGTTATTATTTCAAAATAGATTTAGCTCGAGTTAATATGTAGACTTTCCTGGGGTAACGAATTGACTTTCTCATAAAGTTTTTTTTGAAGGTTTGAAATATGATTTACTCAATTCACGTAAAGGATAATACTCAAGATACCAAAAGGACTTTACTGGAGTCTCCAAAATGATTTAAAGTTATCAATCTTTTTCCTATTCAGAGTTTCACCAACAGGAAAACCTGGTTAGATGCCAGACAGTATTGTTTAAATATTGGTGGAGACCTGGCTAGTATACACAATGCTACAGCCCAAGATGTCATTAAATTGACCTTCAACAGATTTCAATACAGATCTTCATATTGGATTGGACTAAATGACAAGGCAACTGAAGGCAGTAAGTTCCTTACCAAGATCTAAGTTTTAGAAAAAGATACATTTATCGATGGATGACATTCGTATAAACTCAATTGGAGTACTAGCGTTTAATGTAAATGTTTTTTTCCAAAATGGGTAAAATGAGAAGTATCCGAAAATGCATTGGGCAAGCCGGAATTGAATATTAATGTTCGTGGTAATAAAATATAAAGTCGATTATCCTATAGAAAAGGCCAGCTGCCGAATTACTCTGGTCTTAAAAGACAGGTCCACTAGTAGTTAGCCTTCTGTAATTGTTTCAGAGCATGAATGGACTGATGGTACACCGGTAGAATTTACCAGCTGGGGTAAAGATGAACCCAATGATGTGAGTGGTAGAGAAGATTGTGTTGAGGTGTCACAATATGGAATGAAATGGAATGATAACAATTGTTACTTACTGAAAAATTTCATCTGTATGATCGAAAGAGGTATTATTTACTATCTTTCGCAGCTTTTCACTTCCCATGTTAATCAGTTCAATTTCAAAGGATTTTTGGAATGTGATGCTATGACAGCTCGCCCTTACAAAATGTTTTCCAAACCTTTACATCAAACAAAAGTCAACATTGTCGTCAACTGACGAACGCTTTCATTTGGATCCATGCATCATGTGGACAGATCTCTGAAATTTGATACCACAACTAACGGAAGAAGCGCTTTTTTTATAACCGTAACTCAATTTGTAAAGTTTTTTTTCAGGACAAAACATAAGTTTAACAACTCCTCAACCGGTTAGCACAGAAGGTAAGAATTATATGGATAAAGCTTGAGTATTAATACTGTCTATATGTTTTCACTAAAGCTCATGTTGAGCTTCGAGTATAGATGTTTGACAATTGGACCCTGGAATAAGAAATTTAAGTTCACAAAAGTTCGGAGCAAAATTATTCTTGATTCTTTATTCCCGTAAATCATCTGTTTCAACAAAATGTGATGAAGTTCATGACCTTGATATTAAAACCAACCTTGATTTTGCGACTCTGTTCAAAAGAACAGGTTGTTGACTTGTATGACAAATCAAAATAACAAGAGTCAAAATATTCTGTTAGATATCTCTAGGGCGAAATGTCGAATATCATTCTATTCCTTCTTCCAGCTCCTGTAGCATGTGCTGATAAAGATTGGGTGTATTTCAATGGTTCTTGTTATTATACTAGTCCAGCTTATGGTCGAGACTCGTCGAAATCTTGGTATGATGCTGATAGATTCTGTCAAGATAAAGGAGGACACCTTACCAGTATCCTTTCAGAAGAAGAAGACAATTTTCTTCTCGCCAGGGTAATTAATTCTTTCTGTAATTTTTACTATGAGTCCAAGTTGTATTTCACTGCTGTAGGTATTTGGTCAATAAAAGATGGTGCACCTTTCGCCATTAGCGTCGAAGAGATATAACTAATAAAGTAAGCCACACTTATTAGTGGTGATTCTATAGGCACTTTTAGACAAATTGTTAACCGAAGACTTTTCTCTGATTAATAATTTTTTGGTCTTATAGCTTGCAGCTAGGTCAACCGCTGGAGTCACTGTTTGGATTGGTTTGAATGATCTGGATGGTTCTTACAAGTAGGTCTTCTTCCTCTTCTTCCTCTTCCCCAGCACCAACACCGCACCCACAATCATCATCATCATAATCGCCAATATCATCATGTTTTGCACCATATGATCTGTTATCACGTATTTTATGATTATAGGTGGACAGACGGAAGTTTGGTTCAGTATAAATCATGGGGAAGAGGCGAACCAAATGATGCTTATGGTGGTCAGAGGTGTATCAACTTCTATAGTTTATCGGGTATGTGGATAGTTATATAACTTTCAGTTTATATTTCTATTGCTCTAAGGTTAAGGCTTATGGACCTTCTGAACAAGCACATGGACGAAAGGCGGTTTATCAGTACGTCAAAAAAGATTCTTTCGGACATTTGAAACCACTACTTGTTGATTCTACGCATCAACTTTTTATATCCGTGGTGAAGATATTTGATTCTTTATGTATCTTTACATATAGGAGATTGGAATGACGATAATTGTATGGATAGTTTTGGATTTATCTGTAAAAAGTTGAATTTATCCTCGAGTGTAGCTCCAACAACACCTGAGCCTATTATAGATGGCGGTTGTCCTACAAACTTCAGAGCACCTGGTAGGTAAAGATTTTGGTTTTAGGGAGACGAAAGTATATAAATCGAAACTGCTTACCCTGGCTTCTGGAATGGAAGAAGGTTCAGAGGGACCTCCTCTTCCTCCCCATGGAGTCTCCGGAACTACGCTCCCGGTCTGTCAATCTCCACCTCTCATCCATTATGCATCACGATGTGTTGTTTTTTCGAAAGGAATTAATTGTGCTCTCAGTCGATAGTATGATGGGATCGGGTGTGCTTTTTGTAACGTGTTGTTCGTATGCGTAGCTGATATAGTTGCCTTGTAACCCTGTAGGTCATTAAGATGTCCTTTTACCTAGTATTTCAGTAAAGTATATACTTTCCTTTGTAGATTACTCCAATAAGTGTTTCTATGTTGGCGGATTAACTACTAGTGGAGCTCAACAGTGGGAAGTAGCCAGAAACATGTGTAGATCATTAGGTCATGGTTCAGATTTAGCTACCATTGGTAACAGTAATGAACAAGGTTAGAATATTTTCGTTAGAGGATACAGTAGTCTTATGGCTTAAATTGTATGGTGTGCAGCAATTTCCAATGATCGAATCGAAAATAACTGCACGTTAGAAGGTAAGAAGGTTAAATGACGAGTCTTGGTTGTGTGGTGCATAATATTTGTTAAAGGAGACCCTTGAAAGGTGGTTTTGATCGGCTGGATAGCCTTAATCTCTTCCAACTCCATTTATCCCGTATACTTTGCTGTTCATCTTACCAATGGTTATCATTTCAGCTTTTGTAGTAACTCTGTTAAGAAACACAGTAAAAACTGGAATGTGGATTGGACTGTTTGATAAACATATTAATGGAAAGTATACGTGGTCTGATAACAGTGAATTAACCTATACCAACTGGGGACCAGGAGAACCTAGTGATCATTGGTCTTACAGTAGATTCAACAGGGTACGTTAATAATGCACAAGTATGAGTACCCGTACCTCTATTAAAAATGATAATTCACTGTAGGGTTGGCTAACAAGTTTCTATTTCATTTCCTATTTCTATATTTAAATTTGCTTCCAAGTGGGAGTTCTTTTGGTTTATCAAGTTAACATAGTGAATTCAAATTAATTGTTTTGTTTCGATGTTTGCGAAACATTGATGTAAAATGTTTTTGAAATTCTGATAAGATTTTGCTAGGCACTACAAAATGCAGTATTTTGGATACTTTTATTGATATCGGAACATATTATATCGACCCTAAATAGACTTTTGTGGTTTAATTTCAAGAAAAGATCGAAATCAAACTCCACTTGCCAAAAATCATAAAGATCCACGACAGTAAACATTAGACATAAAATGAGTCCAATAGCTAACCACAATGTAAGGTCCACATGGATAATAAACGGGCCCAATAGCTATTTTGGAACATTAAAGATTTGTTTTCTTTCACACAGGAAGACTGTGTCGAGATTCATTTAGAAGATGGTAGAGTCGGAACCTGGAATGATCAGAAATGTCTGGATAAAAGACCTTACCTATGTCAATCTAAAAGAGGTTTGTTTAATTTATAACATGTCCAAGTGTGGGCATTTAGCTCTGATGGTAAGTCAGTTTGGACCATGAGAAGCAATCTAAGTCCACTATCCTTGAACATGCTTCAACAAATTGATATCAATATGTACCAAAGATCCGGACCGCCGCCATAAAATATAATGATCGGTGTCTAAAACCTTAACAAACTTCACTTCAAGTAAACCATCGCAGGGATGTAACTTTGTACAGTCACAACGTTGTGAAAAATAGTCTGATTTGAGTTTACCTTTTGTTGTTAAATGACTGTTTGTTATATAGATACAAGAATACCAAAGGTACCACCCACTTCAACAATAGTCTGTCCATCAGGATATATCAGCTATGGAACCAGTTGTTATAAACTTGTCAATCAACCAAAAACTTGGCAAGACGCCCAGAAACTATGCCGATCGGATGGAGCAACGTCAAATTTGGCATCAACATTTTCAATGTATGAACAAGCTTTTATGGAAGTTTTAACCTACTCTTTGAAGTCGCCATATTGGATTGGATTATCAGACCAAAAGGTATCCTAGCAATTCATTGCAAATTTTATAAATTAATTTGTTCTGAAAATCAGAACACATATCAGCAAAAAAGGGTTAGGGTGAATTTCACTATCATTTTGCAATCTCATAAAGTATTTTTGAAAATAATTTTGAACATCAAAACAGTCCTGTCTCTGATTGCTGTTTCACACTGTACATTTGTACACGTTGTCTTATTTTCATTTTTGGCTTGTATTAAAAAAAGAAAAAAGAAAGAAACAGCCATATTTTCAAGGGTAACAACTAAGGTTCAAGAGGATCTTGTCTAGCAGAGCAACTAGGCAGCTTCGGCATTGAACCTGGTTCCGTTTCAGATGGATCGACTTGCGAAAGAGAGCCTTTTTCGTATCGATGCGTGGCCAGAAGCATAGGGTAAAATTTAGAAATGGTTTGCAAAGTCATCCTCTACATTTTAGGAGAAAGGGGTTTATAATTGGGTTGATGGTTGGCCAACGTCCTTTTCTTACTGGGGTGACAATGAACCATCTAAAGCGGACGGAGAAGGTTGTGTTGCAGTAATGAATGGAAAATGGAATGATACATTATGTAATTCCTCATATCCATTTATTTGTATGATTAACACTGGTATGTCAAGAGTTTATATCTTTCCCTTAATCCAACAAGTTTTGGCAACTAAATTGGATGACTTATTCAATCTGAGCGCATAAGATCGGAATATCCCTTTTGCTATCAAATTTTTCTGATTTTTCATCCGAATCTGCGACCTTTCTATCCTCTTCACTTTCTGGTTTTGAGTACATTTCTGAGATACTTAAAATTCTCATTTGTATTCTCATCACCATAACCAAATTGCCCATTTGTTGCGGGTTGGTCTCCAAACTTATTATTGTAAAACATAGAATAATGCCTGACAATTCTGTTCCTTTACAGCTCCACCACCTCCAACCACACCAATGCCCACTGGTAGATGCGCAGATCCAACATGGACGATGTTTGGCGACTTTTGTTACTTTGCTGATTTTTTGAACAGTAGATCATGGCCAGAAGCTCGCTACATTTGTCAATCACGCGGAGCGGAACTGTTAAGCATACATAACAAAGAAGAGTTATCGTTCGTGAAGCAGTTAGCTCATTCGCAGACTTTTACAACAAGGCGGTCATTATTCTACCGTACTTCGTCTGTAGCTAATAAAATATGGATTGGATTATACAAGGTGGCGAATGGTAAGTCAGTCTGAGAATAAAGTGGAATTGTGTTTCGCTTCCTGTTTTATGCGTTCTAAAACCGCCATCTCTCAATATGAGACTAATGAAAGCTGGTTGCCGAATAAAGTGTGTAATTTTGACAAGTCAGTGGTGATGACTCATACAATCTTTTAAATATAACGATTAGAACAGCTGCACATCTACAAAAAAGGTTGCGAATAGACAGCTGTAAGAGACGTATATGGGGTCAGATATTTGCTGCCTAGAACAGATAGTTACATTATGTGTCTCAACAAGCTAGATTGGTGTAAACCATAAAGGTGCAAAGGTATGGTTGGTGTACAGAATGGAATAGATAATGGAATACACGAGGATTTTAGGTTTTTCTGATTGACAAAATTAATAATGCTGTTCTGTTTTTCCAGGAGGGTTCCAATGGAGTGATAAATCACCAGCTCTGTTTTTAAACTGGGCCACTGGTGAACCTTCTGATACTGATGCCAAGTTACATGAAAATTGTGTAGAACTTTACAGAGATTCTGGAGTATGGAATGATGTGGATTGTTTTGGTAATAAGGCGTACATCTGTAAAGCCAAGAAAAGTAATTTTCAATTTTTTTTTATTTACGCAATTTAATAGCATGATGTCGAATATGAGATCTTCAACAGGAACGCCCATAAGAAACCTTTTACGCAATATCTGGCAGTTAAAGCCCGCTCATCTGAATATGTATTTCTGTCGGCGACGACAGTTGACTTTCCGTTCGACAAGTACTAATGTCGAAAGTGCTTACGTACATTGGGGATATCCAATGTTGAGTTGAGTTGAGTTACTGCCCTTGACAAATGCTTCATTTGATTTATAAATGGGATCACAAACAATGTGAAAGTTTATAATTAATATTTTAGTTGTCATGACCACAACAACAACAACTACACCAACACCACCAACTACAACAACAGCTAAATCAACAGCAACTGGTGATTTAGTTACAGTTGACAATAATCAACGAAATCTACCGACATCACTCCCTGTCCGTCGGAATCCCATAGGTATGTTACCATGCAATCATTTTTCGTTTTTCAACCGTATACATCAAAAATATTTTGAAATACATAATATGGATTTTGTTGGTGCTCAATCGCAGCTTTCAGGGCAGACGCGATGACAGTCCAAGTTTTTAAGCCTTTAGTAAAATTTTATCAAAATATCAGATATCGATAGTATCAGCATTACCCAAATCACCCTCACTTCCAAAGAACGCTTGGTTTGATCATCATCCTCGATGACATTGGAACACTCATTTCATATCTAGCTTCTGGATTCAGTTAGCTTGTGAACTTACAGATTGCGATTTGGATAGATATTTCTCGCTTTTCCCATTGTGATTGTGCAACAATTTGCTCCTAATTTCGTTTTTTCTTCTTTGAATTTCAGGAACTTCAAGTGGGTTATCTGGAGGAGAAATTGCTGGAATAGTTATTGGAGTTGTAGGATGTGCAATAATCGTTGTAGTATTCCTTATTATAGTCAAAAGGCAACGCAGTGCCAAAAGTATTCCGTCGATGGAATCCGTAGGATTTGATAATGCTTTATACAGTAAATCAGCAAGTGATATAGACACAGATAACAGTGAAATACAATCACAAAGTGGTGTTATCAAAATAGGACAAATTAATTAGTAAATTATTAACGCTAAAATTATGTTATACGGTGGCTTGTTTAGGAAACAATATAGAAAACTGGCATTTTTTCGATTGACAAGGCGAAGACGACATTAAAATGATATAACCATGTCGACAGCCTTAGAAAAAGTTTGGCCGAGTGTTTTGTGTGTGTCGTTAGTCCTTTTTCTAGCTTCAGTTTTGCAGAAAAGTAAGACGTAAACATTGTATCATTCCAGTTATCATTGCATCCAATACTTCTCCATGTTGGAGTTATTTTCATAAACTTAGCCTGTGTATGCTAATATTATTTTATGTATGATTTATAGCTTAACAATGTCAGGCGCTGTGCTATGAAAATATCAGATTGGTCCTTATTCAGAAGCCATAATGATACGTGTGTGAGTTTATGTTATTGGAAAATGCTTCGTAAGTTTATGGAACCATCCACAAACTCGCATTTCATTTTTTTGCCATTTTATTATATGCCTATCGTTCAATTGTTTAATATGAATGTATCCTTGAAGCATTTTCTTTTGAAATGAACAAAATTAGAAAACGAGATGGTTAATGGTTGAAATGGATGATTGCAAACCGTGCCCTTTTCTCAATGTTTTTTGCTTGTAAAAACCACAGATGAAAGAATTCTGAAGGTGACTAAATATTTCTAGTTTGTAGCAAAGCGACTCTTCTTCTTGTGTGTAGACGAGGACGTATATTCAGATCTTGAATGGAATAAAAAAAACAAAGAGAATCAATCCACGCTCTAAGGAAATTGTTATGCACTATGTGTTCTCTGTTAGTAAAATATTCAACTAATCAATTGTTGCTTTTAATGGAAGCTTTGTCTGCCATTACATATATCTTTAGTCAAACAAGAACTTGCACTGCCTTAAAAATTTCATTTTTTTTATTGATCTGCTTAATATACTAAATTATACCACCATGACGTTAAAATTTGATTTAACAAGATATAAAGAAAGATTAGTTCAGATCACGGATGGTGGGTGTAATAACCAAGAAAAAAATGGACAAGTCATCGTGATCTGCATTGGACAGACAGTTTGATTTTGTACAATTGTATTCTTTCATTGATATTTGAGAAACAATAAATAAATTGTAATCTATTTATTTCGATATAGATCAACCAGAAACTTCGCTTGATCTAGTCCACTTGATCGTGCCCCATCAGCAGTTGAAAATCTCGTTAAGTGACAAGCTTCACCGGCAAACAGAACAACTGGTTGTTCGAGATGGTATAACGGTGAATTCAAGTCTTTTCTAACTGATTCATTCGATTCTTCTGTCATATAACAATACGAACCTAACGTCCATTTATTTTCAAACCATTTTGTGGTGAGAACATCAGTAGGTTCAGGTATAGAGGGATTATTTAAAAACCTTCTAATTTGTTCTGTACAAACCTTCTTTATTTCATCTTTACATAAATCTTCTAGAAACCTTCCTTCATCACCAACAATACTTCCCATTAAAACATTATCGTTATTGTGTAATTCATCGAAACCATGTATCGCTTTAAACCATTCTGTTTTATAATCTTTTATATTATAATTATCATCAGTCCAAGCAAATCTTATAGAGCCTTCATTTTTTATCCAAAATGGTTCTTTATAATATAAGAATATTTTATTAACTGTACCAAAACCTATTTTATCTATGGCTTGAGATTTTAGTAAAGGTAATTCTGGAGTAAAAAGTGTTTTGTGATGTTTCTTTAAATAGCCTAAAGAACACGTGACTATCACATGATGTGCAGCCCATTTCTGACCAGCAATAGAGGAGAGCACTGCTTCCTGTCCCGTCCAATCAATAGCTGATACTGGGGTATTCAGATGAATTACCTCTTTCGGTAGATCCTTCAACAATGTGTCCAAAACTGAACGAAACCCTAACTTAATGGACACATCTTCACCGTCGCCAACCGATACATACTGTCCAAAATTAATGCTACTCAAATTTTTCAAATTATCGGCATTGTCAAACCGCATAAGACTGAGAAAATAATTAAAGACTGCTTTTGCATCCCGTTGCTTATCGGCAGGGAACCCTAAAGCCAATTCTACAAATCTGCTATTAAGGTATCCATACAAATTCCTATCTTCGCCTTTAAGATTGTATTTTCTTTTAAATTCTTCTTCGAGTTGGTCTTCTACATCAAACGCCAGATCCATAGTCTTCATAACAATGTGTTGGGGTATTCGGTGACCATCTTCAGTTGCATAAATTCCTTGATACCTGTAAAATTCAACGAAAAGATAGCATCTATTTAAGGTTTGTTGGATTCAAGTGTGGTTTTTAGCTTTTAGTACATGTATCTGGGAAAATTATTCATTATTCCAGAAACTTAACATAGGACATGAATGATAAAAAAAATACTGGCATCAGTCGTCAGGTTTGCAGTAAAATTGAAAATGAAATGAAGAATGGAGTTTTACGTCCTACTTTTCTGCATCTTGTGGGGTAATGAAAACGGTCAACGCCATGCAGGGTGCCATGAGGTAAATTTTGCCAGGACAGCGGCATAAGCCTGCTCTTTTTCGATTTCCAACTGTCAAGGGATCTTTAACATGCACAGCCTCTAGCACACGGGGCCTCGGTTTATTGTCCCATCCGAACGACTTTTTCATGTCAGCCCCTCTTACCTGCATCATTGGCAGGAGGAAACCGGGTATTATCTCGACCTATGCCAGGATTGAACCCCGGACCTCAAGCTTAGCGAGCAAGCGTCTAACTCACTGAGCCACCGCGGCTCCCTGCAGTAAAATAGAGAAAGATTGGTCCAATAGATCATAACATTGTATTATAACGAACAAAATAATAACTCTATTATTTTCTATTATTTTTGTGATTATCAACAATGCTCGTGGATCGCTTACGGTTACAACCATTCCGATTTTACGCCCGATCTCTGTGGTTTCTGTAAAAGTAACAGATTATGACGCCACTATCGAAAGTTCATTCAAGCTCCAATTATTTTATTATAGTGACGTGATAATCTTTATTTTCTAGAATCTCGAGGATCATAGGCGTCGGTTGGAAGATAGGATTGGTGCTAATATGTTCTAAACGTGTCTCTGATGCACACAAAAGTTGTACAGAACCTGCAATAAAATTTTTTGAATTTCTGTAGTTTGAAAAACATACCAATCTACTTCTCCTCCTAAAAGATTATGTCTTTTAGCCACTTTATACACGGAATTCTTCTTACTGGCACCATGAATAAATTGAGCTCCTAATTCTATTTGACAGTCCTCTTTTCCATTGAACGGAACAGTTTGAATGCGACCACCCGTTCTGAAAAGTAAAGAGCTGTTGTAAAACACCACACACTCCTTCACATTTAATTGGTCCAACATAATATGTTGATCATGTTTCGTTCAATTACATATCAATATTGAGACAATTTGCAGATACCCACGGAAATAACTCGAAAACCTAGAACCTGACGTTTGTTTCTATAAAACAGTGAGCGAGGGGTCGAATAGGGCCAAAGCATTTTGAATAGGGACTAACAGGCATTTTTACCTATGGTAAGTGAATTTGAAAAGGGGAATAGCCTGGTGTGGTCACTTCTTCTATTTTCGTTTGTATCGATAATTCCGCTTCGTACACCGTACCTCGTCTATTCGCGGCTTTAGACTTTCAAAAATACTTCCTTACCTGCAGTCAGCTTCTAGGATTTGAATATTTGTAAAGCCGTTAGTGTATAAATGATGAGCTGCAGATATCCCTGCTATACCGGCTCCTACGATAACTATTTTGATGTCTTTTTTCTTCATGTTCTGAGAAATAAAAAAGTCAGATGTGCTGTTCAAAAACACTGTACAAACATAACACTGTTATAACCACATATAACATTTGACCTTGACCGTATGTTAACATGAAAGAAATTAAATGAATGGAGTTTTACGTCCTAATTTTCTGCAACATGTGGGCTAATGAAGACGGACAAAGCCATGCAGGATGCTATGAGGGAAATTGTGCCAGAACAGCAGCATTAGCCTGCTCTTTTTCAATATCCAACTGTCGAGGAATTTTTAACGTGCACATGGGGCCTCGGTTTATTGTCCCATCCGAATGACTAGTCGCTTTTTCTATGTCAGCCCCTCTAACCTGGATCACTGACAAGGGAGAAACCGGGTTGAAAAAGTCATTAAAGAAATTGGTAGTATATACACTGACTTTCGATAGCAGTGTCAATTCTTTGCTATGAGTATACGATTGTAAGCAAAGGTATCTTATCGCCTGATAATCCAACACACCCAATGCTTGAAAGGGGCGTTTCGTTACCAGCAAGCTACTCGTCGTGATTTACCCCACTTACTGAGCACAAATGGAAATAATACTAACTATACTCTCGTTCACAACACAACAAACCATGAGACAACTGGGATTGTATCAGTTTATCACACGTTATGTACTGTCTATTAACTTACATAAGATTGGGTTAGACGTTTCGTAACAACCTATATCTTAAGCAAACATTTGACGTTTTGATAAAATGTGTTGTCCATTATCTATCTATACATATAAACACGTACTGGTAAAATAATGAATGACTGACCTACTTTACTGTCCGTTAACTCTCGATATAACTTTTGTCCCTGCAAGTATTCTGGTAAGACACCTAATCAAACAAATAACGGACTGTTTCTGCTCATCTGCTGACCTGACCCTTTAAAATACTCTATCGTTCCCTCGTCTTGGTGATCGAGCTTATCAGGCGTATTATTATATACTGATATCTAATCAAACTGTAGACTGTGTACGATGTACAATTAAACACTATACAAATATAAAAGTAGATGTACTCAAATATATCCATACTTAAAGGACATCAAGCCACTTATTTCAAAGTCTTACTTTGAAAGTTCTCCTCCAGCTAGACCGGATCAATAATTGTTCGTCTATAATCAAATAGTCAGCACCAGTGGTAACATAGCGTTTAACAAACTTTCAAGTACTTAGTATAGGCCTAAGTTATCTATATTATGATGTCATCATCTGTGATCTCTGCAAAGGAACTGACCAAGGATATAAAACTGCATAGGGTACCTCAACTTTAAATCATGACCTCAGTTTAAAGCGACCAGTATGGTTGAATGATAAAATATTTTGTTCTACATGTCTAGTATTTTTTACTATTCCTTACTTGTGTGTGTGCAGAGGCGTAGAAAATGCCTGAGGGGCAGGCCAAAAAGGAGAGGTGTCACTCCAAAGCGAAGCCAAAAGGGCTAAAGCCCGTGAGGCCGTGGAACTGCCAGAGGCCCCCAAAAGCAAACGTATTCCAGATGGCCTGAGATGAAGTTTTGGGCATTTAGAGGGTTTAATTTTCACTTCAAAATAAGACCAAATGGCCTTCCCTCTAGTACGCTACTTTGTGATTAGGGGGTGGTGGGGGCGGTTAGTACGGGTCAGTTTCATAAAAACAAAAGTCAGAATGTATGGTATATCTGTTTAAGCTCCAGTAAAGGGAGTAATCCTTAAAATTTAGTAAACTTTGACACACAATTGACTTTGTCGGGCTATATGCTGAAAAAAAAATGGCGCGAAAAATTAACAGTTAGTAATGCCTTATAATTATGACAATATTAGCACATCGAACTAACCTCAGTCTCACTTTGTCTAAGCATAACTGCGACAAAATATATCCTCGTCGTTGACAGGGAAAGTCTGGATGTCACAGACTACAGCGCCAGAGACTGGACGCCATATACAGTCTTTTCTCGTTTTAAAATGTTACGTGGTGGATTTGTCGTAAATATTGCAGTATGTTAATCTATATTTCTTCACACTGTTTGGTCAGATATATTTACACTGGTTTTGACATGTTGATGCTGCATCTAATATGGGGAATCTTTAAAATGTCAATATATATTTGCCTCTACGAGATTGACCTTTGACCGACAGTTGAGGGATTAATTTATCGATTTGTTTTTCTGTATCTTAAATCTGTGTTGTGTCTGCGATATGAACAAATTACGATTCTGTGTAATGGTTAACATGTTAACATCTGTTTTGATCGTGTGCTAAGAAGAGAGGATCGTCTGCTGTGATGGGCTCTGGGTGGTAGTTCCCATTTGGATGTTCTAGTATACGAACGAGACAAATTTGGAATTAGGAATTGTAAAGGGATATCACTGAACTAAACGTTAAGTGTAGGTGAGTATGTCTTTTGTATTGTATTCAATATAATAATATAACATAAACCGTTCTTAAAACAAACAAACCAAATAATGATCGTGATTTCGTCTGGGTGTAATTTTCCAAAAACTAAACCACGAGTCATTCATTCAATAACGTGTAGGAAATAGCTCACCAGGCATTTTGAGCTGTTTGCAACTATATGACATTTTTTTTCTTCCGTTGTGTAGATTAGCAAGCCATTATCAACTAACCAGTTCATCAAGAAACAGATTATATAGAGTACTCAATCACTTAAAGATGGGTTCCCATATTTTCATTTATGAAAATGAAAATGCTAATACTTATATGACTAAAAAGGAGAGGTGTTCTAATAACTTTGTAAAATACCAGTTTGTATCACATGTCCATAGTTAATTCATAATTAGCTAGAGAAGAGAATTACCAGCAGAATTCCAATGAATGACCGATCAAGAATGGTCATAAAGTTTTTTTCTGTTAATTCATACTGTACATATATGGACATTTATGATTGGTTAAAACTCTTAATTATATGCAATACGAATATAATGATATGATTAAGAAAACATGATAATTCATTAGAAACACCAATTAATCAAATAGTTTGCTTTATTTGACATTAGAAAATAAGGAAACACATTTTGAAAGAATATTGCTATCCTTTCCCTTATTGCACACTGCATATAGAGTTGATCGTCGTTCGGTAGTCTTACAGGTTTACCATTGGATCTGGTGAATAGGGGGCATAAGAGTATACAAGCATCTGACTGAATATAAGTGACCCTTTACATGGATTAGCTTACTCGAAGAATCCACTTATCTATGAATGTCATTCGTTTGTTCTTTCAGTAGAATACATAATGTCTAGGCAAAGAAAGCGTGATGCTGAAATAGTCATCGTTGGTGCTGGTATAGCTGGACTCTCGGCAGCTCAAAGACTTCAGCGAAATGGTTTCCGTAAAATTACTATCCTAGAAGCTTCAGACAGGTAAATGAAGCTGAAAACCAGCTGATTCGTAATTTTATTTTCTCAATGGAGTTAACTTGTGTTATCCACTGTAATGTTGCTCATTGAATCTTGAACAAGCGAAATCCGTGACGTTTCTACTTTGGCAGAATCCCGCCTTATACTACACAACGAATCCCAGGCGGATTCAGCTGAATGTGTATGCGCTTACCCTATTTTCTACTATTTGTCCACTCTAGTCCCATTACTGTTAATGGGTCAAAAAATTATTTCATTTTGGCAGAGTTGGTGGAAGAATACAGACGATACAATATGGTCAAACAGACAATGATCTGGTAGATCTTGGTGCTCAATGGATACACGGTGAAGGGAAAGAGAACACAGCATATACACTGGCTAAAAAACATGGATTGATAAGTCCTCGTGTCAAACAAGAATGGTAAACATGATTTACTTGTGACGTAACTTCGACAACCCGTAACACTTTGACAAGGTTCAGACGCACAAGGAAAGAAACTTCAAAGCTCGTTATTTTTTGGGGGTTAATTTATACATATGTAATAAGTCCCCAGAAGTGCTAAAATGAACAAAAAACGCATAATTCCTTTTAAAAATACCTCAAACTAGGAATTTTACTTTCTATTTCTATGACGTCTTTTCTATATCTGGCAGAGTCTCAAGAAGAGACGATTCGTTATTTTAACTTTCCAACGCAGATAATTCTGGACACACATGGATTTTAAGGCTCAAATTTCGACGGTGAACACCATTACTGATTAGCTTAGCTAAAGAAGTCCTCGTTTTTGAGAATTAAGTACGATTGGTCAGAGAGATAAAGACCTTGTCCTTTAAAGATGATCTATACTTTTTGATATTGGCAAAATTTGCGGAGAGTTTTTACTGTGTTTATCTGAGTTATTTCCCTTGAAATCTCATCTCCTTTTGGATACCTAAATGTAATTTTTTAACAAATTTGGTTTCAGGCTGAGTGGAAAATGCTGTAATGAATATGGTAAGGAAATATCACGTGATATATTTCTTGCCGTTATAGATATAGCGTATGAAATCGAGGTCGAATTGGACAAAGTTTACCGAAAAAATCTATATTTAGCTGACGCTGAGTTAACAATACACGATTTCATGAACCAAAGGTTTCGTAAACTTCTCATGACCGCTTTTCCTGAAGAGGACCGCGAGGATGCAAAATCTGTGTTTAATTTGTATAAAAATTTACTTCGATTTGATAATGGTGATGACATTCGAAAGATATGTAGCCGCAACGTCGGACAATACCGCTCTGTCGGTGAATGTGAAGACATATGTCCACCGGAAGGTTTTCAGTCCATAATAAAGACTTTACTTAAAATGTTAACAGGAAAGGTTCAGATTAAATTGCAGTGCTCTGTGGTTAATATCAACTGGAAGGCAAGTCATGGGGTCAAGGTCGTTTGTAACAACGGAAGTGAAATCCAGGCTGATCATGTGATAGTCACGTGTTCTTTAGGCTATTTAAAGAAACATCACAAAACACTTTTTACTCCAGAATTACCTTTACTAAAATCTCAAGCCATAGATAAAATAGGTTTTGGTACAGTTAATAAAATATTCTTATATTATAAAGAACCATTTTGGATAAAAAATGAAGGCTCTATAAGATATGCTTGGACTGATGATAATTATAATATAAAAGATTATAAAACAGAATGGTTTAAAGCGATACATGGTTTCGATGAATTACACAATAACGATAATGTTTTAATGGGAAGTATTGTTGGTGATGAGGGAAGGTTTCTAGAAGGTTTACGTAAAGATGAAGTAAAGAAGGTTTGTACAGAACAAATTAGAAGGTTTTTAAATAATCCCTCTATACCTGAACCTACTGATGTTCTCACTACAAAATGGTTTGAAAATAAATGGACGTTAGGTTCGTATTGTTATATGACAGAAGAATCGAATGAATCAGTTAGAAAAGACTTGAATTCACCGTTATATCATCTTGATCAGCCAGGTGTACTGTTTGCTGGTGAAGCTTGTCATAAATCTAGATGGTCTGCTGCAGACGGGGCAAGGTCTAGTGGTTTAGATCAAGCCCAATTTCTAGTCAATCATTACAATCAAAAGGGTCAAAGATTGGTGTTTTTCGAAAACAATAAAACTTTGATCTGAATTGAGTATAGTTGGTTTCATGTTTCACCAGGCTAGTTTTTGATATTATAAGTACTCCGAATGGCTTTCAAATTTGCGATCCTGGCTAACAACGAATAACAACGATGTTATAAGGCTAGTTTTGGGGAGCTTTCTAAAGCATTTGATATGTTTTTGAATTTTTTTTAACAACGCTATTTTTGTACATGTTTGTTAATTATCACGAAGAAATTTCTACTTATTATAAACTATTCGTGTGATTTATATAAGAGTTATAACTTTGCACTTATTGCAAACTAGAGTTGTGATTGATATAAAAGTTATCACTTTGTACATATTATAAATTATTCTTGTGATTGATATAAAAATGATCACTTTGTACTTATTATAAATTATTCTTGTGATTGATATAAAAATGATCACTTTGTACTTATTATAAATTATTCTTGTGATTGATATAAAAATTATAACTTTGTACTTATTATAAATTATTCTTGTGATTGATATAAAAATTATAACTTTGTACTTATTATAAATTATTCCTGTGATTGATATAAAAGTTATCACTTTGTACTTATTATAAATTATTCTTGTGATTGATATAAAAGTTATCACTTTGTACTTATTATAAATTATTCTTGTGATTGATATAAAAGTTATCACTTATTTGTACTTATTATGAATTATTTTCGTGATTTGTATTAAAGTTATAACTTTCTACTCGTACTTGTAAACTAGAGGTGTGATTGATATAAAAAGTTATAACTTTCTATCACATAGAGGACAATATTTAGCCAAAATATGATTAAAGTGCATACATGTCAAATTTACTAAAGTTTATATTTTGAGAACGCATAGTGATTTGTTATTTTTTGTCTAGTCCAAAGAGGACCATACGTCGTATTATAGAGGTGTGATTGATATAAAAAGTTATAACTTTCTATCACATAGAGGACAATATTAAGCCAAAATATGATTAAAGTGTATACATGTCAAATTTACTAAAGTTTATATTTTGAGAACGCATAGTGATTTGTTATTTTTTGTCTAGTCCAAAGAGGACCATACGTCGTATTATAGAGGTGTGATTGATATAAAAAGTTATAACTTTCTATCACATAGAGGACAATATTTAGCCGAAATATGATTAAAGTGTATACATGTCAAATTTACTAAAGTTTATATTTTGAGAACGCATAGTGATTTGTTATTTTTTGTCTAGTCCAAAGAGGACCATACGTCGTATTATTGGCCCTTTATAAAAAAAATTCCATAATCCGTGATTCAAGTTGTAAAATATCTTATTGTTTGCTGTATGACATTCTATAGAAAGATTGCATGTATGTAAATAGCTTTCAGAAGTACCAACAATGTGAGATAACAGCATAACTCCTTCAAAAATACCCCAAACTAGAAATTTCACTTCCTTTGTGTCTTTTCTATTTATGGCGGAGAAAGACGTCATCAAACACAGATAATTCTGGACACATGATTACCGGGAATTTTTCCCTTAATGTGGGCAATAAAACACTGGCAAGCCGAGAAGGCTGAGAGGTTAATCAAGGCCTTGGCTGGGGTTTTCGACGGTTTTCGACGGTGAGCTGTGAACATTATTAATGATTAGCTTAGCCAAAACTTCATGTTTCTGAGGCTTAAGTACGATTGGTCCAACAGGTGGCGAAGCTGTCCCTTTAATTAGTGAATTGACAAGGTCAATATCGGTATGTATTATTGTGTGCCCGAAGTAAAACATAGCGTCATACAAGGAAATAAACTATTATCTTATCGTGACAATGACAAATGATATGTATATTGCAAAACATGTAGGTATATTTATTAATAGGTATATTTTAAACTTTATATATATATACTATGTGGCGAGTGTATCCAGGCTTATCATGTAGATAAATATATTTTATTTTATACTTTTTAATATGTGTTTTGGTCTTTACGTGTTTTAAGCAAGGATTAATAGTGCGAAGTTGGCGCTTACGAGGGTCTTTTAACCCAAACGTACCGCACTTTAAGACTGTGTCAACTTGCTTTGGATTTTATTGTAACTTCTTTTACTTCTATCCAAACGTTACATACCAAAACAGTAGAACTCGTAATTTTTAAGAAGGGATTAGTTTTTCGACGTATTTGATTTGGATCCTCACGAAAGAAAATCCACGATTTAATCTAACGGATGACTAAGAATTATTTATCTCATTCACAATATTATTGCGTAACTAAGAACATCTTGAATCGTGTAGAACAGAAAAATCAATTTACTCAAACAAAAGACGATCTTGACATTCGAGACTACGTTATCGAGACTACCCGATATTTACAGTGAATGAATGAGTGATCCGTGTCAACAGTGTTGTCGTGTGTGTGACTGAACAAAAATGGCGAAAAAGACAACAGCTGAAATGGCCCACATTGTGGTGAATGTGATATGCTTCGTTATAGGTAAGACATTTGATTTTAAATGGGTGAATTCGACTTTTAACTCTGGACTCGATCGTGTCGGGAGCACCCTGATCCAGTATGGTATACAGTCACCGCGTTCTCCATAAAGGTTACACCTATTCAATGTTATTATAAACTTGATGTGTTAAAAATATCTATTTTTTATACGGGTCAAGTGTGAAGAGTATATTAAAGGTATATATAAAATATGTTTGAATGTACCTATGTAAACTATGTATAGCCTACTTGATTCACATATCGATATAGGATATACCATGATATGCGTGTACTGATAACTGTGCCTGTCATCTCTAACAATACAAATATTGCATCAAACACGTGAGTTAAAACAAGTTGATGAAAAAGGGGGTGGGGGATAGGATTTAGTGTCAAAATTTACCTAATGGTGACAAACGAAACATCCATTTCCATCCATATCCGGGCTAAATATGGCTATACATAGGATATACCAAGTAGTGCTGATAACAGCATCTCTGACAACAAAATATTGCACACACATAAGTGTGATATGTATTTGTAATAGAGGGAATGGGGGAGTAAAATATATATCTGGGATAGGATAAAGGAAAGAAATTTGTAGTCTTAAATTCAATTTCCTAACAAGACTTCACTTCTCGGAACTGACGTTAATCCTTAATGCGGTGAAATGATATAAACAACGATGACGTACATGTATTTATTTATCAGATTATATAAAATATAGGCTAGGCTTCACTGTATTGATTCAAAGTATACGTAAACTTAAAGGATATATTAGATATAAGCGTATATATTGATTAATCATTCAGTTGGAAATGTTTCGGTTGAATAGCTCCACTCAAATTCACATATTTTGGATATAAAATCCTCATCAGTTGACCTGGGAATTGGTTTGAGATTCAAACGAGTTATGATGATTGGCATTAGATTAGACCCCCACTGACGTAGTTAAGAGGATAGAAACACACAATAATCCATTAAGTATGATGAATTAAGAAAAACAGTCAATCCGAAGATAATACTCTTAAATTCTTTTCTCCCTGGAACTGAACAGTCTTTTGGGGATACCGCCATTCTCCAGAACTACCTTATGGTACCAAGGTTTTACATAAACGTCACACAAAGTTGATTTTACATACGAAACATTTCATTTACCAATAATGGTTTTTCGAGCTCAGAGTCTGACAAGGGGGTTCACTCCCAGTTTAGTTCGAGATACAACTTTGGATTCCCCATTTCTATCCCCACTTTGTTGTAAGTTCAAAGCTTGACGTAGAAAAAAAAACATCGGATGGCTTTGTATTAAACTGAGGACTCGATTTCGGTTTTCTGTGCATGTCAAATTCCCTTTACTGTTGGAAATTGCAAAGGGGTAGACTTATGTTGCTGACCTGGCAAGTTTTCTCCATTACGTGATATTACCTGTCTTCCTTAGCCCTATCAGATGCAGCAATACCATTGCATAAAATGTTAATTTTCAACTGTTACGTCTGCAATCTGGAACGTGACTGCTATTACGAATGATCGTTTGCTTATTATTATACACATACTTAATGGATGACTAGATAGAATCCAGTCTAGTAGAGAGTTAATTACTTTCTAATCAATAACAAAGAGCATTGCAACATTACAATTTTACACTCATGTAACATTGCAGTGGTGAGTGGGTTTGTCATATCACATTGACCTGCCGTATCAAGGGTGCAGGCTCGTTATCTCCTGACTGACTAGTGCACTCTTGTACGTAGTTCAATCTGATTATTATCTAGATCTTTATGTTTCGTATCCTTTTTTCTCATGGGTTATTTCTACATTCGCTATCTATGATCTAAGACAATATAAAGAGACTTCAGTCAAATTTGACCGATTGTGTCACGGTAGCCTATCATAAATTATGCTGACCAGTCATATACAGTGTTACAAAGCACCCCAACGTTAAACAAAATGTTTGTCAATAAAATTGAATGAAGGTTGGTTGAATATTTTAGTGATCTAGAACAAGTGAAACAAACAATTTTCTAAAATCAAAAACGAAGATCTGCATTTTATTCAGTTTCGGTGCATTCCCTATGTCCGTCACCTTTACAATGTCAAGCTTTTACGAACAACGTCTTATAACTTGACTGCAACAGCCTCCTATCTTGTATCATGGAATTCAACTATTTGATTGGATTGTACGCTACCGAATACAGTCAATCACAGCCCACGACAGAAAGGAAATCAAAAGCTATATTGTTTACAGTCAAGGTCCCCGATTGGCTGTATTCGTTAGAGTACAATCAAATGAAATGAATTCTGTGATAGAAGAAAAGAGCCTAATGAATTCAAGGTATAAGGCGCAGTTCGTAGTTGCTTGACATCGTGAAGATGCATGTCCGTATAATGTAGAACTTAATTAATTGTTATTTTTCTTTTTATATATATATAGTTGTGTTACTGGCATCGTTGATAGAAGGAATTCATATTGAACCATTTAGAAGAGGCTTTTTCTGTAGCGATGAAACCATCAAGTATCCCTATAAAGAAGATACAGTATCTATTGCGGTAGCTGTCGCCATCGGTTTTGTTTTAGCTTTGTTAAGTGTGAGTACAACTTTGGTTTAGCTTTTGGTAAACTTTGTTTCAGTTCAGAATTGTTTCAGCCCAGCTATGGTTAAGCTTTTTAGTGAAACTTTGCTTCAGCTCAACCTTGGTTTAGCTTTATAGCTCAACTTTGTTTATCTCATTTTGTTTAGCTCAACTTTGTTTTAGCTTTATGGGAAAACCGTGGTTTAGCTCAACTTTGGTTTAGTTTTATATAAAAATTTAGTTTTTGCTTGTCATTGTGTGTGCTCATATGATGTTGTCTTTTTCAGATATTGATTTGTGAATGGATAAAATTTGGGAGTCAGAAGGAAGATGAAACTACTCTGGCGTTTATCGGACGGTTCGTATGGACGTGTGGTATTGAATTAGGAATATTTATGTTCGGAGGTGCTCTTTGTCAACTGGGAGTTAGTATCTTGAAATTAACCGTTGGAAGACTACGACCTCACTTTTTAGAAGTGTGCAATCCAGATTTTTCTCGAATTAACTGTTCAGGAGGTTATATTTATGATTATGAATGTCGTTTAAGTTCCACAGCCACGGCAGCTATTTTAAGAGAAGCACGGTAAGTAAAGTCATATCAATATATTGGAAGGATATGTTCTGGTCATTGTAAGTTGAGTACAACTATGAACCACCCGTCCCCTTTTCAGAACGGTCTGTATTTGATTGAATTCTATTGATGAAACGCATTGACATAAGTTACTTGTTACATCTGGTCATAATGTGGAGTGAAATGATGTTGAATATTCAAATTCATATTCACTATCATGTGATTAGGCAAACGACGTCTCTTCTGGACTGAGATAATTGGCCTGGTTATGGGATTACAAGATAGTTCATTTAAACTTGTCAATAGTTTGCCGTTGCACTATGTAAATATCTAACATTTCTATCTTCTTGTGCCACACATCCATATAGACTAGTAAGGAGTTATCATTTGGGTAATAAAAGCTTGGTTGATTGGTAGACGAGAAGTTAACGTTAACGCTAACTGATCTAGCCAACTGTAATACGAGGCTTCACCAAGACACTTTTTCAAACATGAACCCGATCCGTACAATAGGTCTTACAATTGTTTCTATTATATATGTTCTAGATTATCATTTCCGAGTGGTCATTCCAGCTTTTTAGCTTTTTCCATGGTTTATGTTGTCGTAAGTTAACAATTTTATTAGACTTTTGGTAATGTCGTATGGGCTATGAGTTATGATTATACCAATGTTCGTTGTATTTGAAAAGCATACAATCTGATCAACATTAAACTCTACGTGCTTTGTTTTACTAACTTTGTAGTGACAGTTAAAAGGTGCCAGGGCAACTTAGCGAGTTCCAATGCGATTCAATCTTCACAATGGTAAGATATTACATCTTCATCTTATACCTTGACTGCAATGGCCATCTTCTTGTGTCACGGAAATTTGTGATTGCAGCAATTTGATTGGATTGTACTCTAGCGCATACAGCCAATCGGAGCCCACGACAGAAAAACTGTAACAGCAATAGGGGTCTAATTGTCCGCAGTCGTTCAATCCAATCAAATTGCAGACCACAAAGCCAGAAGTGAGCCATTGCAGTCAAGGTATAAGATGAAGACGTAATACCTGGGCCTTTGTGACGATTATTCAAGCTGTGTTCGTTACATATTAGAGAAGTCTAACGCTGCTTCCATGGCAAAATTTTCCTCATTGTAAACTGAATACTTATTTCAGGATTCCCCAAGACGAGTAGGAAATTACGTAAACTATATGATTTCTATTCTTTTTTAGTTATATCTGAACAACAAAGCCAGAAGACAACATTGTGGACTGGTTAAGTACGTGTTACAATTTGCTGCATTCGCCACAGCTGGTTACGTGTGTATCTCTCGCGTTGGTGATTACAAACATCATTATACAGATGTCATCACTGGATTCTGTATTGGCGTTTTATTTGCTTTTTTAACGGTAAGTTAAGTTGCTTGCATGTAGTCAGTATATATTTTATTGAACAGAGCATATTGCAATGACGTAGAACAACTGTGCTAAAACAATTTCGCCAGATCATGGATGGCAAGGGGAGTCTCCCACAGGAAAGAAAACCACATAAAACTTTTATTGGGCAAACCATTTGTTAATGTGGATATTTCATTGACCTAAATCAAGTGTGACACAATAATTTCGTCAGATCATGGTTGGCATACAAATCCCACAGGGAAAAAAATCATAAACGAAACATTACATTTCTCTTTTCGAAACACCTCTTTGGAGTCCATTACTATACAACATTTACTCTTGATTTTGTCATACTTTGGACGAATTATCTTGCTTGTATGGATTTGTTTTTACATCTGGATTGACAGGTGAATCCACGTATATTTTTGTTATTGCAGAGGCTGATGATAGCTACCCATTGGACATATCCAACCTTTTATAAAACAGTAGAAGCAGAAGTTTTACCTGTCCGTTATAAATCTAATTCAACTGTGAACTCTGTCAATCTTTAAGTTTTGGGTGCTAATCCTTTCCAGTATATTACATATCAATTCATCATCATAATACAACATCATTTTGACAACTTCATTTCCATATTTTTATTAGCATTTATTTTTAATATAGCCACTCCAGTTAAGGTCTAATGACGGTCTTCTTGAACATTCGTCGAATTGATGACACCGACAGGGTTTCAAATTCCTTCCCTCTCTAACGCTATGAATTTGTGACGCGAACAAAAAGTGCATTAAATGGAGAGGGAAGTAATGTGATGGGCTGTGTCATGAAACAGACGAATGTTCATAGAGGTCGTCTTAAGACCCTAACTTTAGTGGCTTTATTAAAAATAAAAGGTAATAAAAACAGAAGAATTTGGTCTTATTTTGATTAGACTGGTCTATTTTATATCAGCTATGTAAATAAGTCATATTAGTAATGTAAATATCATATCATTTTGAACATTGTAAATATCATCATGCCAACATCTTACCATTATTACATTGAGCAATATTTTAACGAGAAAGGTTGTCTAAAAGTTTTACCGCTTAATAGACCACATCGCCAATGGTGATAACAGCAATCGAGAATTTTAATAATGCTTTAGAAACTTCACCATAAGAATATATGCCATTGATTTATAAGGTCAAAAAATGCTTAAATGGCGCTTGTCTTCTGCAGAATTTTCTATTGTACGATACCTCTGTTATATTATGAGAAATTTTGGATCGACATTACAATTGTTCCCAAAATTCAATGCTATCATTCCCTCGCATGTGCTAAAGCAGCAGAAAAAATTCTTAAATTGTAAAAGATTTTTTTTCATTATATTTGTAAGTCGTAATTTTTATCTAATTAACTGTGATATAAAAATGATATTTTATAAATAGTTTGGATCTAGTTGTCCAACTTCAGTAGGCACTCAGGCTGAAAATAGTTCAGCTCTGAGTAACAACATGATTGTTTAGATTCTATTTTAATATATATTTAATTAACTGTGATTTATCTATGATGTTTTATAAATAGTTTGAATCTTGCTTACTCTATCTGGATTATGATTAAGGAAGTCCAATACACTGTCTTATGACATAAAGGGATTGTAAAGAGCTTTTCTAAATTTATTTTGTGTATCTTGGACACAGATAGGATCGAATTTCACCATTCCAATTTTCATTCAGATTTCTGTGATTCCTGCAATTCCACTAAAACTAAGTCTTTGATGACCTTATATGATTAAGCATATTTTGCGATTAGTGACATCATCAAACTCTTAGCAGGAGTCTGATTGAAAATTGGAATAGTGCAAATTGATACTATCAGTGTCCCCGATACACGTGAATTTATATTTAGTAAACCTTTTCACAATTCCTTGAAGGCTAAATTAACGGACAATTTTTATATGAATTGGTATATCAGCGCAAATAGTAATGTCACAGTATGACAATTTACTTAGATAGAAATGATGCACGTGGGCACATATTAACATTTTGATATTGGCTTTTACAGTGGACAATGAAATTACCATCAAAAATTTTGAATTTCTCAGAGGAGATTATCTAAAGTGGCAATTGATGATGATTTAAATTCTAATTTAAAGTAGTGATTCAAATTCACATAAATATAACCGTTTATTATGGACGAAAGTAAGGAGATACCAGTAAGATGGAAGAGTTATCAAGTTTCTAACCGGTGGATTCGTTTTGCCGCATTGCCCAACTTGCCGCATCATGCCCATCTGCACATGTCGTTTTTGTGCAGTAGGGCACGATGCGGCAACTTGGGCAATGCGGCAAAACGAACCCACCGGTTTCGAACTATATTTTCATATATATAATACTCTCATTTTTTAAAGTCATATTATAAGCAATATATTTTACAGAAGAATGTTTCCCAAACAAGCGAGACTTATTTTACTTATATTCCTTTAGTCATACGAAATCAGTTTACGTTTTTTAACATAGCAAAAAGATGAAAGGAAGATGGGAACATGAATAAACATTAATTGGGTACAAATAGATATTAATGTAAAATAGATGTGATTAAATATATTTTCTACATTACTTTGTAAGTTGCTGAAAGTTTGCTCTTTTTTGATAAAAATTGCTCAGTTTTTCGCCTCTAGTTTTTCACCTAAAAGCCGGAAACAAGTTTGAAACAAATTTCGAACCTACCCCGGACCCCCCAAATCCATTTCAGCGAAAAAAAAGAAAAAAAAATTGTGGTAGAAATTTGAAAATTTTCCTGATCAAAATGACTAAAAAAATGGTCGGTTTTGGCCAGTTTTTGGGGATATATTAGCTCTTACTAAAACCGCTACTGTAGGCAGACCGTAGTTGCGACGAAGCTGGGTGGATAGCCAGGATCTGGTTCTACACGGCAACATAATTTCGGTTGCCCTATCTCAACTGGTGCCAAAGTTACAGGAGCTGAAAGTTTGCCCTTTTTGATGAAAATTTCCCAGTTTTTCGCCTGTAGTTTTCACCAAAAAGCCGGAAACAAGTTTGAAACAAATTTCGAACCTCCCCCGGACCCCCCAAATCCATTTCAGCCAAAAAAAAAAACAAAAAAATATTGTGGTCGAAATTTGAAAATTTTTCTGATCAAAATGACTTAAAAAATGGCCGATTTTGGCCAGTTTTTGGGGATAAATTAGCTCTTACTAAAACCGCTCCTGTAGGCAGACCATAGTTGAGACGAAGCTGTGCTCTGCAGGGTGGATAGCCAGGATCTGGTTCTACACGACAACATAATTTCGGATGCCCTATCTACAGGAGCTGAAAGTTTGCCCTTTTTTGATGAAAATTGCTGATTTTTCGCCTCTAGTTTTTCACCAAAAAGCCGGAAACAAATTTGAAACAAATTTCGAACCTCCCCTGGACCCCCTAAATCCATTTCAGCCAAGAAAAAGAAAAAAAATTCTGGTCGAAATTTGAAAATTTTCCTGATCAAAATGACTAAAAAATGTTGTTTCCCCTATGCTGAAATGCTGAAATAGACGAATCTCCAATGATTCAAATTATTGAAAACACGTAAAAGGCTTTTGTTCGACATCATGACGTCAATGATACATCTTGGCAATGATGATTTGGGGATACAAGCTATTTATCGGTGGGTAGGGGTGGTTCGGGGCGGTGCCACTGGTTACATCAGGTAAATGTTAATGGGCCACTGAGATATCGTATTTAAATCAAATTTGATATTTGGGAGTTAGTTACAAGAAAGTTTTAAATGGCCGATGCGAGATCAGTTTCGTTACAAAATATAAATTCATGGAACCGGAGACGTGACATAAGTGGTGTAGGGAGAAAATGATGGTATAACTGAACTACAAAAATAAACATCTTTCCCAATAGATCTGGGTTTAACATAAGGTTAAAAACCCAGCACCCGAGGAGAGGTGGAAAATACCCAATTAACAGGGCCTATTTTTCTGTCTCCACTCCAGCCGAAATCTCGCGAAATCAGAGGCTGGAATAGAGACAGATGTTTCGGTCTACTCCGGGGTGAGCTGATGTCAGTGTATTGAAGAGACCTCTACACCTGTATTGTATTTCGTGTTCAGTGTGACTGCAGACATCCCAGGGTACACTTCTTGTTGTCATGTCAGCAACGTAACACAAAAATGTCCCTGGATTCTGAATTGAAAATGTGTTGATTCTGACCTTTAGGTAAGCTTTTTGTTTATTTTATTAATTTTTAGCCTGAAGGCAGGTATGTTTGGTTTCATTGTTATGTATATAAATACCTTGATCAACAATTAATGAAGGGTTTGTGCTGATTCTAATGTTGTCAGAATGCTTTGATGTCAAATGCATAAATAAATCTTCTGCTACAAATTCTCCAATGCCTCACTGGCTTTGTTTTCTTGTTTGGTCTGATTTTTACAATAAATTTGATAGAGCAAGGATCCAAGTCAGTTTTGCCCATGCGCTTTGTTTTTAAATGTTCCCATAACGCGTGCATGATACTGGATTTTCCTCATTTTTTCACTCTTATTTTACAGGTATCCAAAACTGATATCAAGATCATTTGGTTTTTATCTAAGGTAGGTCAAAATTTATATTTAAACATTATTTGCCATGTTTGCTATAAATAAACAATGTAATTATGTTAAGATCAAACAGCGAGAAACTCTTGAGTAACAATATAATATTTTTTAAAGAAACAATGTAAATTGTATGTTGTTAAAGGAAATATAAGACAGTATAGTAAGATTTAGGAATTGCATGTTCTTTTTTTCAAATTTTTTGAATTATACGGTAAGGGTTTATATGATTGTTGAATTAATTTGTTAATTTGAATGATAATTTAGTAATTTATGCTATGAATGTAGAGTAGTATAATATAGAACAAAACTGTTATGTTATAATATTAATGTGATAAGAATATAGCTGAAGTAATGATGGCGTAATATGTTATGTGGTAAAAATATAACTGAAGAAATGATAATGTTGTAATATATGATAAGAATAAAGGTGAATAAATGA